CAAGTTCATTTCTTGGCACCATTTTATATGTGTACGGGTCACCCGCACACGGCCGGATATTTATAGGCGTAAGGTTGGTTATGACATCGCTCAAAATAAACGTCCATTAGAGCTCGAAACACCTCCGGGTCCGGGAGTGATGAAAACCCAGCTTCCGGTGAGTCGACATGGTCCGTAGAGACAGCTAGATGAGGACCACGTCGTTTCTTTGTCGTCGCTGGTGCGTGGCTTGGCTTGGGTAGTGAGGGGAACCGAATCGATGTACCACCACCATCTAGGCGACTGAGGCACGACTCAAACAGAGCACCGGCGACAGTGAAGGTGAGTTCGTTAGGGCCTGCGGCCAATGCGGGCTTCAAATTCGCTTTCTCGTCGTCCCAAGTACAAGGTTGATGAAAACGAGAGCAAAAGGCGCAAATGGGCCTCTCGCCCGAGCATCGTACCTTCTTACTAGATTTGACCAGGCATCATCAGCTTAAACCCCAAGTTGCGCTCCAGACAACAGCGTGACTATCTGAGGGGCAAAGTCACCACTGAAAATGGATCACATACCGCCTACAAGTATGGCACGCCCGGGGTGCTCGTTTTTTCTCGCGTCCTCCCTCCATTCGAGTATGAGATGGTTGTCTTCTACTAAGAAAGGAGTGCCGCGAGAAAATATTGAGACAGGTAATCTGGGCGGCAGCACTAGCTACTTGTGAACCCCAAGAGTTGAAGAGGTTACGCCTCTGTTCAACAAAACTCGACCACGATCGAGGCCGTTATTGCGGGCTAATTTGATAGCCTTGCTTGAGCATAACTGAGTGGAAACTCGGACTTTCCAATTCCAGGTGAGCTCAACTTTCTAGAGGAGTGCCATTAATGGCGCGAAGCGATAAGTGCGGGAACTGAATACGCTCCTTGATTGGTTCACCAGAAGCGGTGGTTCTCGTGATTTTTAATGGATCAGTTATTCTCCAAGACCAGTACCCACCGAGTGACAAACAAGGTTTAACACGTCTTGGAACCAGCCCGTCAGACCAGTATTATTGTGCGAAATGTAAGGATTCTCTGGGCTGCTGGTGGGAGGGGACAAGGCCAGTCGAGGTTGCGTCTCCCTTGAGGAAGCTAAGTCACTGGCTTCCGCGCAAGGTGTTTTAACTAGAGGAGGTCAAGATGATCCTAATCACTCATATGCCGATGAGAGTAAAGAGAATGTAAGGGGATTTAGGCATGCTAGATATGTTCATTCCTGGAGGTTGCGGTGAAAGAATTGTGTAATTTGATGTCGGCAATGATGAGGTGAGGCGCCTGTCTGACTCCTGACACAACAAGCGAAGATTTATGATCGACTACGCCTGCACTACTCAGGTCAATTCGCAAGGCCACAGCTGCACTCGCAATAATGGACTATAGCACGAATGGGTCATGCAGGCACTGGGTCTACTCGTACGTCAAAGAATGATGGTGTTGGCTATGCTCCGCTCTCTTATGAAGCCTCAGAAGGCAAAATGGACAACTCGGCGCGGAATACCTACGCAGAGGCTGAGTTTGGCCTCGGCCAGCATGCTGGGCTGAGGACTACGATGTGATGTCCTGCAACGAGTCTGAAAGGGATATAATATCTGTTTATCCTTGACCTTGACATACGGAGTATGAGACCAATCCTTGTCGAATTATGACAGACCATCCTGCTATGAACTAGTTGAAAACCGGGTCGCTGTTATCAGGTAACAGCCCATTTCAGATTAGGTAGGACTCCAAGACCACTACTCCGTACTTCGTACCTTACTTTCCACGGGACAGACTATCCTCGAATGGATCCAGGGAATGGTTGCCAATTCTTGCCGGGTAACGGGAGCCCACCACACCCACCGCAACCACTCAATCCACCGCACCCACAACATCCACCGCGCCCACCGCAACCACCGCACCCACCGGTGCACCCAACTCCCCGGACTCCCCAGACTCCCCGGACTCGCCATGTGCACCAGATGACTTCGCATTAGATGGCTATAGCCGTGGGGGACCTTACCATCTTCTGGATCCTGGATCTAGAATCTCGGGAACGGCTAAAGCGAGATCCGAAGTATTGGGACGCCGCCATCGTCGGCCGAATTCGGTTCTGTACAGGTGAGTCATGGTGTCAACCCTGCTCTTCTGACGTCCTGATTGACAATGAAGACTGATCATCATTTGATGCCAAAACCGGGAATTGTATTCGAGGAACCCGCCATGATTGTCAGCGCACCCCCTACCCAGGCAGTCCTTGCACGTCTCGGGGCGAATGCCTCTAACCCGCGCATCGGGATTGGACAATGTAACAATTGAGCTATTCGTCACTGCGATCAGAAAATCCTTGGCGGCTCTGGCACTCGACGCCCAACTTTCTCACTAGTCGCAACCCGCGACTTCGCAATACTCAAGGATTGAATTGATACCGGCCAAGCGCGAAACTGTGTACTTTCTCTTTCGGCTGGTCGCTAGCAAGTAGAAGTCTGAATTGAAGGGTTTGCAACTGTATAGCCTGAATAACGGTCGTATCCTTCTAGGAAACTAGATCCGACAACAAGATATATACCATCGTAACGGAAGTACTTGCCAGTCCATGCCATAAGACTAACCACCATTTGACCATTTTTCATCAGGGAAGTTTCCGAAACCCATTTCTACAAAAGTCTTGTCACAAGCTTGATATCTTCTTCCGTTGAACGATATCAAGCCTTCGTCTGGGAGGCTCGCTTTACCGACCTCAATAACCTGACATCGCTTGGGTGCCCAACGAGTTCGAGGCAGCCGAGAACGGGTTTAGGCGCACCACTGGGCAATATCCAACAACTGACCTAGCACTGGTGTCCCGAGTTCAGATGGAGAAACGCCGAGACGAAGCTAAACCAAGTCCCTCACTTTACGACGTCGATGTCATGTGACGATTACAAAAGGCTCGACACCCACTTCTTGCATACAAAATTGACTACTTGCGCCGATGCTCAGAGCAGTTTCCGTGCCAAAAAAAGGAGTGAAGAAGAATTTTTGGCGCTAAGGAAAGCGGGGGTAGGTGCTTGGGATACCCCACCGAACCAATATCCGGGGAAGGCCCTTAGATGTCGCCAATCTACCCCCTGACCGCATTGCCACCCTGGCAAGGAGCGGCCGCGAGACATCGGACACATAAGTTCCAATTGACCCGCAACGAATGCTGCTAAGATTTTTTTGGTGGTCACCATCAGTCTGCAAGCTCCGGCTTCACCACTCTTTCAACGAAATCGAAAGGCACGCAGTTCGATCATGTCTCCCATGAGCAAGATGCCGGAGAAGGAAGCAGCTCGTACTGAGGTTCTCAACAAAGACCAAGTATCCAATGATGAACAGATTGAGAGTGTCGTTAGTACTGATGTCGACAATTATGATGGCATGAATTTCAAGACCATCATGGTCCTCTTTGTAACGTCCTCCCTAAATTTGATCAGCAAAAACAGGAAACTGATTCCCCTACAGGCTTTAGCAACTGTTTCATTCGCACAGATGATCGTCATCCTTTCCGCAGGCTTGGTAGCTTCCATCCTTGCCCCGTTAATTTATACAAAACTAATTCTATCAGCTCGGACAAGTCATGGCCAGGGATATTGGAGGTATCTCCAAAGTCAGCTGGCTTTCATCCGGAGTTTCGATCGTCAACATGTCTTTCGGTCCTGCATTCTCTCAGGCTGCCGACTACTGGGGTCGAAAATGGTTTATCGTGGCATCCTGTTCCATAGGCATGGTAGGCGCAATCATCGTGTCTAGGGCCCAATCGATGAACATAGCCATTCTAGGGACGACTTTGGCATCCATGGTCCTGGCAGCTCAACCGCTTACTTTTACTGTTGCATCCGAGATTCTACCCAGACGTTATCGTGTACTTGGACAGGCCTTCGTCAACCTCGGTCTAGCGTCTGGAGGAGTCCTAGCTCTGCTTGGAGGTAATGCACTTGCCGAAGCTTTCGGTGAAGGATGGCGAATCATCTGGTATATGGAGACTGGCTTTTTGGCCTTCGCAGCCACAGTGACCACGTTCATGTACAACCCACCCCAAAGGCCGGAAGAGGTTTCTCTCACCACAAGAGCAAAGTTGGGGATGCTGGACTGGACCGCAATTATCTCTCTAACGATTGGAGTTGTCCTGTTTGTCATGGGATTAACCTGGGCTAACAATCCTTACCCGTGGCGAGACGCTCACGTTCTCGGACCGTTTCTCATCGGATCAGCGATTTTGATCGCACTTGTTATTCACCAGACCAAGCTCAAGAAAGATGGCTTGTTCCACCATGGAGCATTCAAAAGCGACCGGAACTTAGCAATCGCCCTCATCTGTGTCGGGATAGAAGGCTTGGTGTATTTTGTTGCAAACGTCTACTACCCAATGGAGGTAGCGATCCTGTTCACAAGTGACGCAAACCAGATCGCACTTCACTGGTCTGTTAGCCTATTCTCGATGTTCTTTGCACTAGCTGTGATTGTCTGGTACATTCCCACTAAACGGGACATGCGGACCCCATTGGTAATATCATATGTGTTCGTTGCATTATTCTTTGGTAAGTCCCTGATCAGAATATACTAGAGAGTTAGGGCAAGCTGATACGATTTGACTAGGACTATTGTTGGCTGTTGAACCTGGGAAGACTGCCTTAATGTGGGTGGCACCTATTTTTGTTGGCTTGGGTACAGGTATTGGATACACAGTATGCGTTGTTGTGGCACATTTCGGCGCCCCTCAAGAATTCTTGTCACTTGCCAGTGGTATGATCATCTGCATCAGAGCGTTCGGTGCTTCAATTGGTGTTCCCATCTTTGTGTCAATGTTCAATTCGCAAACCACCAAGTATCTCCCACGGTATATCGCCAATGCTGTCTTACCATTAGGTCTGGCGCCCAAAGATCTTCCTGCTTTCATTCAAGCTTTGTTAAGCAGCGACAGCAAGAGTTTGATGCAAATTCCTGGAGTTAGTCCAGATGTGATCGCCGCTGGAGTCTCAGGCCTACAGCAGGGATATATCAAGTCGTTTCAGGCTCCGCATATTACGGCAATAATACTGGCAGTTGTCGGTTTGATAGGTAAGTTTTCTTGTGCTCCGGAAATGGATAGAAACTTGCTGATTAGTTGGAACAGCCAGTTGTTTTGTGATCAACCCTAAGGCTGCATTCAACATGCATGTCGACTCTCCGCTTGTAGAGAATAAAGTGGCACCAACAAAAGAGGCTGCAGCATCTGCTTGAATAAGAAACAGCAGCGTTGATGTGTGATTGAGGTAGTGGATACATGGTGGTCTGCTCATCTAAGTTTATCTGTGAAATGGACCGAAGTTTAGCTGCGTTTAGCCACTCCTATGTCAATGGAGTAGACAATGCCTAAGTATACAGTCGATGATCACTATCACTGAAGTGGAAAAATCCAACGCTCGCTAGTTGAACGGATTCCATCACGATTAGCTGATCAGTACATAACACTCTTCACTATCAGTGCCAGTTATCCATGCATGATTCCAATTTCATTCATTCCAATCTCTGTTGGCCCTTGCAAGTCAGAAGATTGTCCGAAAAGAGGTGGCATACCAAGTTGACATCTAGGAAAACAGAGTAGAAGGTTCAAGTTCGCCCTGTGTCAAAACGGGAACGCTTGCTGGTGGTCAACACCAAAACTACCGTCAGTGGTTCGTCGTTGCGCCACTAAAATCAGGGTGATGTTCAACCGCCAATGACTAGTACAAACAAGCCTATTTCGATATGGTTGATTTTCTGGTGTCAACTTATATCCCTGTAGCTCAGGATTGGCCTTCGTGGAATTTGTGGCCGCTGATTTGTATCTGTTGGGTTGCGATCAATAACTAAAATATGATGTGGTATGAAAGTGCCAGCGCAGAAATGTCTTCGTCTGATCACGGGTTAAGAATGCACTTGCTAGTCCTCCCCTTACGTCGAGGAGCTTCAGGTAGAAAGCCAAAATTTTACAGGCGACATTTCGCAACATCGAAATCCTCTGGCGAGGGAACGCTTTTCATTTTACTAGCGCAGAACGGGACCACACTTGCAATTTTCATTTTGAAGGACTTGGAGGCTCGTGAATCCCGCTGATGTTTACTTCATAGCTGAGTAGAATTAACGCCGATTTACCCTCCCCTAAGACAATGGAAGCAGACCCTGGCCACTAACTTTGACGTTTGAGAACTCAAATTCAGGGGCTAGGCTACTACCACCGTCTCCTGGAATGGCATCAATATCGCACCAATTCCCATGAATTTGGTTCATTAGGCGGAACGGCGCCTTGACAAGGGCGACAGGCTGAGAAAAATTGTTCGAGTCCAGAACAACCAACTCACTATAGCCTGCCTCCTGGTGCTCGACCATACCGACAATGAACCCGTCCCCTTCAGGAGCATCCTTAGAACGTGGGATGAAGATGGGCTCCTCAACGGAACACTGGTCCCCTGGATAATAATATTCATTCTTGCCGGTCTTTCGGTCATGTTTGAAGAAACAATTGAATCCCAGAGGACCTGGCGGGACCAAAGGATAAATAGCAATACCAAACACGTACTGATATTTCTGTGTCAGGAACCGCTCATCGATGCGCATGAACTCTGCTGGATGGCCCACAGTAATACTGGGATCGGGTAGTGTTGCTCCATCCGGCAGAGAAAGATCAATCTCCCAGAGGGGCAAGTCGGAGGTAAAATTGGGCGGCTTCGTGGGATCGAAGGGTGGAACTTCGGGGCCGTTGAAGGCGGCGAAGAGATTCATCCCTCTCATTCTGCTGGTCTCAAGGTATATCTTGCCATTTTCCTCCCAACCGCCGGCGGAATGAATAGTAATGCAATTTCCCCAGTAGTATGTCCTCCACTCGCCGATCTTCCAACCCGGTGGTAGATTTTTGCCTGGTCTTCGGGGTGCGACTAGGAAGGCGGACTTGTGCTCAGGCAGCCATCGCCAGTGATGTTTCCCTTCTTTCATGCGTTGAAGATTCGCTTCAAAGGGCATACATAAGAGGATGATGAAATTTTCGGTGACGACACAATCGTGTATCATAGTCTGCCAATCGCACTTAACCCATGATACATCTTTAGTTACGCCGTTTTTATCAAGAGTATAGATAACAGCATCTGTGGTAGCTAGGCCCTTTGCCTCGAACCCGAAGACAACGAGCTCATTGGTGAATGGGTCAACTTTGGGATGCGCGGTGAAGGTTTTCGAGTTGTCTGGTGCCTTAAACGGATCATAACCCCTAGTGGCGAGAGTATTTGGGTCTAATTCGTACGGCAGGTTGCCCTCCTTTAGTGCGATCAGTTTCCCGGCCCAAAGAACAAGATTAGTGTTTGCTGTAGAATCGACGGCAGCCTGAACGCAAGGATGATGAGAGTATGGGTTTCGATACAGCCCAAAAAGTCGTTTACCAGCCTGGCGCTCTAACTTCAATCTCTCCGTCTCGACGTATCGTACTTTCATGTCGACTTGACCGTCTGCAAAACGAAAGGCTGTCACATTGCCATCACCCTCAATAGGGAGCCAATTGTCAGGGTGCATGGGGTAGAAAGGATCAGCCGCCACACGATAGAAAGTCCCTTTGATTTGCTTGGGCAACTCTCCGACGATCTCCAGGTCCTTGATGAATCCCTGCCAACGTATCGGGGTGTGCATGACAGCAGGGTTGACAGATTTGTCCCATGGTGATCGAAGGCCGAAATTTGTGTCGACAGGGCTGGCGGCATTGACTGCAGCCTCCCAGGGCTTCGGGTTTTCCATAATTTCAAGTAACGTGGTTAGATCTAAAAGTGGTTGTTTGACAGACAAGGTTGGGGAACGCTACATAAGCTTGTAATGATTGCAAGTCAATAAATACTGGACCGACCCCACGGAAAGTACCATCCGTGCTGTAATTCACCCCGCGACGGTGGGTGCAATGGCCCGACTTAATGATTCCGAGACGGATGTGTCGGACATCACGTGAAAGAGGTGGGTGCGAGTAGTGCTACTTATGATTCAAAGACATTATACATAGTAGGATTCGTGAGCATTGTGATAGTTTCCCATCATGCACAGAGCACAATTCTGGCACCTGGTGCTGGTGCTTTCCAGTACACCCTCTGTCACAATTTCATGGCGCCGGAAAGTTCAGCAAGCCGAGCCGCTCAACAATACGCAAAGTATCTTGGAACGCGGGTGGCGCGCATGCCGTCCTCGAGGTGACTGAGGACAGTCCGCACACTGCAGGGCCAAGATCAATTGACCGGTGATAGCTTTTGGAGCTCTGCACCGAATACACTGTCTCCACGCCGACGTGGGGGAACCAAGCAGACATCGGTTATCTAGCTTTCACGTTTTGTACCTAGGTCTATTTCAGACAATATCTCGTCTAAGTAGTAGAGATGGCTAGTAATAGGCATGATTCATCCTACACTATCTTTCAACTGCTGATGAGGTTGAACTGATATACGATCAGGTGTCCTAGCTCAGGAGCAAACATACTTAGTCACATGCCTAATTCCTGCTGTTAGGGGGCACCTACTGAGAGCGATTGTCTCTGTTGAAAGTCTTGTCCTTCAGGCACGCTCGATACTCCATTTAGTGCAAGCCTCTATACAATTCACCCCTCGCCGAAAGCTCTCACGTCCTCGGAGAAGCATTTGTTAGGGGTTGTGGACCGGTACTCCGGGTGGGACTACCAAACAAACAAAGCACTCTAGCCTCCTGGCGAATGATTGAATTTAGCCGGCGGGTTATGCTTGTTGCATTGTTGACGGTATACACAATGCCACCTTGGCTTATAATGCTCTTCACGACAATACCACATGAGACAAGTCAGGTCGGGTCGAGAGAGCTCTTGAAAGCAAGACCCTTGGTCCAATACGCGTGCAAGTGAAAAGGATGCGGGGTGTGAGGATGAAAGTGTTTCTTTTATGCCCACAACCGAAAACTCAAGTCCTTCGGGTTAGCGAGAAGTTTGTGTAGAGGAGTAGCTACTGCAGGTATTTGGCGAACCATTCCACCACCTGATCTTCAGCTTTATCAGCCCTAGCCTGCTCGGCCTTGTCATTTTGATCATAGCGGAGGGCAAAGCCATGTTTTGCGCCCGGTATTACCACCACCTCTGAGCGCACATGCTTTAAGTTGTCAAAGGCAACAACTATCTTGTCCACCTCCTTTTTGGGGAGCGCAAAGTCCGCATCTCCCACGCAAAGACTATACGGCAGCTTGATCTTCTCAATATCACTCGGTACTTGCAGAAAGCTAGGATGCGCGGTAAACGCTGCGTCAATGAATGTTTTCCCATTAGAGGCGAGTTCTCCCTGCGCAAGCTTTGTGGCAGCGTAACCACCGTAGCAAAAGCCGGCAAGCCCGACCTTCAAATCCTTTCCTTCATCGAGGCGGAAATCGTCTAGCCAGGGCTTCAATGCCTCGTAGCACTTTTGGGGTGGGTTTGTAAGCTGAAAAGGTACCAAGCCATAAGCTGCTTGGATTAACCACCATCTATTATAGTGTTAGTATGGCCAGGGAACCTTCTCAGACTGTGGGAAGATGAGTAGGATACACCTACGGCTTCCAAAGCCATCTAGTTATGCCCTTTGTATCCATTAAATTCTTCATGATTGGTAGCAGCCACAAAGGAGCGCCATCGCCTATACAATATGAACTGTAAGCTCTAGTTACCGTGTGTTTAAGAAGCGAAAGACCATAAAAGCTGGGGAAATAGGCTCACCGGTCATGATATTGGGCACAAAAACACGATAACCCAACCGTCGAGCATATTGGTCGGCATTCAGTCGCGTGTGGTTCGTCTTCCAGCCAAATACGTCGGGGACGATCACTATCAACCCTTTTGGTGAGCTTTCTTCGGGATCAACTACGTAAGTTGGCAACCCGTGAACCTCAAGCTCCTTGCCGCTCGGCTTGCCGCTCCTTGCCGATCCAGTAAAGCAATCTGGACAAGACATACCGGTTTCGAGACTCTCACAAAATTCACAGAGAACGATGCTCACTGACAGTACTTATCGCGGGCAGGCATTCCTTCGAAATACACGAACGCCAGACATGCAAAGCGAAATAAAATAGTATGGCCAACTGTGACCGGAAGCCCCACCACCCGATAGTTCTGCGCCACCCTCAAATTTCCGATTGCACGGTTTCGTCAACTCTGCATCGGCGAGGTGAGCCCCTTCCGGTGATATAGTGCATAACGCTGAATGTGTAAGCAGCGTCACTTTGTCCAAAACAATGCGGGGCTCTCCCGATCCGAGAATAATACCTACTTCCTATGTGATTGAGTTGCCATGGGCAGATACCCACAATATCGACCCAAAGTAGGTAGTCTCTGATCGACCTTTCCACTCATCTCCGAGAGGCGGCTTAACTAGAGAATTGATTTGCATTCCATTCAGAGCCAGAGAAAGCACTAACGGTATCCAAGCGTTGTGCCTCGACGTGTAACCATTTCCGGGCAAACAATCCACACAAGTCGTCCATTCAAGTCCTCCCTCAGAACGTGCACCGAGCACAACCTTGACATTTCCTAGCTGGGTCAAAAACCACCCATTCTCTCCTCCGTACCGCGTTGACTATGTTGCACTGTACCCAGATCAGCGTCGCGCCCTGGAAGAAGACCTTTGAGGACCACCTCATAAAGACTGGCGGTACCAGCGCCGAATTCACGATCGCCTCCGTCACCGCATCTGGCCTCCCTAGTGCGCGGATGTGCATGTATCGTGGCTTTTGGGGTACGCTGCCAAAAAATAAACATAACCAACTACCCAAGAACCCTGACATCTACGAGTCCGATTGCCCTGTATTCGTTACAGATGCGCGAATGAGTAAAGTATACGATGTATTTGCGACGGGCAAAGCAAAGGGCGATCTGGCTCAATCGCGTTCAGGATCCGGTGGCGGTGGCCCAATTGAAGCAGTATTTTGGTTTAAGGATACGAAAGTACAATGGCGAATGCGCGGAAAATGTTGGATCATGGCGGCCGATGATATAGAGGGTGAAGACGACCGTCAGAACTCCGAGGCTATCACTGTTAGATCCGAGGTGAGCCGCTTTATGCGGATCAGGGAAGGATCTCACTATACGGAAAGGAACAAAGATTGGTCCTGGAGGCAGGAGATCGAGAACATTTTTGAAAACTTATCGCCTATGATGAGAGGTTCTTTCAAGAATCCGCCCCCTCGACAACCTTTATTACAAGGCAAGGATGAGCAATCAGGCGAGGCGTTGGGTCAGACAGCTGGCCACCTATCAGAAGAGAACCTGGCAAGGAAGAACTTCCGGGTCGCCATCATTGCGCCAGAGCAGGTCGAGGCTCTGCATTTGTCGGATGCAGCAAAACCAACGAGGCAGATATGGACGCTAGCTGAGGAAGCCGGCAATCCTGGTGGTGACCAACAGAGAAAATCAATAGGGAAGTGGACTAAGGTCGATACGTGGCCTTAAGTCAGCTCGATGACGTATGACAATGAGAGCATAGAGACAGTGTCGAACGATATATTACAGAATCAGTGTTATAAAGCGGCACGGCACCAAGCCGTGGCAAGGTCCTCGATGTTTGTGATGGGCAAACGCAATGTCCCTCTATGACTGCGACCACAAGCTTTCGATAGGTGGGCAAACCTATTTTGTGGCAGCCAACAGTTCGGGTCGTATGTCATATTCCAGGTGAAAGGAGATCATTCCAACGTTAGGTCCCCGTTCTTCACGACTAAGTGACAAAGCAGAGTAGGTAGGTCTCAATCTTAGTCATCAATATACGACAAGGTGCAATGGCTATCAACTATGCCTTTGTTGTGGGATCCCAAAAACTCCTTTCATTTTCTTGTGTTTTCTAAAACGTAGCGTGACTCTCAAGGTACCACCAGACAGTGTCGCAATATGATTTAGTTCCACACTCTGCGCAAAACATACTAGCTCTTGTCCCAAAAAAAAGGAAGTACTTATTCAGGAGATGAACGGTTCTGTGACATAAAAAGTAGCTATCTACCATAAAAATGCTCTTTTTAACGTGGGCTCAGCGATGCTTAAGACCAAGCCCAAGTATAGACTTATAAGTATCCCAGCTGACGTAGACAGCATCGTCTCTCATCATGTTCCGGACATCGCAGGTACTTGTTCTCAGGACTTATGGACATGATGTACACATCGTTACAAAAGGCTCTGCACTATGACTATATGAAGCTGACACATAGAAAGGGAATAAAATTATTGACAAGCAGACCCAAAGACAGTGGAGAGGTGCAGTGGCAATATTATTAATCTGCAACAAAATTTTGCTCAATATGGTGCCCGTCAAACGCAGCGTCAGCTATAGTGCAGGGAATGTGAGGGCAGTTTGACACAGAGTATCTGATCTACCTACTTTTAAGATGCCTATCCAGGGGAGAGCTTCGCTGGCCTGCTGTCCACATGCGTCAAGCCTTTGGTCGTCGCTTGCAGTGCAAAACGTAAAAGCGCTGCTGCAGCAGTTTCTTGCTAACATTGACCCACCACACCCACCCCTTCACCTATCCACCTACCATTTCTCCACCCGGACTTAATGTAATGCCGCTTTCTCCAGATTGGTGTGAGGGACTAACGCCAAGTACAGGATACCTAAGTGGTGGGAAGGACGGTACACCGGAATTCCAATATATTACTCCCGTCGAGCCCACCACCGTAATGGGTTTACCATTTTCACTCTTGAAGCCAGTCTTTTGTTGTCGGCACTATTTCATTTTAAGACTTCGCGAAGAACCAGCAAGAGACATCAAAGAAGGATTTACCTGTGCAAAATGACAAGCAATCCGACTTTCGGCGCCAAGACCAGCGCTTTCCATGTTGCTGAGCTTTTTTCATCCAGGATCAAAGGGAAGATAGCCTTAGTTACGGGCGCATCAGTGGATACTCTGGGTGAGCAGACGGCCCGCGCGTTTGCTCATGGCGGTGCATCCACCGTTATAATCACTGGTCGCGACGGAGAACGTCTCTCGGCCCTACAAAAGAGCCTTGCGTCTGAATACCCATCAACTGGGTTCCGCTCTCTGGATATGGACTTGGCGTCTTTTAAATCCATTCGCCGTGCCGCAAAGGAGATCCTCGACGATGACTCAATCCCTCGCATTGATTTTCTCATAGCCAATGCTGCGATGGCTCTTGTAAAAGAGCACACCTTCACTGAAGACGGCCTCGAACTATCATTCGGTGTGAACCACATTGGGCATTTTCTCTTGATTGTAGAATTATTTCCAAAGATTCGGAAAGCGGCCCAAGCCAGTACTGCCGGTGAAACGCGTATCATTATCCTCACTAGTGGAGCCATGTTTGTTAGCCCAGTTCGATTCAGCGACTATAACTTCGAACGAAAACCTCTTCCCGAAGATGAACAGCCAAACTGGGAACTCGCCAAGCAAACGGGGGCCACACCGACGGACGGCTATCACATGTGGATTTCCTATGGAGCAAGCAAATCAGCTAATACACTGCTCGCGCTTCATCTCAATAAGCTCCTGAGCAAGCGCTATGGCATTCAGTCGTATGCTGTCCATCCTGGCACCGTGGGAACCAGGGGAGTGAAAGCCCTTCCATTCGACGCTGAGCAGGTAAAAGCGCTGGGTTTCATGAAGACTATCGACCAAGGAACTTCTACGACGATGGTGGCGGCACTGGATCCAAAGCTCAGCCCCGAGACTGCATTATTCTTGCAGGATTGTCTCGTTTCAACTCCCCCAGCTTGGGCAGCAGATGAGAGCAAAGCAGCGAGGCTTTGGCAGTTATCTGAAGAGATTATCGGGCAAAAGTTGGAGCTCAGTTAAGCAGCATTGTTCACGATATCCCAAAACTATATGCAAAGCCGCTCCGCCATCATTAGAAGCACCTTCCCAGCTACTTTTCTTGCAAGGACGTTTAGATAGTGAACACTACGACTACGCAACGTGTGTATATCGTTAGCTAGGCAATAAGGGCGCCACGCCGGATCTACTCACACGTCACTAACTAGGACTAATCTAGTATTCGACCACTGTAGATGTCAAGGCGCAGTATGTGTGACTAACTACTTATGATTACGGCGCTTTAGTATATAAAGCATCTATACCTCTCACTTGATCAGAGAATGATAAGTTTCGCTACCTATCTCAACCCCTATAGCCGCACTTAGTGTTTATCGCCTAATGGAAACCTCGATTCCAACTTGCTCTTAGCGGTATAGGGGACCGAGTTCGTCGAGAGCTTCGCCTACTCGTAGTCAAGCCTAGCTTTTGTGCTGCTTATCGCACTTGACTAATGTACTAAATCACGCGCTACACCTTTGTACCGGTGTAGATTGTAGGAGTGAAAGAATAGGTGACGAAACTTGTCATATAGGTACTCTAGCTATAATTGAAGGCCGGCCGCTTTCTAGATCGAGCGTTCATCATGTGCGATTGAATGAGTGATCTGCTGTTTCCTTCAACGGAGAGATGTACCCAACTCCTAAATACTGCCCAGACCGATCACACCCGACAGATATCACTGTGATGTCAAGGCATCCTTGCCGGGCCTTTCTCATTGGATCAGGCGGCATGGAAGCAATATTCAACTTGGTAACACTTTCTCGCTATGGATGACCGCTCTTCTTGGCTAGGCTGAACTGGTGATGCCTCTGTCTACAGCAATTTGTTCAGGCCCACCCACCGCCACGCCTGGAGGTGGACCGCGGTGTTTCCACGACATGTGAGTCAATGGTGGATCTATCACGAGCGGTTTGCCGGTCAGTTCCCTGGCATCAACCCAATTACCGTGGATCTGGGCCCGCATCCGCATGGGTAGCTCAATGACAGCAACGGGCTCCTCGAAAGATTTCGTGTCAAGAACGACAACATTGGTGAGGTTAACGTCGAGGCGGTCAACCGCGAATATAACATAACCATCCCCTTCTGGAGAATCATCGGTGCGGGGAATGAATACAGGCTCTTGACATCTGCACTGTGGGCCTGGATAGTAGACTTTTAGTTCCCCTGTACTTTTGGTGAGCATGGCTGTTGCATTCAATCCTTCGAAAATATGCTTGTCCACGAGACACTTTTCGGTATCAGAGTGGAACACGTTGAAGAAGATGTGATCGTACTTCTTGTTGTAAAACCGTTCATCAATTCTGGGGAACTCGTTGGGGATATCAACCAGGACAACCGGATCTGGGATATTCGTTTCACTTGGTTGATTCGTATCTATCTCGAGGCGAACTAGCTCCACCACTGTCTCTGGATCATGCGGTTTCCCATCAGCGTTATCCCAAAAAGGGAAGAGGGCTTCGCGTGGCCACGTTCCCTCGAAGTAGATTTTGTTTCCCTCCTCCCAGGCGCCAGCTGTGTGCACGATCTCAGAGTTGACATGGTGCGTGTAGGTACGGTGCTCATGAGGCTTCCACCCTGAGCCGTCCAAGGGACGGTCCGGGTTTCTGGGAGCCACAGTGAAACGAGCAGGTCGACTGGTATCCCAGACCACCATGGAATCTCCTGGTTTCCCCTGGAGGTTAAGAGAGGTGGGCCATTGGCAAAATACGATCCAATTTTCTGTAATCGCAATGTCGTGGACCAGTCCGCCAACGGATTGCTTGATTCGATGCTCGTTCTTCACAGTGCCGTTGCGATCCACAGAGTAGGAGATGATTTGGTTATTAAATATGTCGACACTCCAGGTGACGAGCTCATTAACGTGCTGATCAATCTTCGCATGTGCTGTGAAACTTGGTGTGACTATCTGATTCCCAAAAGGATCTTGTCCGGTGGTCTCAAGTGTGTCAGGGTCCATGGAGTAAGCCGGACCCAGTTCTTGGCATGCCAGCAACATACCGGCCCAGTGAATAACGTTAGTGTTTGTGGTCGAGTCGACGACCGCACGAACACAAGGATGCGTGCTCAAAGGGTGATGGAGGATGTCCGAGAAAAGACTCTTCTTCCTGTTCCTCTCTAGCTTATACCTATCGCTCTGCACGTACCGAATCTTGAAGTCCACCTGGCCCTGGTGGATACGAAAGGCGCTGACAACGCCGTGTCCTCTGAGAGGGCTGAGTCCGTCGGGCGCGGGGGTGAAGTGGTCCTGAGCGACACGATAAAAGGTTCCTTCGACGCTTTTAGGAATAATACCTCGAACGATGACGTCGCCAATTTCACCTTCGAGACGTATCGGCATGTCGTACCCGCCTAGGTCTTCCGTTGGGCACCATTTCGTTGAAAGCTTCTCGGCACCTTTAATGGGAGCTGGCGTAGTCATTTTTGCAAGCACGAATCTCTTGCTGCTGGATTTCGGAACTGGTGTAGAATGTGCGGATTGTTCAAAAGGTTTTGGGATGACGGCTGAGATCCCCTGGGATAGATGCCAGGGAAGGGATCTCTAATATATTCTCTCCTCCGCCTTTTGATTTAGGTGTGCTGGTTGTCCGTAGACCCAGGAACCGGGGCATGACCGCGGCGTTGCATGTCGAATTATGCACATCACCTCAAACATTCCGGGGCACGCCTGGTCCGTATTGTTGCATAAGGTGAAACCCCAATACGCCTAACAGTGACAGAGCTGCATATTTGCCCGAAGCAGCTATTTCAGCCGCACCAGTAGTAGTGATTTGTGCCTTTACGCACCGTGAAGTGTTGGTGAATCTCATAGTACTGCTAATCAGCTTCTCCAATCAATCTACGGATGAAACTAAACACCTGGCTCCGAGCTTGTGCTGTGTTTGAGCACCATGGCCCTGCTCTTCAAATGCGGGGTTTACGCCACCAACCCACCGAGGAAGGAAGGAAAGGATAGGGTGGCAACTGCTATTGACGACCCACATGGTAGCACCCACCGTATGACAGTGAGCTGTCGTTATCAACTGCGTTGTAGTGTCCATAATCACTTTGGTGTTGTTGATTGTACACAATAGAATGATTTTCCGGGGTGTGGGGAGTGGTGGGGGGTGGGGGTGGGTCTTATGAGTCCTCATTAGGACGGGTCATAAAATTCGTTATCCACAGTTACTGTAAAACTAATGAGTGAAACGAGCAGAGGTCGGATCGAAAGTAGGATAGCATTTGCTTTGATTGACTGTTTGTTTGCACTTACTAACCCCATTTCGCATGCCTGGAACTAGGAATCTCGTGAATTTGACTATCCTGTACACTTTCGTTTGATACCATATAATTCATTCCTGCTATAATTCAGTGGAATCTTTAACTCATGCGAGGAGATACGCACTCTAAGCTATGAACATTGGACCGAATGACATGCAGCGGCGGCGACGGAGCACAATGTAAGCATCTAGCCATACAATTTTCTGCCATTCCCCACACGGGATCACTAGGTTGTGAAAGATCTGTCGAGAATCCCTGAATGCTTGAGGCTGCTGTGTCTCAGAAAATTCCGTTTGAATGCTGCAGCGTTGATTCATCGGGAAGCTCCATAAAACATTCCCAGTGCTCCACAAACTTGCCTCCCTCATGGCGAAATATATCCATAACCTGTGAACCTGGATCCGCAGTCGAACGTTTGCCATGCTGCTGCATAATCAAGTATGGACCGTCAACGAGTGCTCTCTTGAGTTCCATCTTTATGTATGGTTCACCTGGCCCTTCCCAGTCCTTCTCGGCCATCCCCTTCAACATCTTTGCTGCATCGAAAATCGATTCAACACCGTCACCTACCAAGGTACTGTGTTGTTTGTATCCTGGATGAAGAAGTGGCCGTAACCTATCAAAGTCGTAGTACTTGAAGGCTACCAGGTAGAACTCAATCCCTTTCTTGATTATGACAATCTGCTCCGCTGTATGAGGTGGCTGGCTGGGAATATTATTGTAGATAGCTTCAATTTCAGCTTTGAGTGAATCCTCAGTGATCTTCATCGTGGGTGTTTCGTCGAAAGCGTAGTGTGTTCTTCGTAAAAGGACGGTATTGGATTCGTACATGTATCTCAAATCTCAAAGCTCGAGAAGTTTAAGTATTTATGAGCTCTCGACGCAATCATAAATGTGGTGTGCGAAGTGGCATCCAAGAGACCAGACCTTTGCAGGGTGGGTTGGCCTCAAGACACCTGTCCACGAATTGAACGAGCTCCAATAGGCACTTGGTGATGTGAGCCACCCGGAACTATAAGGCGCCCATAATGTCAGTTGTCGCAAGTGGGAGTGCATCCAATTCAAAGCATTTCGTGGCTGCACGAAGATCCCCTCTGGACGTGGACTGTTCCGAGGTCTGCTGACTCACATGCTGCAGAGCCAGAAGGCTCGGATTTTCGGTGGCTAGTCGTTCCCAACGAACTTCCACTTCTTCGCCACAATTACTCACCCATTTTCTTGTCGACTATTGTTTAGGAAGAACAGATGGCCGAATCCACAGCAGCAGCGTTATATACACCGGTGACAGCAGCATCCGTCGCCAACACTACTACTTCAAGCCAGCTAGACGGCAGGAAACGGGTGCTTCGCGCCTGTGAGCATTGTCGCCTGAAACGTGTTAGTCAGCGCTTATGACCCTCTCCATTGATTGTAATTTAATTCCACAATAGCTTAGATGCACCGCTGATCAATGGCCATGTATGAGCTGCCAACTCTACGGTGCTCAGTGTGTCCCTGTATCAGATCCGTCCAGAATGCGAAAGCGAAGGCCTCGCGCAATCGACGCCACCACCCGTACTGACCACGCAGTTAGTGATCGCCTTCGTCCACTTGATGATCTACCCGAGCCACCACAACGTCTTTCAAGGCCGCTCGAACATGGAAATGACTCCGAAGCCTCTGTTAATCTTGCTCGGGCGACTGCTAGTTTACCTCAAGACGCCCTGTCAGAGCTGTTCGGCAGCTCGGGAGTGACTGGTCTGCCTGTTTTCGAACATGTCACCGGTGATGGCGGCATAGGCCTCTCTCACGACTTCGTGGGCTTCGACAGTATGATGACCGAGTTCAATGCCCGGGAACAACATGCAACCACAGAGCAGCTGCTCGCCTTTGAGTCAGTCCCATCAGCGGGAGCTGTCATCGGCTCCCAGTCTCCCAGTTCTCTACGAAAAGAGGGGTCGAAAGGTAGTGATGGAAGAATATTTGGCGTGGACACACTACTACGGCCGGCGAGCAGCTCAAGAGCCATGTCTGCTGGCATCTTTAATCGCAAGGACAGTGGAAACAGCCAGTTCCTCGGTTCGCTCTCCCAGCCCCGACCAGTGGCAATCTCTAATGTACACAGGCTACACTTCCACGGCGGCCGTCGTTGCCCTTTGCGTTCGTGAATCTTCTGATGCGAATCACACACTGGGCGAGTCTGAGTCGTGTCGTTTCATCGTTGATTGTGGGCCCGTGGTGGATGAGATTTCTTGCACCGAGGTCAAGGCGATCCCGTCGCCGCAAATATCTTCGAGTACGATGACAGTGCAATATGTCAACGGTGGGCTTTTAATGCTTCGTCCAAATCAATGTCTAATCTTACTCGCGGCAGCCTTCTTCGAGGACTATTCCGTCTCTTATCCCATCATCGAATGCGCCGATATTGACATCATAGTCAAACGTTATACTTGCCATGGCTACCGAGACCTCACTCCGCTTGAACAGTCGGTCCTCTACCTTGTAACAGCGCTCGGTGCATGCTCCAGGACAGCTATGTGCATGAACAAATCGATTGATTCTCACAACCTTTACGCCCTAGCTTGGAGCCTGTTGTCGCATGCACTTGCAGTCCCTAGTGTCACATCTGTACAAATCCTTCTCCTTCATGTGAGTCTCACAAGCACCGTTCATGTGTTGACACAATACTCAATTTTTGGACAGGTACTATATAACATTCACTGGAGCAAATGGAGCATCGCTTGGGTTCTTTGCGGCTTCGCTGTGCGTGTTGCCCAGTCAATTGGATTGCACATGACTGTACCGCACGACTTTGGGCTTGAGTACGCGCGACCAGACCTACGGGTTCGACTGTGGGCCGTCGCACTGATTCTTGACGCGTGAGTGGTGGAGGGAAATCCTTCAGGTGGACTAGGACCATGTTGACAGTGTTAGTAATCTTTCTCTGAGTCAGGGGAGACCTCCTGCTTGCCAACCCTCACAATGCGACGCCGGACTACTCTCAAGCGAAGGCGGTATGCTGCAGATTCCCGAGCTCCAATGGCCGCTGTCACAAATCTTGACCCACAGGGTTGCTCTCGCTCAGATACAACAGAAGATCAACAATGTCTTTTATGCTGTAGCGACAGCGAGACAACGACTCAGCTCCCTCGAAGAGGCCGACTCCGATCTCGTGCAGTGGAAAGAGGAGCTGCCCCTCGAAATCCGACCTGAAGAGCACGCCATGCTGGATGGCGATGCGAACATTGACATTTACATGATACATTTGGATTATTTCAACTTACTACGCACTATCCACTGGAGTTTGATTAACCATTGGCTGAGGTCTGAGCGAAGTGAGGATGTTGCTCGACGGCTCCGCGCGAGCGAATCAATCTGTCTAGGCGCCTGTTTGACGTCGGTGCGAACATTGAATGCGTAAGTTTGGTATAAGACCCCTCACATAGGCGAAGATTATAACTAACACAGCTATCTTGTCTAGCATGACTGATGGTGATACACGCGCAAGGTCCTTCCGGTAAGTGTCCCTTGCTGATCTAACTAGTTTGTGCTGGTCTCTAAGGTATATTCACAGATCGAAGGCCGACCACTTTATCTCAGCAATGGCTATCATATATCGGGACATTTCACGCAACCCGAGGAAATTGTCGGCGCGCACAAATCTAGAGTACCTCCGACTTATCAGAGTCCATCTTTCTCGTATGGGAAATGGGCACCTTCTTGCTCCTTCGCTAACTGATCTGTTTAAAAATATGGTTCACACTGCACAGGAGTTGGTTCGTGAGGGTACCCACATGGCGATGTAATGACAGGAGATCATCCATCTAAATCGTTTACTCTTGTGCAAAGGTGGCCAAGGAACTGAGCATTGACTTTGTAATGAACGAATTTACGAGTCAGACATCGTAATTCAATAGCTGCATCGACATGTAATGCTAGACATATCACATACAAGGTGTTGTTGCGCAACTATCCTGCCAAGAACGCGTCGTCGTCGACTTCTCTTGCGGCATTCAGGTTTCCGTAGTGATTTTCCCCCGTGGTTGCCACAGTCAAACCATAGTCCCAATACCGGCCTGCCTCAGGTGGTGGAGTATTGATGACGACGTGCTTCTCGGTGACGTTGCTGCGGTTGTACTGACGGTGAGGGACACCGGCTGGCAGCACGACGAACATATCTCGTGTGAGAATATGCTTCTGCAAGGCAACCTCAATTGTAAGCTCGCCCTCGAGGACGAAATAGTACTGATCAAACTCGTGAATATGAGTACGAGGGCCACCCGCATTGGGGGCCACTTCAGCATACATGATCATAGCATTGGACGACCCAGTGGACGGATCGGCCATAGGCAGGATCTTGAATCCGGGAAGCAGCTCCGACAACTTTTCCCTGCTGACAGTTCTCACATAGGCCTTCTTGCTTGTCTGCCACTCCACAGGCACATCCTCGGGCTTGTCAATCATATAAGCGATCTGCTCCATTCGATGCGGCGCGGGAATGATCATCTCAAGGTGCGTCTCGCCACCTGGTCCTTCATTCCAGTTGTAGTGTGGGAGACCAGCTGGAATGAAGACGAGACTATGCGTGGGAACAAAATGTTCACGATCATGTAGGCGAACTTTCATCGTGCCACGGACAAGATAATACATCTGATCTGAATGGTGGTAGTGCCAACCGGGGCCGCAGCCACCCTCACCTATATGGCTGGCCAAGATAACAGCACTCTCAAGGAAGGAGAGGATTTGAGCCCGATACTTGGGAAAACCAGTGTCAAATGTGGCGTTTTCATCAAAACGGCGCACATACTCCATGCGCTGAGGGGCCGGGATCCGAGGGTGTGATTGTTTCCACTTTCGTATGAGCTCCTGCCCATAATCACCTCCATTTGGCTGCCTCACTATAGTATGAAGATGGTATTTTCCTGGAGTCTGGTTGGTGAGATAGACACCTGTGTGGTGGTCCAGCTCCACCAGAACCACAGGGCTCTGGATGCGGAGATAAAATGGGTCGTGGTCACCAAATGCGCCGGTCCAAGTGAAATAAGTCTCGGAGAGATGCTTACGGACAAGCTGAAGATAGTGATCAAGCGGGGCGGGCGGCAACAGTTCGTGGAAGGTGGCAACAAGAGCAATAAGTAACTCCTGGTGCTCGGGCGTCAGCTCACTGGCTACCAGACCTTCATTTGGTATTATGGCATTGTCCTTTCCGGTGCCTCCAAGGTGCCGTTGATCAACTACGTTCCAGCCAGGGGTGTCAGGTTCATGAATTTGGGCCGTCTTCTGCGCCTTTTTCTGTTGCAATTCTGGGAGACTCTGCATCAATTGCAGACCTAAAGTGGCTTCGCGGGGGTAAAGGTCGAGTCCTTTATCAGAGCCTTCGTCGATGACCTGTAGACAGAGGTTTCATTAGGCCCTGCCAGCTTGAGATGATGATCAGGTGACTAAACTTACATTTGGCTCACAGCCCAAGAAAGTCGGTCCAATTGTCATCTGATTGCCAACGAAGAAAACATGCAGACAGAGATGATGACCAGACAAGGAAAACCCCCAAGGCTGTTCTTGAGATGGTCGGCCGAATAACATGAAACTGCATGTTGCGTCTGCCAGTTAGCAAATCGGTCAAATGGTGGGCGGCATGACTCATTGCTGTCAGACTGTCTCACATACAAGTAGCTGTTTTCGTTGAGAATCGCTGGTTTGCCCACCAGAGTTCCCAGAAACTTGTTGATTCTGGTTGCCCCTACGACCTTGTCATAACCATGGTCGCTTAGAGAAGCCTTAACCAAAGCCCACACGAGATCGATCTTGTGCTGGTCGAGAGATTCAAGCCGCAAGCCGATGTCATATGCAATGATTTCAGTGTTGCTCCACTTTCTCCTACAACACCTGAGCTATTTCGATCATTAAGGACGGCCAAGTGACTCACCAATCCTCGGATTGCAGCTGGTGAAGCGCGCGTAATTTCTCATCTGGTGTCAAGATATCCAGAACGCGATTCGCCGCGATTGTCGCGGCCGTTGTCGGCGCACCTTCGTCTTGGAGCGGATAGAGGTTGGGTATCTTGTTTCCGTCGGTCGTCACACCGTAGAATGGTTTCTCTAGACTCTCGCCCCATTGTTGGAAGAGCGCGGATACTCGCGGATCTGCCGAGGCCGCTTTCGAAAACACATGAACGTCTGTACAATCGATTCCGGGAAATGGATGTCCGTCTAGCACATCAGGCGTCAATTCCAACGAGCACAGTATGCAACAGATTCACTCACCAGCTACAGGAAGGTGTTCCCGAAAGCTACTACCGTTACTAGTGAGAGTTGTTTCAGCAGCCATGAGAAAAGGTCAGTGAAAAGCCTCAACTTAGGACGTCTAGTTCGATCGAGGGAGGCACAATAACGGTTGGTTATTGGGCCTTCTTTGGGAATTTCAATCGCTCTGCCAAGAACCTTGTGACATGCCATTCGGTATGTACTTAAGGGCAAGATGGCGCGAAAATCTACTTTGAAAGCCGCCGGTGGATCGTGGCAAAGTTCCTCGGTGGCTGTGAGTGCATGCATCAAGACTCCTGACACAATTCATGCTTCCTCAGTATCACAGTGGCAGACCAGAAGCCACCCGCAAACGCCAGGGTTGAGCACAGTGGCCCCAACATGCGGAGTCATATGATGTCTCCATCGAGCTGTAAAAAGCGATGGCAATCCCAAGAAGAATGCCGCAACTAGCGCGGGTGGATCATGTGAAATCCCAGTATGTACTAAATCATGCGCTCAGCAAGCCTCTGAAGCTTCCCACATTTGCATGGCGGGGTATTTTGACTGTGCTCATTAGTAGATCGGTCATCATTCCTGATTTTCGGACAAAAGATTGTCCTCTCGTCACCATCGGTTCCTTTGTGTACTGTTCTCTTGTCATAAATATTCTAATTTTCACGCCCTTCAATCAGAGCCCGCCGCTACCCAGTACCCTCAGCCGTTCCAGCGTCTTCTTCACCCATAGTTTCTTTCCGCAATAAACGCAAGACTGATGTCTTCTCCGAAGAGCTTTGACATCGCGATCATCGGCGGAGGTATTGCGGGTGTCTGCCTTGCCATTGGTCTCCACAAGCGTGGTTTGAAGACAACCTTATACGAGCAAGCTCCCGGATTCCGCGAAATTGGAGCTGGCATCTTCTTCTGGAAAAATGCCATCGATGCAATGGCGCTGCTGGATCCTGACTTGGAGACGGCATATAGGAGTGTCGCCACCAGGACTGACGCCGTACCAGGTGTAGACATTGGCACTAGTCTGGTCGATGGTCACAGCGAGTCAGACTTGCAGAAACTACTGTTTTATTTGAAGCCCTCGGATACCACTGGAATTCATCGAGCTAAATACCTCGAGGAAGTTGTTAAACTTCTTCCAGAGGGCATTGTACGCCTCGAAAAGCAAGTGGACCAAATCGTGGAGGACCAGGAGACGGGGAATTTGACAATGACTTTTACCGACAAAACTACTGCGACTGCTGATGCCATTATTGGCTGTGACGGTATCAAGTCGCGAGTGCGACAGTTCTTAGTGGGCAAAGATCATCCGGCGTGTCACGCGGTCTATACTCATACATATGTGTACCGTGGCATGATACCGAGGGAGGAAGCAAGAAAGGTTATCCGAGAGGATTATGAGGGTAAGCATGAGCCAGATCCGATAGTAAGGGTACGTTGTATTCTTTCCCATGCGTTCCTTTGCCTCTATCTATCTCAAGTTGCTGACTACAAACGAACAGTGTGGGAAGGATGGCCATATCCTTACCTTCCCAGTCAACAAGGGGACGATCCTGAATCTTGCTGCATTTCACCACGACTATAATGAATGGTCCGACCCTCTGAACACAGTTAAGCCCACCACGCGAGATCAGTTACTAAAAGATTTTGCAAACTTTGGATCCCCTGCAAGGGAATTGCTGAAGTTTACCAGACCTCAATTAGAGTGTGTAGGTTATCTGAGCTCCTAAACCTATTCTCACTCTGCTCTACATGGAGTACTTTTGCTGATCGTGCATTTCAGTGGGGCTTATTCGATCTCAAAAACCCCCTCCCCTTTTACAACAAGGGACGTGTATGCGTCTTAGGTGATGCAGCCCATGCAACCACCCCGCATCTCGGAGCAGGAGCCGGACTTGCGATCGAAGATGCTGCAGTGCTTTCAGAGCTGCTAGCCGACCCTAGAATCGAGACCAGAGATTCTCTGAATGCCGCTTTGGCTGCATATGACATGAGCCGTCGGTCTAGGACTCAATGGCTGGTAGAGATTAGCCGCGCAATGGGTGAGCTTTATGATTTCAGAGATCCAGATGTGGGGTCAGACGTTGGCAAGAAGGCAGCCTTTTGTAATGAAGCCGCTGAGAGGGTACAAAGTGGAAATCCGCGGCAGATGGCCGACGGAGCAAAAGCATTGCTTGGCCAGTATCTGGATGATCAGTCCCAGTCTGATCCCATAGCAAAAATATGAAGAAGCGAGTTATTGCGCAAACGTTTTTGTGGCGTATAAAGCCGGTAAGCAAGGCAAGTTCCACATGCTCCGGAAGAACTGCGAACATATCACGGAGCAGCCTTGGGTAGATTATAGAGATCGAGTTTGAGTGATAGCGCTCTGAAATTGCTATTTAGAATGTTAAGAGCAAGATAACCAAAACATCCGGCACTTATCTGTGATATCATGTGCATTTGCTCAGACACTGGTATAGCGTAGTAGTCTTTTCAAATATTCTATCTGTGGAGTCTGGATGTGTGATATCTTCATTGACTCTACTAGATAGCTTGCATTTCCGCTGAATGATACACGGAAAGCACGCTGCCTCGCCCATCTGCTCCACCACTGAGGAATCTCGGAAAATGATCATGTTGTCTATTTCTCTAGTTTGCCAATTTGCCAACAGATTCTGTGCAAGTGATCTTGATGGACTCCCTTGCTGCTTTCGGGGCATATGAAACGCCGCTCAGCTTTAGGCTGTGTTGGGTGTACAGTGCAGGGCGACATATGTTGTACACTCTTGTATTACCATCGTAGCACGTGGATAGTGGTCGAGCGCAGCAGCGTCCATGCGTTCGTGAGTGAAAGCTCAAAGACCCCCTTGATGCGCATAACGGTCGATATTGAATGTAACGGCTGCATAATGTCAAAAAGATCCTAGATTATGGCGCCCGGGCGTAAGAGAGCCCTGAATACATTTCGGAGTTCTGATAGCGGGTCCTTGCCCATTTCGCGTGCTCGCCAGGCGATATATTTGTCTGGTCGAATCAGGAGTGCACCACCATCGGAGATCTCACTAAATCTAAGCCAGTCGCCATGAGGATCCGAGACTTCTAAGCCCAATCCGATTACACTGGTAGCAATATTGAATCCCAGATCAGAAGATACCTGTTTGGCGGCATCGAGCCATGAGGAGCCACCAATGCCTGTAATCAGGGTCCAAGTGTCCGCTGGTACAAGGTCCAAGGTACTTACTGGTTTGTCTCGCCGAGTGAGCCATACATGCGGTAGGTAAGCACCAGGATGGGTCGTTGGTTGATAGTATAGTTCGCTGTCCTTCTCGTAGGCCGGGAAGGGTGTGCCATCGCCGACAACTGCGTTAGATTCGTATCGTTGGCCCATTTCTACCCCGTGACCGTTCACCCCATAATTGAAGTCTTCCATGATCTTGTAAACCTCTTCCCGCCGACGACGTCCATCCGGGGTCGGAGCGAAGTAGGAATCAATGGCCGCCCAACCCTCCTCCTCGGACTGGCCAGCGCGAATTCCCAGGCTAGCAGGTACTCCAGAAGCCAGTCCCATGGACTTCGTCGCACGCGCGACGATCTGCCGCCCAACTGGAAGTCGTTCAGCCTCGTATGAGTCAAGCAGGGCGTCATCAGCTTCGCCACGAACTACCATAGAGAGTTTCCAGGCCAGATTATACGAATCCTGAATCGAGGTGTTAGACCCTAGGCCATTGGCAGGCGTGTGGCGGTGGGCAGCATCTCCAGCAATAAAGACACGCCCCTTACGATACTGTTGTGCAATGAGACTGTTCATTTCCCACTTTCCGAGACCCTTTATCTTAATCTCGACATTTGGGTCTCCTATGGCCGCACGTAGGCGTGGTAGCAAGGCTTCGTCTGACGCCTCGAGATGGTCGGTTTCGGGATCGTAGCTAAATTGGACCATCCACTCGTTCCACCTGCGCACCAATGCAAAAGTTCCAGAGCCGAAGAAATATTCTCGTCCAGGATGATTCGTCCAGTACAGAACACCTGGCCTGTGGGAAGTAAGGTGCGTGAGGTCGGCTTCGATGTGAACGTTGATTGCATAGGCTAGCCTCGAGCGCCCATCGAGTTCGATACCCACTTGCTGTGCGACCGTCGACCTTCCACCATCGGCAGCGAGAAGGTAGCGAGCACGGATCAAGTACTCGTGGCCTGTAGGTCGATAAAGCACTGTCGCTGTCACGCCTTCGCCATCCTGTTCGACCTTGACGAGTTCCGAGCTGAAACGGATATCGGCGCCGAGATCGAGAGCCCCACGATGAATGATGGGCTCGAAAAAGTGCTGCGAAAGGTTCACCGTGGCGCATGGGCTTGAAGCCTCATAGTCACCTTTGCGGCTTGTTCCACTTCCCCACGCATGACAGCGTGACAGTTCTCTATCGCCGAGCGACGTTACCCAGACCATTTCTCCGACATCTTGCGACTTGTCGCCTACTTGGTAAACTCGCGACTCCAGGCCCAAGTCTCGCATGATCTCTACTGTACGTTGATTGGTGATGTGAGCACGGGGCCCGTTCGCCGTGCTGCTGTACTTGGTGATGGTTATCGACGCTGTGCCTTGACGCGCGAGCAGCGCTGCCGCGGTCAACCCTGCAGGGCCGGCACCAACAACGAGAACGTCGGTGTTAAACGTCGACATGGCCGTTAATTTGAATTTTGGGGATATTGATCTTCGGTCAGCGTTGCCGCGATTAATATATTTGAGCGTAAATTGCAAGTATCGGGGCTGTGGCATGCCACCATTGGATACTTGCTCAAGGGTTTCTACTCGGTTCCACGGATGTAGCGTTATGCCTCTCTGTCCCTCGGTGGCGAGGACAAGACCCCTCTGACTTTCTGCCATCCTTGGACCATGCTAAAATGATAGTGCGGTCCCCCCACGTTCCATAATAGTTATTTTGCGTAACCGTGGAAGGATTTCCATACGTGGAGGAAGACACCACCTAGCTTGCACCCACCCGGGCCACCAACAGCCACCTGTAGTAGTACATGCAGCTCATCTTCGTTCGTGGGGTGGTCTTTCGCTGTGGGTTCCGCCTCTTTCCAGATGTGTTATAACACAGTGTAATATACCACGTCGAACCCCAGTTTTCTGGAGAACATATTATATTCCAATCTATCGCCAAAATACCTCGCCAATGGCGACTAACGGCGTTCCTGAAGCACGTTTTGGCTCTTCATCGACAATTCCACTTTGGCTTGACGGGAAGGAAATTACCAGCAACTCAACTTTTGAGGTTACTTCACCTGTGACCCATGAAGTTCTCTATAGCGCATCCTCCGCCAGCGAGGAAGATGTGCACAAGGCGGTCGACTCTGCACAGAGAGCTTTCAACACGTGGTCATTGACGAAACCTCGAGAGCGTAGGGATATCTTCCTCAAAGCTGCCAAAGAATTCGAAAGAAGACGCCCAGAATTGAAGACTTACATTTATAATGAGACTGGCGAGGCATCGGCTTTCTTTGAGTTTGAGTACACTGGAGCGATTGAGACATGCATAAGCATAGCTGGACTTATTCAAGTGGCGAGCGAGTCAGCTGCTCCTACGGTCAACGACGGCAGCGCGATTTTACTTAAAGAGCCATGGGGCGTTGTCTTAGCAATCTCACCGTGGAATGCACCATATGCACTGGGTATTAGGGCTGTCCTCTCACCACTTGCCATGTGCGTTTACCCTTAGGACTTCTCTATACTAAGCAGAATACTAAACTCTTATTAGGGGCAATACAGTCATTTTCAAGGGGCCGGAAGCTGCCCCCGCGACTGCCTGGGCTATAACAGATGTACTCCACTCAGCAGGCCTGCCCGCAGGGTGTCTAAATACGGTTTACCATAGGCCTTCAGATGCTGCAGCTATTACATCGGCACTAATAGTACACCCTGCTATCAAGAAGATTAACTTTACAGGTTCAACCCGTGTAGGTTCCATTATTGCTTCTCTCGCAGGTAAAAACCTCAAACCGACGGTTCTCGAGCTAGGCGGTAAAGCTCCAGCTATCATCTGTGAGGATGCAGACATTGAGAAAGCAGCGTTCCAGTGTACCTTAGGTGCATTTCTTCACGCTGGCCAAATCTGTATGTCGACTGAGCGGATTCTCGTTAACTCTAAAGTTCTACCACAGTTCCGCCAGGCGTTCAAAGAGGCAATAAATACTGTTTTCTCTGAACAAGGTCAAGGCGTCGCTGGGCAGTTGTTCTCGAAGCTACCAGTGGAAAATAATAAAAAGCTGGTTGCTGATGCGATCTCAAAAGGCGCTACTACTTTGTATGGTGATCCCAACTACAACGAACCTAGCGAGACGAAAATGCGGCCCCTTGTCCTAGAATCTGTCAAGCCTACGATGGATATTTACTATAACGAGTCTTTCGGCCCTAGCAGCTCATTAATTGTTACCCAGTCCGATGAAGAGGCTGTTGCTATCGCTAACGATACTGTCTATGGTCTTTCTGCTGCTGTCTTCACGGAGAATTTACGACGCGGTCTTCGAATCGCAAGACGACTCGAGAGTGGTGCTGTGCACATCAATTCGATGACAGTCCATGACGAGAGTTCAGTTGCACATGGGGGATATAAGCATTCTGGTTTTGGGAGGTTCAATGGTCTGGATGGCTTGAATGAATGGGTCCACACCAAATCCATTTTCTGGAAGGATTGAGTAGTGTTACTGCCTTTCATGCAGCCACCAGCTTCCTCAGCACCATCTTCCAGTGTTGAGGAGCTCATGCCGACGGGGACATTTGCAGTAAAAGCCTCTCACTCGCCAGAAGTCGCCATTCCGGTTCGGCTAATGAAAATCCTCATCTTGGACATTAAATAGTCACGCTGGGCGGCCAAACGTGCTTTATACTGCGGAAATGATATGGAGTACTACGAAGCAATCGCCTAACTTTGATAACAGCGTAACCAAGACCTCCATGCAGCTATACTGATTGACTGATGGGAGCCTCGTTGTCATGGAGAGCTATGTCCAATTTTTTAAAGGCAGTCACACTCTATCCGAGCATGAGCAGTGAAAGCTCACTACCTCCGATTACCCAAGACCTGCAAAATTCGTGTTTTTCATCCGGAGTCCATTACTAAGTCACAGGAGAAGTATACCCCGCTAATGGCATAACCGTGATACACCTCCTATAGACCGTCGGTATTGGTGGAAGGAGTCTTTAGTATATCCGCGACCATTTGCTCATCCACCGGCCTGAGCACTTGTCACACGTACGGCCTTTAGATTTCGAATGTCAACTTTGACCTTGAAGCCAGCAATAGGACTAGACGAAATTCCGAAGTAGTCCGAGCTCTCCCGCTTGTGACGGCGAAGTAATGTAACGTTGGGACAGCCAAACAGGAGCGCGCACGAAGTACATTGAATATGACGTCCAAAAACTATGGCCTTCCAGGAGTGATAAGTGCTCTACGGCTGTTTGCTTAGCAAAATGGCACAATCTATGGCAGCTGTTTTGAACTCAGGAGGAGCTACATGCCTCAAAAAAAGAACAATTTTGTTGCAACTCAGAGGGAATTAAGGCCATAACGACTATATTTACTCTATCAGCTATGACATGTATCCTACTACCTAAGCGCCTGCGAAGCAAATTTCCAAGAACCTCTATGGAGGCGGACAGCTCTGGTTTAATTTGTTTGAGCACCACCAAGATAGTTTTAACCAATACCCCGACGATATGGATGGGCAGAAACAGCAAAGATCAAACACTGAATCCAACGGTGACATTCCACCAAAATATTTTGGAAGCCTCCATCTCCTCGACCTCATGAAATTTGCACACGGTCAGAGTCAGGAAGACCAGAGCATGTTTCCGCTGGACCGGAGCATGTCTTTCATTTTCAGGATCACTGGTCTCCAAGCATCAGTTAGTCACCGCCGACAACATGTCTCCGACGCCCATGCTCCATGTTGTCGAGAAATCCATACTACAAGCGACACCCCTGTCTACAACGAGGGATCAAAGGAAGTAGGATAGTGTCACCTTGGCGCATCCAGGGCGTCCTTTTCGTTGTAATACTGGAAAACCACTTGAGCCTTCTTAATTCGGTACATCATAGCGAAGGGCGAGAGAAATTTGAGAAGGACAAGCCAACCCGCGAGTGTTGGTAAGGTATAATGGAGCCGGTTGACACCTCCTTCTGAGAAGATTGTAATCAATGTTTGGAACCAGTGTAGCGAAGGAAAGAAGTAATTGATGCGGAACCAGTGGTTGGTAATAGCTGGATCGGCCAAAGACGCTGCCAAATTGAAGATGACCCATGTCAGAAAAACGAACGATGTAAATGCGGCAGGGATGAGAGCGGTAATAATATCCAAAATGTCGAAGCTAATCATGCTAAATACCCATGTGATAGACCAGAAAGCGAAGAACATTTTTGGATTCGTACGAAAAGAGCCTTCAAAGCCGAAGGCCCATCCTGCAGCGCAAAGGCTGGAAAGTAATGGCCATATTGTACTGCAGATAAAGCGCGCGTAAATATGCGCCCGTGGATTGTATGCCGCGAAGACATGCTTGCTGTTGAAAATCCCGTTCAGTGCCATGATGAAGAAGAATTGCATCAGAATTGGGAATACTGCACCAATAGTGCCTATGATAGACTTGCCATCAAAGTGGTCAAACTCCTGCGATGCCGCGTTCGCACGAATAGAGTATGCTGGACCAGCAAGAGCACTTACTGCGGCGGTAGTGTTGTGGTAACGGGCGCTGGCGAGTTTAGGCGCGACGAACCGGCCACTGAAAATACCAGGTGCTGTGGATGCAACAGTGGCAGTCGAAGCCTGGATGCCTGAAGCGTAAAGAGAGTAATATCGAGTCGTTAGGAGATAATAAGTATAAACATCAGTGGCATTGTATACAGCAGCCGTACCGTCCAGCGCTTTTTCGAATCGGGCCGATGCGCCTGGGTGCACAACAATTGCTGCCCAGTATTTTCCCCTAAAGACATCCTCTCGGACTTGCTCGGGTGAGAGTCCAGAAGTATCGATATCGACAAAGGTTGGAAATCCATACGACTGGTTATCCGCCCTCGCTGCAATCCTCAGGGCCTCGCCAAAGTCGCCGCCATCAAAGTCTGCAAGAGCGACGGTCGCACGCTTCACATATTTTCCTTGGTTAAGGAAAATACCGTGCACTTGAGATGCGTTGATCCAGAATACAGCCATGATTATAACTGACACTGCGCCGATGGCCTTCAGCAATGCTGATATGGAAACGTGTTGTGCTTGAGCGCGGGTTGTGGTTGACTTGGACTCTGCTGATGCATTCTGATGAAGTGCCAGACCCTCGTCAGAGGCTTGCGTCGACGTAACCATTATGCTCGGTCGTAGGAATAGTTACAGCCTCGAGGCGTGTTGTATAAATTGAATAGATGAAGGAGATCACTCGAGGGTGCTTTGCGATGAGATTAACAGGCAGGGAAGAGGTGAGCTTTTATAATACCTGCAAACAACCAGAAAATTGGCTTGCAATACTCGTCCCGATATGTTATGCATAATGCCTTGCCCTTTGGTCTCGAAGGGTATCGGAAATTAGAGCATCCGAGGCTAAAGCGGGTCGAGGATGAGAGTCTGACCTAACAGCAGTGGTCGGTCTGAGTGACCTTGTGCAGAACGGCATTGGCGCAAACCTATTTTAACACGTCTTGATATCTCTAATTCGCACAGACAAGCAGCCATGCACCTCGCCAACGCCGACTGAAAATGAGACATTCACGACCTTGCTTCACAGCTGAGGCGAGTCTATTGTTGTTACAAGTCCCGAGATCATCGAACACGCTGTTTGCCCGAGTCGGTTGAATGGGCAATGTTGATGTAGCAACACCGAGCCAAGCCACATGCGAAAGCAACGACAAAGTACGCCACTGGTACTCCTCGCTGAAGGCAAATGTCTCACTAATGACCAGTCCCTTGGGAAAATTGACAGCATAAGCATTGACAATTCTCTCTAGTACGATTTTGATGTGGTTAGATCAGCCAGGGAACCCAACGTTTGTGGCAGTGGTGTTGACAACGAATGGAGACATAAAGTTGAACTGCGGCGCCCAAATGCAAGGACTGGTGCGGATGGGCTTGCGTACTTCGTACATGGAGTTGAAGTGGGCACGGTACAACTATGGTGCCGAATATGGTGGCCCGAACATTCGCAAGCGGCCTCTTATTCATATCGATAGCTGCATGCATGCTCGACTGTAGTACTATAGCAATTTTCCATCAAGCAATGCTCTCCTCATGACTTATCTTCTTTGCGACCATGATCGCTACCGGCTTGTGACACGAGCAAGGTAGACCACCAATATTTTGAAGCACCACGCTCACACCGCTAACTTCTATGCGAGATAAACCAAGCCCGCTCCTCTTAAGTTATGGGAGGATAACGAATGTCTTTGGGAACATCCACAACAACAGGCGCGCCACTTGCAACTGCCCAAAACTTCTGTATCTGTCTCAACTCGTTGAAAATATAGAAGACGATATACTCCGACCGAATAGCTTGCCCAAACTTGACGGCAGGGAACCCATTGGCCTTCTAAAACACATCAAAGCATCAGTAAACCAAATGGCATCTGTGTGGAGACAGCAAATGTTGTCACAGTGCATTGTGGACTCACCTCCGTGTCTTGTTTCGGCACGAAGTAGATTGTTGCATATATAGAGATACCCTTGTCGTCAAGGACCACATGGTCGGGATAAAGGTATTCATTCATGGTTTTCCGTGCTTCTCCAAAGAAACCCTTGAGTGGGTCTCGACCGCTGACTTCCACTGAAACAGTCGGAATCACCATACTAACATCTTCACTGTACCATTGGCAATATAACGGGACATTTTGGCTGTTGAAATCTTTCAGGTATGACTGGAAGTCAGCTTTCGAGTTGATTACCTTTGTCATTTCGCCCGATATTGCGGTCTTGCAGATTGAGCCTAAACTAGGAGATTGCGTGCGACTTACAGATAGCAGACTTTTTTTATCAAAGTAGGAGTTCAACAAATTCTTCAAGAGACAAGTCTCTTCGTGCCACCCAGCATCCCTTCATTCAAGAGTGGTGGGGATTGTGGGGTCAGGAGCATTTTCTGCAGCGGTATAAAGTGGGGGGATCCCCGGCAACTGGATGGGGTCATGCTGACGAGTGGGTGTTGGTGGCCCTTGTTATTCCTAGTTAATGAGTGGCATTGCCGCTTTATATAGACGCAACTAGTCATAAGTGCTAGCAGGACTAACCACTAGCCCGCCAAGCAAAGTGCTAGAACAACACCCACTCCATGCCACGTGACTAGAATTAGTCTGTAAAAGCCTCTTCTTGATAGTCCTACATCCTTTCTCCAGTGTAGGAAGGTCTCTTGATCTCTGTGGTAGCCAGGAGTCAGCCTCTTCCTCAATAAATGCCGTGGGAATGGGGACAATCAATGGTCTCACTACCACTCAGTGTATATTGAGCGATGTTCTGAGGATATCGATTATGTAATACCTTGGGAAATCACCCTTGATCATATGCTCAATCGCTAATCGAGTCGCTAGGTCCAATTAGCCCTCTTTAAGGGCTAATAGCAACTCACCTATAATGGCTACAGCAAATGAGAGGAGTGAGCTGGTGAATAGAGCGGGTTCATGATATTATTCTTGCAAAACTGGTAGAATTCAGTAGTGTTATAGCTTGTTTAGCCCGTACTTCCCCCTTGGCCCTGGACTTCGTGAAATGGTCAAATATTCGAGTTAACCATTGGTAGGTGGTTAAATCGCTAGACCTGTCTGGATTAGTAACAGTCAAATACCATGTACCCCGGAGCTCTAATCTCTTTGCCACCTAGTAACTTCCCTGGTTAATCTTGATGAAAACTAGAAATGGTAGAGTTTCATGCCTAGAGTAATCAGGGTGGTGCACATAACGGATCCTCAAATGGTTTGACAACCTAGAAATACCTCTGGAACTGATGAATTCAACAACAGTTATCTAGCTGTTCTTTAAGGACTCTCAATCTTCTCTTGCTTCCTCTAACTATTCTAGTAGCTGCGGCAATCCCGGTTTAGAAGACTGTCTCATTAAAGTTATAAGTATCTTTAGAGACTAATTTCCTCTACACATTACATTGAGAGCTGAGAAATATAACGCCAGCCCTGTTTCAGAAAAGAAGCGACAGAGAATGCAATCATAAGGCTTTGAACATGAACACGAGGAGGCCTTACTCAGTCACCGGTACTTATGTATAGCCGTTAACCGATTGATTGCCAATAACGCAGACATGTTTACAATCTCGTAATCTATCTGGTATCGTGGCGAAGAAACCTGTCCTAGAACATGTGCCACCTGTGTTTGAAACAGGCTCGACATCCCGAATCTAGATCTCGACTGTGGGCTATGAACGCATTGTCGTGAGCATTCCTTCATCAAACTCAAGTTATGATTTTATCTTCCTTACCCGATGCAGTTTCGTAGTGCAGTTCAATTTGTTCGAAGAATCCAAGGACGCTACGATTGCGAGCTCATAGAGGTCATTAGAGGCAGTGACGATGGAACTGGGCCTTGAAGATAGCTGTGGCAAAATGATTGCGCGTAATCTAGAGTCTTGGCCTCGGAGAACCACGTACGCTGACAGGAAATAGTGATGGGTACAGCATCATCGCTGTGAGAGAAATCTTCATGTCTACCCTTGCATGCATTTAGGTTGCCAAAGGGCTCAGCGATTCCACTTGCGCTCTAATGATTTTTGAAAACCTCGATAGCCAATAAACATCTCGTCGGGATCGTACTTCTCACGGATCTTCAACCATTTCGTAAGTGCAGAGTCTGTCATAATCTGACAAAGGGTCAGTCTCGTTGGTTGGGTCTTAGGGAGATGGCGAATTAGATACCTTTGAGACTCGCTGATTGACATCAAAGTCCCCAGCATGCTGACCAAGACCAAGTTTCTCGATTTCCGTGTATGTATCAAGAGCCCATTTATCCATTTTTGCATCAAGAGAAGGGTCTTGGTAGCACACCATGCTCGATATCATCAGTCTGGAAGGCAGACTTAATGCTTGAATGTTTTCATCAGGCCTAGAGTCCACAATTGCAAGTGCACCTGTGGCTTTGCGAGTTGGTAACTTGAGCAAAGCGGCCTCTGCCTTGTCAACAATCTAGATTACCTTGTCAGCGTGCCTAGCTCTCGCTCTCGGAGTAGGCGATTAGTGCCTCACCTCATCATCAGACGCATCGAAACCCACGAGAACGCTTTCAACTCGATATCTTTCACCATTCCCCCCCGGAATAAACTTATCCTGTAGATCCCATAGCGCCTCAAATTCTCTTTCTTGCATTGGTATCTGAGAGACTACAATCTTTCGAAACTCTTCTGGAAGCGTGTCGAGTGGGGCGGCCAGTGTTTTGGCTTCCTCAATAGAGTCGCACCCAATTGTAATATTAATGAGCATGAGAACCCTTTTTGCTCTGGATTCATCGTCCCCAAGGCCTTGGCCGTCGGCGTACATAGTCCCGATGAAGTAGTCGACCTGTTGTTTAGGTATACGCTCCGCGAGCTCTATAGCCCATTTGAGAAGAGGCTTGAAGTGGTCTGTTGAGTCGAGCACGTAAGTGGTGTCAAATAGCTTCCTCAGACGATCCGTTCTACCCCAGACTCTAGTCAATACACCGAAAAACCCCTGGCCACATCCACCGGCAGCCCAAAACAGGTCGTGATTGTCCGTTTTGTTAGCAATGACGACCTCTCCGTTCGGTGTGACAACCTCGATCTGTGTGACCCAAGACTCGTAGGTATACCCATGGCCGCGGCAGAACAGCCCTTGACCACCTGTGAGAAGGAATCCGCCGGCGCCAACCGTCCGTGAATGGCCATATGGAAAGAACCGTCCGATTTTTCCGCAGTGCCCGGCCAGTTCTTCAACAGTATGGCCAGGACTAAATGTCAAAATTTGACTGACTGGATCATACTGAATATCTTTGTTCAGGAACTTAACGTCAATCAACAACCCTTGCTCAATGACCGCCGGAGCTGCAAAAAGGTGACCACCCGACCGTACACCAACCTTGAGACCTTTCTCTTTGGCTCTCTTCACAGCTGACGTGACATCCGTGGTTGTTAATGGCACGACAATCTCCACCGGCTTCCGGTCAGGATGACGAGCATTGTAGATACGCGTCCGGTACCGCTCGTATTCGGTTGAAGTAGGGTCTAATACCAGGGTGGACTCGGGTTTGGCATACGATCCCATGGTGATAACCTTCACTTGAGAATGCTGTTGAGCTTATGCCGGATTCTGTTGACAAGGTCAAGTTATATAGGCTATAGGGCACAGGAAGAAGGAAGCAGGAGAAAGGAAGAAACAACTCACCAGGCCCGAGCCTAATTAAAGGCCACGACTTGTCTCAGCAGGACAGTCATCTGAATAGTTGACAGGTTGGTTGCATAACTTCCTGAATCGTCTGTTTCCACCATGGATTTTTGCTCAGCCCCACCTGTTGATATCATGGTGTGGACCTTGTGGTAGCCACCGGAGAGAGTGGCGCAAGATTCGAATGACATTTTCCGCAGGCAGCATTGCAAGCGAAAACCCTTCAATGTCTGATCGCCCATGGTTACACTGTTTATGTCACAACAGAATTATGCACGGCCTCCAGCCGACTGTCCGATAGATGCATCTCAAGTTCCAATGTCCTCGAAATGTCGTCAAAGCATGCCAAAGACTAATTATTCTGCTGCTCATCAACAATATAAGCTTTGAGTCACTTTCCGGGTATTAAGCCAATTAGATGGTCCACCTGACCTCCCTGGCAGTCATCCTCCTGCATGTGCGAACCCGATCTAATCATGCGCATAGCCACCTAGATCCACCGACTCGATTTGTTCGAGCGTTCCATAACATGAAAGCAACCCAAAGATCCGAAAACTTGCTATATATTGATCCAGTTCGGCCGACAAGTATGACCGAGGGTCACGACTTCAACAGATTTCCTCCCCCTATGCTTGAGAAGCCAACCACGTGGACCATGGCTTCCGTCACGCCCCCCGGACGGTATAACAATTTCTCAGAAGCTCATGAGCGACACCGAAAGCTCTTCGATAGACCTCTCCTTCACCCTTGGGAAGATGTGTTGCCGCCAGGAGTTGATCAGAAACTTTTTGACGCAGTGATCAATGAGTTGGTTGAACTACTAGGTTCCGACGGTGTCTTCGTCGGGAAAGCGCTGGTAGACTATGTAGACCCATTCGAACTCTCCGAGGCAGAAGGTAAACGCAGGCAGCCAAGTGCTGCAGTCTGGTACGTTATTCTGGCAACGGACTAAATAACCGGGAGTTGACGTTGCAGTCCTCGATCGCTCGATGAAATCAAAGGCGTCTTACAAATCGCGAACAAGAACGCCATACCTCTCTGGACGTTCTCACGAGGCAAAAACCTTGGGTGAGGTCATGGTTTCACGAATGCTCAGCTTGTGCCCAGCGCTAAGTCTTTGTCTAGGTATGGAGGACCGGCACCAATTCTCCAAGGATCTCTCATCATCGACCTCCATCGGTTGGGTGAAATTATCGAAGTTAATGAGGAGTTCGCCTACGCAGTTGTCGAGCCGGGCGTTACTTTCAAGGAGTTATTCGATCATTGTGTCGAAAGCAAACTAAAGGTCTGGCCTAGTGCACCTTCTTTGCCGTGGGGCAGCGTTATTGGGAATGTAAGAGCCATCCTAGAAATATCTCCACTGTCCATTGACTCCGTTGTAGACCCTCGATCGCGGTATGGGTTTCCTTCCGACCGGCGTCCATTCCCAACAGATAGCTGGGCTAGAGGTACTCTTAGCCAATGGAGACGTTGTGCGGACAGGTCACTTCGCCAACAGCAAGTCAAAATCTGGCCACTTAACCAAGCATAGCTTTGGACCGTCTATCGAAGGGCTGTTTCTGCAGAGCAACCTAGGAATAGTGACCAAATTGGGCATCTGGCTGACTCCCCAACCGCACAGTTATATGATGTGTAACCTTTCCGTTCCCGATATGAAGGATGTGAAGATTCTTGTCGACCTTCTTGCGCCAATGCGGAGGAATGGCCTTATTCCAGGGACGGTGTGGGCATGCTCTGGAACGGAAGTCCTGGCCGCCATGCATAAACGTGCCGAGATCTGGAAAGAACCCGGTCCAATTCCGCATTCGCGGCTTGGGGAACTCCTAAAGGAATTCGGCATGGGACTCTGGAACGCAATGTTTGGTCTCTATGGTCCTAAGTCCGTTGTCGAAGCTCAATTCAATGAGATCAAGGCAATTGTGGAAAATCAAGCGCCAGTGGCTCAGTTCAGGGGTAATATCTACGGTGGTAAAGATTCAGGACTGGTGGATGTCTTGTCCATCCCCGAGCTCGATGGCGGTATGTGGGCTGGCGTCCCAAATTTTCTTTCATGGGAAGGACTCAAGTGGAATCTTCCTCTTAATTCCTCCGCAAGCCAGCCATCCCATCGAGACTATGCGCCCATTATTCCCGCTAACGGTGATACGGTTTTGGAGTGGGCCGAGGTTTCCCGCCGGATTTGCGAAGAGGAAGGTTTCGACATCTTTTGCGACTTTTTCATCCTCGAGAGACACGTCATCTTTGTCTATCTCACGACCTTCGACAAGGCAGACTTGAAACAGCGGAAAGCAATGAAGAGTATCTTGAGTCGCCTCCATGAAGAAGGAGAAGCGAGAGGGTACGCACCGTATCGGTGCCATATTGATGATATGGGTAAGTTCGTGATAATCCCTTTTTCCACGACCTGAGACAGGCTGACGCTACGAAGACCGAGTATCCGAATCGTTCGACTTCAACAATCATGCATATCGAAGATTTGTAGAAAATCTAAAGGTAAACCAGTTCATGCCTCTTGACTACATAACCCCTAACTTGGTTATAGGACACATTCGATCCGCAAGGCATCCTCTCTCCCGGGAAATCGGGTATCTGGGGTAAACGGTTTCGAGAAACCAACGGCAGCACATAAGAGAAATGCTTTTTGGGCAGCCACAATAAAACACTAAAGCTAGTTGAGGTCACGACGGCTGGCTGGCCAAAACTGCAGCGCATGGTAATAAGGCGGAAGTGCGCAGAACCTCCACAGCGACACTAACAACCATGCGAATATCAGGTGCCGCTGGGTAAATGGTCACACAACGCAAGAATAGCTGTAGCAACATGAATTTTACGACCTGGTCTCATCTCTCATAACCTCTTCATATGTCTGTTAGATCGCGTACCCACCGTCCGCTGCTAAACCCCAAACGAGATCCTGCTTGACATGCACATTCCACTCAATCAGCACATTTTTTCACCATGACAGATCCAGTATAAGCCAAATTAGTTATGAGAGATGCGAACTTGATTAGAGGAGCACTGCAGAGATAACAAAGGGAAAATTCGTTCTTCCCATAGTTTACAGTCAGCTGATTCAAGACAGGTGAAAGTGTCGCAAAAAGGAGCTGGACCTGCAAAATACCGCAGAAACCTGTGCATCGTAAGATGCCATCCTGTAGGTGTAGAATAGAGCTACTGCAGCATTCAAAAATCTTCCCAGCTTTTAAGAATAGGCGCCTTCGTTTCTTATCGTAAGGAAGTCATCAAGTTTGCATCACTCGTCTGCACGGCACTGTGAGGTGTACCTCTGCCTGATCCTTCGGTTATGGTCTTCCTGAGGACGAGTATGGCATTGCCATGTGCTTCAAGCCCTATCCGAACGCAGCTGAAGAAAACCACATGTGCCAAATGGAGTGCGGCCGGTATGGGCTCCTGGTTTGAACAGGATGGCAGTAAATGATAGCGAGCCAGGCGGCAAAGGCATCGTGCCGTTGGAAATGTTTGGGTAGATCGTGATCAGCATTTGAGCTTCAATTGTGCTATCAGCGTCTCCACCTTCTGATGAAGACTGCGAACCCCTATTTCATAAAACATTAGACAAGAATGGACAAGCACGCGGGAGGTGTGACACATACATTGGTAGTTTATCATGTCGACAAGCAGGTCAGAGCATATCACTAGCGGAATGAGAGCACGATCAAACTCTTCCATATATCGCAAGTCATCGAGCTCTGTAAATGCTCTGTCTATCAACGTGTCGAGAGATGAGTGGGATTGAAACTCTTTCGACCGTTGAGCTTGAAGGTGCCAAAATAGCAGGAGACCTAGTGACGACTATTAGCTTCGCGTAGCTGTCTATAAGTTGCCAGGCGTACAGGCAATCATTCAGAGGCGTGAGACCAGAAATACTTACAACCTTCAATCAAACCGGGAAGACAAAGTGGCCCTATACGATGTGGCCCAACTTTCTGCAGATAACCGAGGCCATGCTGGCAGTTGATGTTAAAAGTTTCGCCTGCACGCATTAGGGCTTTGTTGAGGTGGTCGGTTGCAAATGGCCTCCCGATGGTGATGCTGGGATCACTGATAAGGTTTTTTATTGATTCAAGTTGGTTACTTGCATATAGGTGAAAAATAGCGGAATCCAGAAATGATCGCGAGCATTGCAGTAACGGCGAAGAGGTTGAGTCCACTACCATCTCGTGGTACATATCGTCGAGGATGGTGATCGAAGCTCCCATTCGTTTTGCAAAACTCTTGTAAAGTTCCAGATGTCTTGTGGCCGCCATTCTCTCAAAAGCACAGATTTGGTAGTGGATCGCACTAATAATAGTAAGTAGACCAAAGTCGCTCAGTTTGCGGTTAAGTCTTTGGCCGCTCACAACTGTGTTGAGTGATTCAGGAAAATATGACACCTCGGTAGGCCGTGTCCACTCCCCATCACATTTAAGCCACTCGCTTGTCATAGAAGGAAGTGCGAACTTAGGATCGTTGTTTGGGATTTGGAGAGGTCGATGTGTTGAAAAACAGCCGAGAGAGGTTTCAATGATCATACCCGCTGCTAAACATCTTGAATCATATTAGAGGCTGTTGTAGTAAGGCAAAGTGTGTAGATACACTCACCTACAGAGGGTTTCGCCGTAGACCCAGTCGGTATAGGTGGCGCCTTGGAAAGCGGCTAAATTTGCATGGGCAAGCTGAAAGAAAAGGTTTTTAGTGATGGGGTTTGGTTCAGTTATTTCTAGGATGTTGACCTACACTATTAAGGGCACTCAGTGACTGGCCTGCACCGTGATTGGGTGACCAGACATCTGTGCCGGGCCCAATATACTCCATGAGGAGACTAGCTTGTAAAACCCAAAGCTCAATTTTTCCACCCTCAGGGCCGGGAACACCATGTAAACTTCCTATAGTCCGTGTTATCAAGTGTTTTTTCTAATCAGTAGTGACAAGCTTAATACCTTTCTGTGACAATCCGCCTAGAAGCTGCGCCCCACTTGATCGCAACTCTGAAGCTTTCAGTTTTTCGCACAGGTACATAGCTCCACACGCCATAATTTCAATGAGTAGAGGAACTAAGTAAGAATAAATTTTAGTGGTCGCTAACAACACTATACCCGGTACTTACGAGGTGTGGTGACAATATTAAACGATGGTGGATGTATGATTGGTAGACAAGGAGCCATATTCTCGAAGAATGCTTTCACGTAGCGAACGACTGCGCTTTTACTGGGGAACCGAGAAAGAACGATTTGGCCGTCAGGATCCGAAGAAGCAAGGTTTGACTTCAATTTAGCATAGCCAACATCATCAAGCGCAAAGGGTTTCTCCAAAGGAGGACTGCCGAGTAGAAAGCTGCTCGAATTATCGATTGGGAGCTCCGAAGGAGTGACCGAAGTATTGTCCAGGAGAACAAGGCTCGGTGAGAGAGGATCTGATGGCTGAGGCGAGAATGATAGGATATCAGAACCAAATATCTGGAAGAATGCCGGTTCAGTGTCTAGATTAGAAGGGAAGCAGTGCAGGATGGAAGCAAGTTGTGCATCTCGATCAACGTCGCTAGCAAAGGTTTCCATGTCGCCGAGTTGCAGTTTCGGATCGAGAGGCACTGGCAGTTGTGCAAGGTCCATCGGTGCTCGAAGTTGAGTTTGCTGAAAAGGCTCCTTAGATTGCTGGTTTGTGGAGCCTAACATAGAGTCCTCCATCAACCGTTCCTCTGGTGGAAAAGGGCTGGCATACTCTCTAGGCCCCGAACCCCCATCGGATAACGTTGCAGGCGGCCCATGGGCTTTTTCTGCATGAAGGTTTCTGATATGGCGAACAATAACATCCTTCCTAGAGGACGATACCGGGCAAAAGGGACAGGTGAAAGGCTTCTCTGGTCGATCTGGTTCAAACAATGTGAATGGAACGGACTCAACGTGGCCACTGGACTATGCATGACCTACGTATTTTCGCATGCCGCACCAAATGCGCTGAGCGGCTAAAGGTGGCATCACAGATCAAGCATTCGAAAACTTTTGCGTTGTAATTTGTCTGGCTGCCATTCACGTGAATTTTCGACCGCTCTGAAGCAACGGCTGAGGCCATGCCGGATTAGAGTAGGTGCCTGCTGAGATCGAAGAGTGAATGTGGTTGAAGTGCAGGACTGGTGTCGTCTAGGATGGTACCCAGCGACGCATTTGATAGAGGGGATTTGTACTGGCAAGAGGAGGAAGTTGTGACTAGAAGTTCGTTTGCGGGGATGATGCCCTCATCTCGGATCAGGGAAAGGCGGGGTTTTGAACAACGACGCTTGAACCTGAGGCCAGGGGCCATGCTGGCAAAGATTTGCGAGGCTAGGGTCATTTAGGTTACAGATTGAAGGCATACCTGCCAAGGTTAGAAATTAGCTTTTGGCTTCTACAAATACTGCGTCAGTCGATGAGCTCTGTCCTGGCCCTAGTGCTTTCCCCTGCCGCCGTCACGGTACCGGTGCCCCAGCGCCAGTGCCCCAGAAAGTATGCAAGGGTTTCCTCTTCATTAGTAATGTGGTGTTTCTAGATCATCGCCAATGGCAGTCGTGGGATCTTAAAGAGATATTTACCCAAGTAAGCGTGTCCTTGGAACAAAGGAAAGATAGGGAAGCAAGGGTCGGAATTGGAACGATCCTGAATGGCCGACTACCTCATGCATAGTCCGTGACCTGTGGGAGACTCGGCCTCCTTCAAAGTGACTAAGCTTAATTTCTCGCACGTCCTTTGCCGCACAGTCCATCATTGGTTGCTCACCACTAGCATTAGCATAGCTAATTAGCACAGAACATCGGAGTAGTATAACGAACATGAGGTTAGGTTGCACTATCAGCATGTTGTTTCACGGAAGAACTCGGAACTTTCTCCCAAGAAGCTGATGGATGTAGTATTTACAAGTTTGAGGTATACTGTAGTCGTGCCGACGGCGTCACGGCGATGCAATGTGTTCGAAAACGTTCAGTGTCGCGTTCAAGGGGGCATTAAAGTTATGTGCATGCCAATCCACTACTGCAAAAATGCATAACCGGCCAAAAATGTGAGCCGTGGTGCACAGGTGGGTAAACACGCTTGTACCATCGACCTCGGCTCGGATATGAGTGTATGCCGTCCTTGACTTTGCAACTTACCCACCGCCACAGTCCAGTACGGAGGCGCTGTGTACAGTCTGTGGCATTTGGCTTATCAACCAAAGCAGCTATTGCATTGCTGAGTACCAGGGGACGGGGACTGCGTGAGAACAAAAGCCCGCCCCACTGCTCCCATGATAGGCTCACCCACCAGGGCCCTGTCAGCTGTCTAGCATTGATTTCACAAGCGCCACACCTACTAGGTAGCTTACAAGGAGTGTGGCCGAAGTTCCTGCTGGGTATGGAAGTGGAAGAGTCGATTTAAGACCTATGCCCTCTCTGGTGTCGCAACAAAAGCCGCTAAAGACCGTACTGCCTATTGTCATGTTCTGATCTTTTCGACTTGTGGCTTCTTACACCCTGTTGTCGAGTTCCCCTACACTCAATCCGCACGCCACTGTGACCTAATTACCGATATCCTGTGGTTGCTTTCAGGAAAGACAGAGATAAACGAGGACAACAGTTATGTCAGGCACACTGCAAGGGAAGGTAGCTATTGTCAGCGGCTCCTCGGCAGGTATCGGCGCCGCAGTCGCCAAGGAGCTCGCCCAGAGAGGTGCGACCGTGGTGCTGAATTATCCTCATGCTGGCGAGAAGGAAAACGCCACGAAAATTCTGTCCAGCTTCCCTGAGCCGTCTCGATCAATAGCTGTTGAAGCGGATATATCAACATACCAGGGAGCCAAAACCTTGGTGCACGCTGCCGCTGATGCGTTCCGGAAAGTGGACATCCTCGTCAACAATGCAGGCATTATGCTTCCAGGAGATCTCGACGATCCCGATGATGCCAAAGTTGAATCGAACTGGGAACGCATGATTAATTTGAATGGTCGGGGCGCTTATTTTTTGACGAGGGCTGTCCTGCACGTCCTGTCGCGCGAGAACTCGCGCATTGTCAACATTGGTAGCGGCGTTTCCCGTGTTCCATCTACAGGCCAGAGCATGTATGCTGGAGTCAAGGGTATGCTGGAAACTCTTACACGGAGCTGGGCAAAGGAACTGCCCCGGAAGTATGGTTGCACTGTTAATGCTGTGGCGCCTGGCATCGTGGCGACTGAAGGATATCTTTCATCACCTCAGTTCGTCAGGGATATGGTGAAGCCATTCGTTGACTCGACTCCAGTCGCCCCCCGTGAGACGACGCCAGAGGAAGTGGCTTGGACTGTTGCCATGCTATGTGAGGAAAAGGCCGGCTGGCTAAACGGCGTTTACGTTCCTATAGCGGGTGGCTCAATCATGATTTAGCATTGTCAAAATTTGTTGCATTATCCTAAGCGAACACAGCGTCGCTTGGAGGATGCCGCTATTCTCGGGGTTCACATACAACATGCATAAGGACGTGTCATTTGGTAACCCACGACTCAGCAGAGGAAATACAACTACCGGGGCAGAAGGCGTTACCAAGTACAAGTTAAAGCTTTTGTCATCATGCTGCACAAAACTTGCATTAACCTTGACGTGGATCGATGCCAGGGCTTTCGTGTATAATCTCCTGTCGCATGGGTCTAGCTGAACGACGATAGGGTTTTCGATGATCTAGGTAACAAAGTACTACTCATGACCGCTTTCATTCGCCATTACATGCACATCTCAAGTGGTACACAATTCTGCCAAACGATGGAGTTCTCTTGAAGCATCATCATAAGAGCATCCAATTCACTCTAGAACGACTGCTACTCACGACTTTTGAACAGGCATGGAGCAGTTGGGAGAATTGGAAATGCTACCTCGTCAAGAAGACAGTTGCCGCTACTCGCGTTGTCACAATTGTAATGCTGGAAAGCACTTGGTGGCAAGCTCGAACTCGAAAGGGAAAACTCTGCAGTAGTTTCACAACCAACGCAATCAGTGCGTTCGTGATTCTTGGTTATTCAACGTTCGGGGTTACATAGGTGTAGTTTCTAAAACCCCCATTTTGGACAGCATTCTCTTCTGCTTCGTGGTAACGATCCAGTGGGTAGATGGCGATCTCCGCTCCACTTTTTCGGCCCAGCTTCAGTGTTCCTGCTTCGACCAACCGAATTGTCTGATCTATGGTCTGTGGACTGCACATCGCTTGCCCGTTTATACTGAGGCAATGATGCATGGCCAAAGCATAAGGAATGGAGACGTTCCCAGAGGGTGCGCCGCTAAGCACAACTCGGCCCCTGGGCTTCAACGCGAGAAATGCGGCGGTCCAGTAAGGTGAGTCTTGCAATATTCCTGGCGCCCAATCGTTGAACACCTCTGCTCCTTCACCTCGGAGCGTTGCACCTTTGATGGCAGCAGTGTCTTTCTGTACATCTCCTGTCATGACAACGTATTTAAAACGGTCGGTGTTTCCCAGGTGTTGCGCAAGACTTTCCAGCTTTTTCGTGTCCCGACCAAGTGCCACAACCTGAGCACCCAGAAGTAACGCAATTTCACAAGCTGTACCACCAAAAGTACCAGTGGTAGGACCAATGATCACAGTGTCACCCGCCTTTAAGTCGGCGCCTTCAATCAATGCTGCTACGCACATGGCTTGGATAGTGATCTCTTGAAGCTCCGCGGGATGGTAGCCTAGCTGTTTTAGTAGCCGATTCTCATCCAGCAGATGGCAGCATTCGAGTGGGACTTTCTGATATTTCTGTAAGGAGCCATCTCGCCACTCTCCCTGCATCAACTTTTTTCCTGCAGGACCTTGACCTCCATGGTGACCTTGGATGATGAATACCGAGCTATCATCTCGCCCCCTGATTAGTGGATCAAAGTAGATTAAATCCCCTTCCTTCAAGCGGACCGCATCCGGACCAACCGAGTGCACACGACCGATATTACTAGGGTTGGGTACCAATGGTAGGTGAAGGTTGTAGACCGCGATGCTTCCGTCGTGTATACCTCTCACGAACGGAGCTATCATCGCTCCTAGAACTTTGATGACCACAGCGCCCGCCGTAGCGGTGGGCACTGGTAGCTCGATAAGCTCCATAGGAGAAGTGTGTGAAGAGAGCCATAAGCCCTGGTTGGTGGTTGGTGGTGCTGTAGAACTAGACATCCTGAACTGTGGTTCTGTCGTTGACAACGAGTGAGTCAATCAGACATGTTCGTAGTACGAGACGATCGCACAGTAACAGGCTGCGCGCACCAGGGTCTTTTAATGTGAGAGCTAAAAATGGAGATACGCTCAGCTTGTCACAGGTCTTGCGGAATCGCCAACCGCCTTCATGCATTGCTCCATCGTGAAGAAACCACCAGAGTTAGGAGCATCTACGAGCTGGAGTCGTCAAAAGGGCCACCTTTCTCTCCCCACCGGCACGAGAAGACACAGAACTTCCGGGTGGCCATTCCCAGGAGGTTCGGCCCGGGATGACATACTAAATCCGACTGTGACGAACACAACCCCCACATTTGCAGCACGAGTAGGACGTGCAACCGTCTTGAAAGTTCACACACATTGATACTCAATGATCGGGAGCAGTCACTGAAGCTACAGGAGCAGAAGGCAGGGCTTGAGAAGGTGGCGACTAGCCTATTTCGGGGGTGGGGTACGGGGATGGCAACGGGTGGGAGAGTTTCCACCAGACCCTCTTCTGTTGCACGAGCGTGTGGTGTGTTGCCCCCCAAAACTGATTAAACACTGGTTCATCGTGCGCACCTCAAAGAGCAAGATCTGGTGTTGGAACATGCACGAGCCCTAAACGGAATTGACTAACAATCCAAAAATGATTACATTCTACGAAAACCCTGAACTCCAAGAGAAGCACGATAGCACATACCAAACTTTGCCAAAGCCATCACATGTTCTGCCTCCTGGGCTCGAAGAAACAGCATTCCAAAGAGTATTGGAAGAGTTTGCCTCAATTGTTGGGAAGTCCGCCGTCATTTCAGGGGACGACATCATCAACTTCAAGGATCCGTATCCCCTCGAACATGAAGCCAATCAACCGTCAGCGGCAGTGTGGTAAGGAGCCTTGTCTTACAGTATACTACTATGGTATTCATGAAGTAACAGTCCTACGACCGTGGAAGAGATTCAAGGTGTCTTGAAAGTTTGTAACAAGTACTTGGTGCCAGTATGGACCTGTTCTCAAGGAAAAAACTTTGGGTCAGTATTATTGCCGCTCGATTAATGTCCTTTGCTGATTGTCCTCTAGTTATGGCGGCCCTGCTCCTAGGGTTGACGGTTCAGTGGTGATATCACTTCATCGAATGTCAAAGGTCTTGGAAGTCAATGAAAAACATGCCTATGCTGTAGTAGAGCCTGGAGTCACCTTCTTTCAGATGCACGAATATCTGCGCGAGCACAAGAGTCGTCTATGGATCAGTACACCTGCTCTTGGCTGGGGCAGTGTGGTTGGAAATGTGAGTGATGCCCAATAATCGCTTTTTAGCTGGGGAAGTGATCGAAAGCTGATTCGGTTGGCGTTTCCGCTGGTTTAGACTCTTGACAGAGGGCACGGCTATACAGAATCGGGCGACCGTCAACACTTTATCGCAAGCATGGAAGTCGTCCTGGCAAATGGTGAGCTCCTCAGGACTGGTCAGTGGGGTTTAAACAACGGGCCGTCCACTCACCTATGCAGCAACCAATTTGGACCTCAAATTGATGGCCTTTTCCTTCAGAGTAACCTGGGCATTGTCACGAAACTTGCACTTCATCTGGATGTGGCTCCCAAAGCTATGATAAACGTGGTAGTGAGCTGTCCGGAAGTCTCCCAGATAGAACCACTAATCGACTCATACGAGGAACTATACAGAGAAAGGATTTTGCAGGGACACCCTTCGGTTCATAATGTGAATCATTATTCGACCCGGTTCTCCAGGAAGCACGAGCAACAGACATCACTCGGGCCACTTACCAAGGAATCTCTTCTGAAACTATCCGATCGTTACGGCACCGGCTATTGGCACAGCTTCTTTGACCTTTGGGGAAGCAAGGCGATGGTGCTACTGCGCTGGGAGAGAGTGAAGGAAGTCTTGACCAACAATCTTCCTGGCTGCAAGGTGACACACACGTTATGGGAAGGAGAGAACGGGGGAACACTAGATCAGTTGAAGGTTGGTTCCTTTGGGGCCGGTGTCCCTGGAATGTATGCCTCTGCACTGGCGGATTACAACCTGCCTGCCGATGGAACTGGGGCAGGAGCACACACCGATGTCACCCTCCTGCTGCCGAACAATGGAAAGATTGTCCACGAGTGGTTTGTTAAGATGCGTACCATAATGGAGAAAGCTGGAACCGACCCGTTTATTGGCTGTCATGTCTGGGATCGTCATCTGCTCTTTGTGCAAGAGTATGTTTATGATAAGACTAACCTCAAAAACCTTGAGCGAGGTCGACAGGTCATGGATCTTATCGTGGATGAGGCCGCCAAGCACTCCTATGCCTGCTACCGATCACATCTGAGGTATATGGGTGAGTTAGATATCTCAAGCTACAGCCGAAATCTATTAATACAGGCATGCAGACAACATCCAGAACCTCTTCGAATTTAACGGACATATCTATAAGCGATTCATCGAGCAGATCAAGGTGAGTTTGCCCCCTCATCGTAGTATCCGACCTGGCCCGACCTGACATACGCATTCCAGGCTACCGTCGATCCAAATGGAATCCTGTCTCCGGGCAAGAACGGTATTTGGACCTCAAAGCACTCTCACAGTCCAGCAAAGCCATAAACTGAGACTATAGACTTGTGTACTGTGCCCAGTGCTGCCAAAAGAGTATTTCTGATTGTCCGAGTCGCCTTTCTAGGGGTTGGACATCAGCTCGACTCTGCAAGGAGGAACCAGGAAGTTTCAGGGAGTTTCAAAGCAGCATTTTTAATTTTCTAATCATACAAACTCTATTGAGACCATCCTGCCACATGTGCCGGCAATCCATGACACGCTTTACATGTTCAGATTCACAGACCGATGATAATCGTCCTAGAAAAGTTAGCGTTCCAGCCTAGGCCCTTCACGCGTCTAGAACCGCGGGTCACTTGAGAAAGAGCGGCGCTGGAGTTGCGTGATGTCCCTAGACTGTCTCCGTCCTCCCTTTAATGTAATGCAGACCATTGACTTCGTGCACCCATGCTATTCTACAATTGTTTTGGTTACCTTAAAATCTCAACTTCATCTGAGCTCAAGAACAAATACCTCGGTAAACAGTTGCGCCCTGACAGAACGTGTTTTGCGCGGCATATCTTCTCTCACTCCTTCCAACGAATCCTCTCAGTACCGCCCTAGCTATCCCTGAGTCGGTACGCTGAACTCCAAGTCTTGGCACTAGTTGCGATTACTATAATCTATCAAGTAATTCAAATGGCCGCCACGCCACCATATCTGTATATATTTGCATGAAAGTTGTCGTAGCGACCTGTCTTTACACAGAGATGTGCCTCGCAAAGGTTGCAGCCAAAATGAGTGAGGATCGGTTGTTTATGGCCGGGTTTGATACGACTATGGCCAGTAACCTCTATAAGTGCCTTACGCTCTTTTTGATGCCCTGGCGCCACGCGACTACTGCAGTTATTGGTATTTCGAGCGCCCGAGACGCAGCCTCGATTGCGTATCCTGATCAAGGCGTGCTTTATGTGGGAACGGGTTTTGGCAGGCGTCGCCCACGGCGAAGGGATCGGTTCACTTCGCTCTGTGAAATTGACTCTTCACGGAAGGTTCTGTAGATATCACGACCTTCATAGTATCAGGAGACCTGTAGGAACGCCTTTTTAGGTAGTAATTTGTTAGGCAAGTTTTAAAAAGCCAAGAAGAGCTGTCAGAGGCCTACAGAAAACTTCAAGCCTTTCTTTCCAAGACGGTGAAATCATAAGATTTTATGTTTTTGGTCGTCTTCGTTGTTCTCCCTCCAGCGGGGTTTCTCTCAGATCGAGTGCCACATTGCTAGCACGTTCAAGAAGCCTAGTTCGCACATTGACTTTTGCATTAATTCTGAATGTCTCGAGAACGCCAATATGGTCAGAAACTTATATATATGCCAGCCATGCCCTTAAAGTGGGTTTTGGAAGGACATACCATAGAAGGATATTTAAAGCCCTCGCCTAACCACCCATTATTGCGATAAGTTATAGGTAGTTCTAGATAATAGGTCCACAAGTGCTTCAGAAACCGAACTTCCATTCGTGGGTATCGGCAACTACTTTCTTAGGGAGAAAGGCCTATATGCGATTCCGTATGGAGTTAAAATCCTAGCAACTCACTTAGCTCTATACTGGCCTGATACCGGCTTTGTTCTGGGATTGGAAGAAACAACCCCACTATAATTCGGTACAGAAGGCTCTGAGGTCTAACTAGAAGGCAATCGTTGCCGATAGAACTCTTAATGTGAACGGTAAGTAAATGATGCCATACAACAGCCCAGTGAGAAGCTAACTGATCTGCTTGCCCTGTAACTAAAGATTCATCGTGCGAGAGCACAGACCAGGGCCAATATTCCCAAAAGAAGGCCGGTATTTAGTGCTGGGACAGTAAAAGGAATGCGTAATGCCAGCCTCTGCACTTGAACACAATCCCATCTATGCGTCATCAGAGGTAGACTGTCGGCAAACTCGTCGAACTGACCAACGGACAGGGCTACCAGGGACAACTATAGTAGGTGTCCCGTAAGGCCCTTCGATCCAGTTGCAAGACGACAGGGAATGATTGAGAAATGGCCCTAGAACAGCATCTCAGGACTAGCTTTGGGCTGCAGAGATTGCGACGCTTTTAGCTCATTCCCTCGGCCCCGCATCTTAACATACACACTTTTGGCCCATTCCACGGACGCCTCAGCTGTCGCCAATTGGGCCTCAGACTCAGGTGAGCTCTTCTGGCAAGCTTCGCCCCGTCATCTGCTTTTTAAAAAGAGTATCTAGACGGATGAAAAGCGCCGTTTTGGATACTGCCAGCAGTCTCAAGTTGAAAATAACAAACACTTCTCCACAGTCGTACTTGAAAGATCTTTTGAGACGCCAACAGGGCAGTCATCCTCGCTACACCAGGCAGTAGAGACGTTTCTCATGTTTGCGCACATCGCACAAATCGACCAATCGAATCGAATATTTAGGCACCAATCCCCTTGTCACACGTGTATAGTGCACAGTTTTTGGAAAGGCCCAGCTGCGTCTGGGTCATCTTACACCAAACTGAGAGCAATGACTCGAAGAGGCTCAACACGGTACTGATGGTGTTCACTCATCACTCTGGCTGTATCTGTGTAATGCTGTAGTAAAAGCACGTCTGCTTTGAGACGACCAGTAGTCATATAACAGGAAGGTTAAGGTTGAATCGGAGGTGGCTCATTCACAGGGTATTGGGCGATATGCTAGTGATGTTTGAAGGATCTTCTGCAAAGTGAGCACCCATGCAGGTATTGCCTGAAGTGCCAAGTAATCCTTTTTGTCTCACTTGATTTGTACCACTTGCTATTGTGCGAGCAGGCTCTATTACCTCGAAATCCTTATGTAGTGGCGTGCCCCCAGATATTGAGTCGGTTTCAAGCCATACACAAAACAATGGATATACAATCTCGAAAAGCAATGATGCTCCTCACTTGCATAAGAACTAACCGCCAGAGCCAGACGAATGTTACTGACCCGCATTAGCTGGGATTATTAGCATGCAGCCTATTGCTGTAAGTACAATATTGAGAGCCAGATAGTTGAAAAAGGATTCTGGTCTCCCCTACATTACCCAGAATTCTGCTCGCCACCAGACACTCCTCTTGAAAATCTTTTCGTGCAGTTTGATTACACATCCTTTATTGGACGTTAAGTGGATTGGTGTCATGACTGACCGGAAAAACATCCGTAAACTCCTCTTGTTCGTTGACCTTACCTCTACTAGGAATAGAATCGAAGCATTCAACATCAGCATCGAGATAGTTCCTAATAGCCCTTTCTACCGGAAGAAGAAGAACACTGACAATAAAGAACTTTGTCCATGAGGTTCCAGGCCAGCAACGGAGAGTAAGCAGAGGGGGGAGAGAATGAGGCAAAAGATGAACAAGGTAAGAAATATAGTAATGCAGTAGGGAGCGGCAGTGGGGGATCGAAGCAGGAGAAGGACAATAAACGGATACTGAGGAGCAAGACGAAAAATGGCAAGATGATGAAGGACAGTAAGAGGATGGAGGACAGCAAGAGGACAACGAACAGCAAGAGTACAACGAACAGCAAGTGCATCAAGGACAGCAAGAGGACAACGAACAGCAAGAGAATAACGGACAGAAAGATGATATTGAAGAGCATATGGACCTAGAAGCGGCGGACGACGATGATTACGAAAGCCAGCCGTCCGGTAAGAGTCCAACTCCAGTGCGTCAGAACAAGCCGAGGAACTCTGTGAGAAGGGTATATGCTAATTGTATTTATCAAACGAAACATCCAGCCCATCGTCAATACAAAAAAGGCCCTTTTGAGGACCACGTTCCTGATATTCCTTCTCTAAAACGGTCCAAGCCGGCAACACATAGGACCATGAGTTCCAAACAGCCACCACTAAAAGCACGGAGATCCCGGTCTTTTTCGAAGACTGGGTCAAGAGAGTGGCAGCCATGACCAACGACAATCAATCACCTGACTCGTCCGTTAAAACTGTCCGGATATGGAGGCGTCTCTCTAAGAAACAAGGTTCAGAACTTTCGCGCAGTCGAAAGTGCTGGAACACGCCTCAAAGTAATGTAGAAAAACTTGCTACGATGGTCCTTGCAGTCGCTAAGTGCTATGCCTTTGGCACGCTGAAGGAGGTCCTGGATGCTTCATCGCTGAGGATGGCTCAAAATTAGAGACCAACCCTAAGCGCTATGAGAGTTGGTGGATGAGTGAGCAATCCTGCTCGATGGCTTCTTGCCGGATAAGGCGATCTCCCGAGATATTGGTAACGAAAATGGGTTTCCTCGCACTTTCCCGGTGCCCTTCCCGTGAGCGTCCATCATAATGACTTGTCCCAGACTTCATAGACGGCGGGGAAGATTCAGAGGTCAGAATAGATCAGCATTGGCAGGAAATGCTCCCCACTTTAGAGCTGCTCCTACACCCGGGCCGGGTGTTGTCCAGAAATTATGCTTTGTGATTCGAAGAGATGAACCGGAACTGGTCCCGGTTGGGTAAGTGATGAAATAAGTGAGAATAAATTCTTCTCAACCCCTCCATCCGAGGAATCCCTGTGGATGAGGCCTATTCCTCTCGTATCAGAGGAACAACAACACTATAAGATTGACGCGGCCGCTCAGGACGCTAAGGCATTCTCTTCTCCTCGCATTAAATGAACAGACACTGATTCTCACGATACACCTGAAGGAACTCGAAGCAATTTGAAAATCCCTGAGCTCAAACATATGATGTCTCCGATTGCTACCTCAAGTCTTCGAGACGCCAGCTCGGCCGAACTGTCCTCAAAAGTTGCCGCAAACGTCAAAGTGGCCCCAGCACATGGACACGAACTTGCCCATCAGACTCCTCTGCAGGCTTTGTCTCACGGCAAGGTTAAGCTGTCTGGTCCGCCCAGTTTTGACAGTTTTGCAGAGAAGAGGCAATGGCAGCTTGAGCACATGGCTGCCGCATTTCGTCATTGGGCCAGCGAGGACTATGTTGAGGGGATGAGCGGACACATATCGGTTCGAGACCCTGAAAACCCGGAGTCGTTCTGGACAAACCCTATCGGCGTTCACTTTGGACTACTTAAAGCCAGTGATATGATATTAGTCAATTTCGACGGCGAGGTTATTGGTGGTAATGACTCCCGACCACCAAATACTGCTGGATTCCTTATCCACGCAGCTGTGCACAAGGCGCGACCGGATGCTCACGCAGTCTGTCACGCACATGGTATTGCTGGAAAGGCATGGTCAGTCTTCGGAAAGAGACTTGAAATGCTAACTCAGGACGCTTGTAAATTCTGGGGTGATGCACAAGGCGTGTATGATGAATATGGTGGAGTTGTCCTTGGACCTGAGGAAGGCGAGAGAATTGCTGCAGCACTCGGTCCTCGAGGCAAAGGTTGCGTACTGAGAAATCATGGAATCCTGACGGTGGGAGACACCGTCGATGAGGCGGCTTTCCTCTTCACATCTTTCGAACGAAGTTGCCGTGTACAATTACTTGCCGAGGCCGCTGCTGCAAACGGTCTTTCGAAGGTGATTATCACAAACGAGGAAGCCAAGTTTAATTGTGATGTTGAAGGCGACAGAGAGGTGTGCTATTGCGAGTTTCAAGTGTACTACGATTGGGAAATGCAGAAGTCCAATGGCGACTTCAGGAATTAATTATTGGCGATGGGTTGCCACGCTAACACTCTCATATGCTGCCACGTTTGACCTATTTTCTCAGTCAAAAATTGCCACTACTGGAGAATACATCCCGCTTTTACCCTGAGTTTCTCTCTTAGATGATGAATAGATGCCTTCTCTTGCGCTTTGCATTTCAACTAAAATCTACTCGGATGGTGTCACCCCATTTACTTCCCCAGAACACATAAACAACATGTCCTAGTCACAGTGAGCTGGAGAGCCAAACCCCCCTTCGATACTCCCCTCCGGTTCATCGGCATTCTATGTAACTCTTCTATCCGTGACTCTAGACTACGAACGATATCAGATGTCTGCTTGCTTGTCAAAGCCTCCAGCCTCCAAAGTTGTGATTAGTCGGCGAGCAATGACAAACATAAGGTAGGGAGTAGGAGTACCACGTCACCTTACAGCCTCAAACAGTGGTGTAAGTGCCACGTATTTCCCAATCATTTTTTTCTTTTCTTGTCTGTGTACTACTAGGCTAGGTGAATGCTGTAAATGCTGGGGAAACTTTATTGATACTCACTAAATATTCTCCTTTGCTATGTATTTTCGTTCGTCGACTTCTAAGATCCTCTGCTGAACACGTCTCGACCTAACGAAGCAAAGCAATTTCTGGTCCCAGGACATGAGAGTGGCAGTTTTGGACAGCTCTAAGATCTCCAGCTTATATAAGATAATGAAGAAGCAATTTCATACAGCTCAGACTGTCATCGTCCTTCATGCACATGCTGGATCGGACAATTTACCAGAGTGTCAGTGATGTCCCTAGGCAACGCTTCGATCACCACAAGCTACAACTCTGCTCTCCCCCGATCACCACAAGCTACAACTCTGCTCTCCCCCGATCACAATAGGCCCTGGAGCCGTCCTCATTCAGTAACATCATTCAATGAGCAATTGCAAACCGCTCAGCACGTGCCACTTCGGCATGGTACCGGGCAGCAGAGCTCTTTCGGATCTGTCGACCCCACTTGATGAAAACAAGGCAGAGGAGAACTTGTACCATCCCCGCGATTGCGCCCGTGATGAAGGCATTCTGGTAGCCCATGTTCGTTACCCATGGAGTGACCGCGTAGCCCATGGCGAAGCCCATTGTGTTTCTGATCACTATGGTGCTAACGACAACATCCGCTCCGAAATCTTTGTATGTGTCGATACAGTAAGAGATTGACAAGTGAGCTCCCATAGCCACGGCAACGCCGGTCAACCCCATCGCAAAGACTAGACCAAACCAGTGTATCCTATATTGCGCACCAAGACCCCATAGAAGTAGCGAGAACGGTACAACCAGGGCAAGTATCAGATTGAGCCACTGCCTATGCTCCGACTCCCAAATACCCTTGTTGCGTCTAGTGATTTGTAACACTGCCCAGTCGCCAAGAGGGCCAGCGGTCAAACACCCGATGATGACACCGACGATGCATGAAATATAGGCTAAGCCAACTTGGGATCTGCTTTGTGTTAGAAGGTAGGACTGGAGGATTGGGAAGAACTCACGAGGTAAAGTTGTAGGGTTCGCCGCTAAGAATCACGGATGCTGTAGCATTCAGGATGCTATACCATATGAGTGATGCCCCATAACTGAAGCCGCAGTAAACAACAACCGGGAACGACATGAGCTTGAGTGGCCGCACGATCATTGAGGGAAAGTGGTTAAGCGGCTTCCTCCCATTGAGAAGGCTTAGCTTTTGTACAAATGTCCTTCGCGGATATTCAATCGTGTTGGTCTGTACCAAGGTGACACCTGCAGGAGGTTCAACCGATTTCTCATTGGACGACTTCTCAGGGTCAGTGTGGAGTTCTTTAGTGGGCGACCTTATGTGACCCAGAGTCTCCTCGGTGATCAACTCGTCGTTCAACACTGAGGTTCGGTCGTAGTTTGTTTCCTCAAGGAAAAGGAAACAGAACACGAAGCCTAGAGAGAGCCAGATGGCGCCCCAATACTGTGCGAAAGTTAGTGACTCTCTCACACTAACAACCTGTCAGATCTTACCTGAACCCATCGCCATCCCATTCCTTCTTGGATGAAGCCAGCTAGGGTAGGAGCGATAAATCCGGCAGTCCATAGCACAAACGAGTAGACGCCGAGATAACGACCTCGTTCGTGGGTAAAGAAGACATCGGCAATAGAGATTTCCCCAAGGGATTCAAGTGGGGCACCGACGAAACCAGCCAGGACTTTCATAGCCATCCAAGGTCCTGGTGAAAGTGCATATGGCACAGAAACCGTAACAGCAATGGAACAGAGCAACGACAGTAGGTAAATTGGTCGCTTTCCAAATTGCAAGGCTGCTGGCTGCCATATCAGGCACCCCCAGCCAAATGACAAGAAGGAGTAACCTGTGCCAGCGTTGAGGTCTAGATAGCTTAGCAACACTGAAGTGAACTGAAGTAGAAGAGAAATACTTACCGGCGATTGAAATTCCAGTATCTCTTGAAACCGGCACAATGATAGAGTACATCAAAGACGCAGAAATGCCAGTCATCATCATGTATACAGACATGCTGAAGACTGAAAGCAGTTTTCGTCGTTTGGTCCAATTGAGGGGGTCCTCGGGATCATTGGTTGGTCTCGGGACAAGGACAACATCATCATTTGATCCTGATGCGTGCTTGAGCTGTGATGCATGCTGAGCATCTACTAAGTGGATAGTTCCTGGAACTGGGAGATGGTCTACGGTAGTGTCTGCCATGATAGACTCTGAGCTGGAGCTGACGAGAAGCACACTTTGAGAGGGCGTGAAGGTGGGTCTTTAAATATCAGTAGCCCTCCAGCTCCTCTATCGAGACTCCAGCCCTTATCTCCATGTTTTGAACCCTGGAGCTCCTTGGAGTAGGGGACTGTAGGTTTCCTGTCCAATCACTGTGTCGTGTTAAATGCAAGAACTTACTTCCTCGGTTACTCCTCTGGCCGGATTTCTTGGCGACTTCGGCTTCCTTGGCAGATAACAGAATATCTTGGCGAATCGTGCATGGCGCACTAGCATATTTCCTGTTTTGTCGAAGGAGCGAGCTGAGCACGCCGCCAAACCAGGTCGGAATACATTATTCGCAATATATTCTGAACCTGCAAGCAAACAATCTTTGCTCTCCTGCGAGCATTTCTTATCGCAGTCGAGAACCTTCTCAATTGTTTCATCTGTGGTGTAAAGCCTTGTCTTCTTCTAGGACATTTTCAATCAACGTTATGCCTGCTTCAACACCCAACCCATCTGGATCGGCAGATCCCAAACTCATCCCCTACGGTCAGTGGGAATCCTTCCCGTCAGAAAAGTACAACAAGCCTTGGGGTGATAAAAAGTGCATAATTTACAACTCTCCAAACCGAGACGTTCTTGCTGGAACAATATACGCCCATGGAAAAGGCACCTATACTTGGCCGTGTGACGAGTTCATATACGTCTCGAGGGGATGGATCACTTGGGAGGTCCTTGGCGGAGAATCGTTCAAGCTAGTGGAGGGAGACGTGATATACATCAAGGAAGGCACGACAGCGTCATACGAGATGAGCCCAGATTACGCCAACATCATTGTATTCTACTCTGGCGAGGGAAAGGAGCTCAACGTCGAAGACGATTAGCCAATACAACCCCCCAAGATGCGAAGTCATATGCATCTTGCCTGTACTCTTCACAACCAAATTACTACATTACGTAGATTCAAATGACTATAGTTACAGACTTGGCATCTTAAGCAACCTGGCTTTTTCTTGCAAACCCTCCTCTTGAGCCGAGCAATGTACCAACCTTGCAACCGATAATCGTTGATAAAGATAAGCCATCATCCAAAGGGAACGATGGTACCAAGCTTGCTCTACCATTCACTACCGAAACCTTGGTGAAAGAAGGTCGGGGTTCTCTTACTAGTCGTATTGATTCAAATGTGTGGCCCTTAGTAGGGACACTTCCCAACGATTTCTGACGAGTTGGACAGGGTGGACAGCCCATCTCTTTGCTATTGCTAACCGATACCGTCAAATGAAGAAAAGATACAGTATAGCTGAGTTAACAAGCACCGTGATGACGACAATATTTAAGTCATTCCGATCCTGATCGCCTCGGATAGTTCAAGAAAGGGAATGCTGAACACTGACAGCTACCTTAATTTCCCTTTATGGTCTGGATGCGAGTTCGTAACCCCACTAACAGCTGTGCGATTAGTCTATGTGATGCGAGGGGCCAGAATAACCCAGTATTCGACCCCACAAAGCACCTGCCTCTTCATGCCGGCTTAGCATGGTCTAGACACCAATTTACTGTATCTGCAACAGAAACTGTGAGTCAAAGTATGTTTATAACGATTATCTATGTCCTTTACCTCCTGTACAGACTTGAAATCAAGGTCCACTGGCGCGGAATCCCGAGTCCCAGTCTTCGTTCCCCGAGTCCCAGTCTTCGTTCATCCCGGGCCACCCTTGGTCCTTCTAGCGACTCTGAATCATCCCTTTTGTATTTTCGAAAAGTTCTGTCGGATGTTCGTTGCATTTTCCTATCCATGCGACTGATACGGAGATAATCGATAATCTTTGAAATAACGATTTGCGTTCTGGAACGGTTAAACTTTCCAGCTTACTATCTGGGTGAGCGTCCACATGAGATGACTCTAGTCGAAGGTGTGCAATTTCACAGCAGCATGCAGGCTACGTCGCACCTACCAGGCGAGGCCGGCGAGGACATTCCTCCTGAGGGAGGTCTATACGCATGGCTCGTCGTTGCTGGATGCTTCGCCCTTCTTATGGCCTCTTGGGGTTTGTTGTTCTCTGTTGGAATCTTCCAGACATATTTTGAAGCAAACCAGCTACGCGATTTCTCGCCAAGCGAGATTGGTTGGATCCCAGGAGTTCTCGTCTTCGTTGCCCTCACCGTGGGTTTACAGGTAGGACCTCTTCTCGATCGATACGGTCCTACTTATATTCTCCTCCTTGGTACTATCTGCATAGCAAGCAGTTTTCTCGTTCTTGCACAGTGCAATGCTTATTGGCAGATTATGCTCTGCTTCGGCTTCTGGGCAGGTTTGGGCTGTGCGTGCTTAAGCACTCCCGCGATTGCGATCATACCACACTATTTCCAACGTCGTGTTGGCTTCGCGCTTGGTGTCGCCCTCGCAGGGGCCGGACTTGGGGGAGTGGTCTTCCCCTTCATGATCCAAACTGGATTCGACCATATCGGCTGGGCATGGACCATGAGAATGCTAGCACTCATATTCGGAGTCCTTGCTGCACTAGGGACGGCTTCGGTCAAGTCGCGATTAGCAAAGAAAATGGTCAAAGGTGTGCTGAGTTTCAGGTCTTTCAAAGACTCCAGGTTTACCTGGCTCGTAGTCGGGCTATTCTGTAAGAGGATGACTTTTCAGAATTGCATTGCTTTTGTGGCTAAGAGATTACTTCTAGTTCTTGAATTCGACTTCTATGCAGTCTTGGGCATCCTTCCAACTTTCACAATTGCGAAGGGATTTTCCACCTCCGACTCAACCAGTATGATGGCGGTCTTGAATGCGTAAATCCACTCAGTACATGGCCATTGCAAATTATCTGATCGCTGTCACAGGTGTGCATTGATAGGCTGTTTGATGAACGGCTACTTCGCAGATCGCTATGGTCGGGTTAATTCACTCATAAGCATTTCAATTTTGGGCATCTTCTGTATCTTTGCAATATGGTTACCCGGCGGTGATAGCCTTGTTGGACTTTACATCTTTGCCGCGTTGTTTGGCTTGCTCTCGGGCGCCTTCACAAACGTCGCACCAGCATCAATCAGTCAAGTCTCACCGACTGAAGAACTCGGTTTGAGAATTGGTACTTTTTACTTCGCTATTAGTTTTGCGTCCCTCGTCAGCATACCTATCAGTGGCCTAATCTTGCAAAGTTTTGGACCTCAAATACTGGTAATTGTGCTTGGATTCATGCTGGTTGCGGCCTTACCTGCTTGCATAGTATCCAGGTGGGCATGTCTGGGGTATGAGTGGAAATGGACAGTGAGGATATAGAGCAACAGTGCTTTACGAGACTCATTTTAGGCCCCATCCTCTCTCAACCATCAAATCGCTCGATTGTGAGAAATAATCAATTTAAGTATAATTTTTTGCAGAGAAGTTTGTTGTTGGACGCTGGAAAACCTCACCTGGATCTGGATGAATTGCTCTGGATTTTCTATATGATGGAAAGAGGGCCTAATCCTCTTACAAATACAGCTGGTTTGACATCATGTAGAGAATGCCTAGTCATTTCCATGTCACAAAGTGAGGTTCAGTTGAGTAAGCGGGCTTTTGCTCGAGTTTGATCATTTATTCGCACGTTACAGGTGCAACATCTAGCCACTTCGCAACATCGACGAAGTGGAGAAGCGGTCTTGAAATCATATCGCTACAAATCTAAGCTTGAGGTTCAAAAAGGTATATGATAGACGCGTCGCGAAAGAACATATATCGAGGAGTTGTAAAGTCCATTTACAAATATCGGTAAATATCCGTAGGCACAATGTAACAGTACTGGTGCGCTGTCCTTATAAATTCACATTGTTTCTTTACTTCGACACCGAGAGGCACCTCCGACAGATGGTGGCCATGATTTTGCATAAGTGCACTTCTATGTGAAGTGGCCAGTAGCTCTCGCTCCGTGGATAGCAACCTCAAACCCTTTTCGGCGGCCAAAATTCTTGAGAGATACACGAAGGCCACTTTTGTGTGGCCATTGATATCTGATAGGAACTTGCCAAGCGCTTCGGAAATGGGCATGCAACTAGCAAAACTCGCTGCCACATCTTGCCTACCTCTAACCAATATTGGGGTAGTGGTGCAGAAACTTGCCCATTCGCCAATGGCCGGACTTAAGTTCTTCGGATTCAGTCCTCAAATGGTTTAGAGAATCCCCTCTAGCCACCAAGAGCCTTGTCACTGAAATTGCCGAATTCATCCTCTCGCTTCCAGATCAGATGGAGTAAGTGAACTCTTATAGCATATCTTCCACATCACAGGGATGTTTTTGTGGGCACCTGCCCGGCGGTGGAGTTTGATCTTCTACCCTTGGGTAGTCATGGCACGTGCTCAGCAAGATATAATGTGCCAACGGAACGAGTCCCAGACACTCCTCCCATTATCGAGGAACGAAACTCACAGTCTTTGGTACTTACAGCTGATCTTTACTGTCAATATGGCGTCCAAAATTACAATCTTAGGAGCCGGGTATGTCTTCCACTCCCTGCGTCTTCCAGTGCTATCATTTTAGGAACATCACATTGCTAATAGTAACCGCTGTTATAGTATAACCGGCCTGGCTATTGCTAGTCAACTTCCAAAAGAAGCTGACATAACGATATACGGGAAATTTCTCCCGGGAGATGAGATGGACAAAGAATATGTCAGTCAATGGGCGGGTGCTATTTGGCTCGGGGTCCATGCGACGTCGGCTCGCGAGCAGAAGTATCAGATGGACAGTTACTCAACTTTATGGCAGATTGCAGGATTACATCCTGAATCGAGTGCTCGAAGAATCGAGATAACGGAAATCCAGGACATTGGTGTGCCTGAGCAGGTTTGGTACCGTGATCATGTGGTCGGCTTTCGATATCTTTCAAAGAGTGAACTTCCGAAGGGAGCTAAATTCGGTATGAAGTGGCAGACCGTGGTTATCTCACCGCCTACATTTATCAACTGGTTCCGAGGTCATTTGGAAAATCAGGGAGTCAAGTTTAAGAGACTCCACGTGAAGGCATTACGAGATCTGGAAGGTCTCGGTCATGATGTCCTCATCAACGCCAGTGGTTTCGGGTCGACTCTCCTCGAAGATGTTCGGGAAAGTGCTATCATTCCTGTTCGCCAACAGAATATCCGCCTAAGAAAAGAAGGCTATAACAAACTGTTCATACGACGAGGTGAGAATAATTACTATTCGACAGCTTTTGGCCGTGATGATGGCTCCATATACATTGGTGGCGTCAAGAAAGAAAATGTCAGAGAGTGGACTGCTTCGGCGGAGGACCGCAAGCTTGTAAGTCAACATCTTTAGATTCTTTCTATTGTTCTCTGCTTACACCATGTCAAAGATCATGAAACAGGCTCACGACAACCAACCCGATGTCTTTCCCAGTGCCGATCCCAACGACTACGACCTCATCGGTGATCATGTTGGTGTCTGGCCCATTATCAAGCAGGATAAGGGTGGCATCCGTTTGGAGAAAGAAGTGATTGGGGGCCAGAAAGTGGTTCACGCTTATGGTCAAGAGGCTGGTGGTTATGTCTGCAGTTTTGGCATCGCACGCGAAGCCGCTCGACTTGTCTTCGAATACTTGTCCGACCCCGCACGAGCGAAGCTATAGACCAGCCGGCACGTCGGTCCTTGACTACGTGCAGGGATCTTTGATGTTGTGCGCTAAAATTCAGATCGTGGCATGCCCATGGACTTGAGAAGCCTTGTCTGATATTTTGTGCTCCCACAGAACCGTTTGGAAGCCCTGACTAGGCTTTTGCAAGAGTTCAAGGGATTGTGTAAGAAGACTAGGACGAGAAAAGCGACACTCGTAAATACATTCATTGCTTGCATAGAGCGATCCATGCATTCTGGAGTATGTTCAACACTGTATTGCGCAGCGAAAGCAATGATATCTTGATAATGCGTAGGTAAATTTCTTAAGAGATTGAACGTATGGATCGTGAAATTTACTGTGGCTGCTGCTCATCTCCCAGCTGTCTCATCAATTTGATCCAGTACTTGGACGATAGTTACTACAAAGAGAGCGAAAGACTTAGTATGAAGTGACAGCCAAGAGCCATGAGCAAGGTAGAAGCTGTTCATATATTTAAGATGGCAGTACTATTTGAATTGTGCTGTTCGCTGCTATTTGGCTGTCGTACTCTTTTGGGTTGCATTGTGCAACTCCTTAGACGATCATGTCTGGACAAGCATCGATCATCGCTAACAGTTGTTTGGCTGTACGAAAAGTTACTCCTGGGAAGAACTTTGCTCGTTGGCGCTCAGCTTCTCCCGCTGGTGATACGGCTGAACCTGAGATTGAGAAGAGTAAAAGTGTAGCGAAAAGAATGTCTTGCTCTTCTTTCGCGTCTATCAATCAACGACCAATTTGACCAAGTGTGATTGCACTCGCAGTAAACTCTGGGTCCCTTCTCCGGACGTGTCCAACGATTTGCCACCAGCTTGTTCGCTCTCCGGACATGTAAGTGTATTTTTCCCAATTTGGGATTGTGACAAGAGATGCGAGACCACTGGCCACATCTCGAGCAGATGTGACGTCCATGGGCTCATGTCCAGTGCCAGTGATCTTGAAGTGCTTGTTTTCGTAGTCGATCATATTCCCCTCTCTCATATCCATAACATACCGGTTCCTCGAAGGCACAATATAGTCAGCCAGGAACCCAATACACACGATGGTCCACTCGATTTCTTTCTGATCTGCCAAAGTTTTTCGTATGGCACTATGAGTGTTGATAAAATACATTGGCTGATCAGGGAAATCTTTGACATTGCCGGCAAATTCGGAGGGAATGAACCTCTTGCAACGCTGACTTCTCTGACATGCCGTGATCAAATTCAGATGTACTTGAATAAAAGCCGAGCTGAGGTCCACAATTGTGGAAATGAGCACTTCACAATCTTGCAATGCGTCGTCCAGTTGAGGTTGTGAATAGTCTACAACAACCTGTTCACATCCTTCGATACGCAAATGTTCTTTGATCGACCGGCTAAGGATTCGTACTCGATGTCCAACTTTGGGAAATTCTTCGCAGATGTATTGTGCAAGATTGCCTGATCCAGCTACCGCAATCAACATGGCGCATGCGAAGCGAATATGAGATGTAAAAACCTATCGAAATGCAGTCGGACTCTGGCCTGGCAGTATATCTGTCAACGAGGCGGCCAAGAAGTATTCGTATGCTTGTTGGTGCTGGAGAAATAATTCGAGAGCGGGCTCCCAGGTCACAGGCCTCATTCGAGGCCCACGGTCCGCTTTCGGGGCAACAAGTCGGAAAGACAGACACAGGCAGGTCATGACTGCAGGCCTTCAGGGTTGTTGCCCAATCACTAGGATAGGATAGTTGTACAGAACTGTAACACTTTTAGCATGGCAAAGCCAATCGAGCAAACTCTCACTTCCACATAACCAGAAAATCAGGGGTTTGAGGCAGCGGACCTTAGGGAATGGTCCTCGCGTGTTGCAAGGACCCTGAAACCCCTTAGCACTCTAGGTACAGAGCGGCGAGTACCCCATGGGGTGGAATAAGTGCTCGGGATTCCGACTAATTCGGTGCACTAGACGGAATTTTTAGGCGAAATACTTGAGGAGAGTTGTGGACGACCCAATGGGATATGGTAACCTAATAATTTAGTCACAACTTCCCGAGACCATTTCTGCGGACCAAGAAACGATCCCGAGACAAGATGACTTCTACACCAGGCGCTCAGAGGCATGGAGCGTTTCAAACTTAATGTTTGCTACCGCAGCAGTCCATCTACAACTCAGCGCGGATCCTAGCCAACCGAGGGCCAGTTGATGAACTTTGCACCAGCGTCTGTCGCCTTCTCAAGTACAGTATTCACAGGGATTAACCGGAGCACAGGGGAAATCCAGAACAATACCTTCCTATTAGAGCCGCGTCGCGAGCCGCTTGTACCGAAGAGCATTCCCCCACATGCAGGGCGGACTAACTAGCGAGTAACTGACAGAACCTAATTGGTCATAATTCGTGGATCTCCGATCCCAAGTTTTCCCCGAGTGCGCCGAAGTCGACGATCACACAAGGCGGAAGAGTCAGGGAATGAAATAAGTCAACAACTTTATATTAGAGGGGCTATTGTAGCAGGCTAGAAATTGTTACAACAGGTAGAGTACCCTGCGAAAACAAGCATTTAGTTGATGCACAATTGATGACAAGCCCTGGATTGTGGCAAGGATACAAATGAGCAGCTGATTATCTTTAAAATCATAGCCCATTCCGTTCTGCATGAACAACTCCAAGTCAGCCCTGAATACCAACATTTTTTTACACCTGAGCATTCTTTCGTACAACTTCCAACTTTCCGGCGAATGAGCAAGCAAAATCCTGGTCGAGATAATCCTTCGCAAGACAATAACACAGAATTTCCTCCAGATATTGTGATTACAACATAGTTGATACTGCTCATCTCGAGAGACAGTGAGCATCAGATAAGAGGGAGGTTTAGGCCATGCTGAGCATCCAGTTGCGCTGGAGCATCAATTCCAACGGGGTGATCATGATACCTGCGGCTCTCAATGACCACACTTCCTCTAGCAGAACGATGGCCCATAAATCAGTGGTGACTCGCACACAGGAGTAATTGGCCTTGAGGCGTTGCTTAACTGCCGCTCGCAACTCGGTGTCCGCTTCCCCCAATTCAGCTCCCGCTGTCACCATGACAAGTCCATAAAAGATGGCGGCAGGCTTAGACAAAGGCGTTTGTGTCAATGACTCCAACAGCTCTTTCACATAACTTTGTATGAGTAAATCAGTCTCGAGCTGTAGATCCAGGGTGACTTCATCGCTCAAATGACGCGCGCTCGGTCGACCACATATTCGGTAAAGCAGGATCAAGCCTTGAAGTTGGTAGGCTCGACTCAGCGCACCCACGTCAGTGTCCAGCGAAGTAGGTTGCCAGTTGAGCAAGAATTCTTCAATCAAGTCTTCATAATTGTAATCGTGGTCGCCAGTATCCAACACACCGCGGCAATATCGACCCATGATACCAAGCTGATAGAGCAAGGCAATGGAGCATCCAGCGAGAGGGTGATCGTAGTCCTTGAAACGTGCAACCAGACTGCTCATCGTGGGAGTATCTAGTGGCTCCACCTGCGCAGTCGGAACAAGGAATGCCGTGTGCATATCCCAGTACAAGTAGTAGCCCAGTGCCAACTTCAGAGAGCTCTCGTCCTCTGTGTGCTGTTCTTCTGCCATTAGCTCGAGTATTGCACGGGCGCCCTTTATGTGAGCGTGCCCAAAATCATCCTGCATTTCCCTATACAGCCACGGGGAAGCCACGCCTAGGATGAAAACCGACAAGAAACTTGTCATAAGTGGCACAGTGCGGTATTGAAGCTCGTGTTTGACGAGGATCAGAGCTTTGCTGCGCTCTTCGAGGCATGCTGGGATGCAGGATCGTTCAAAATAAGACTGGTGCGCTCCACTTAGACTCTGTAGAGCATGGAGAAGAGCCGGAGAAAGTAGGAGATGGCGAAGAATAGGAAAAGACAATGGATTGGAATCAGGTTCAAAGGCCAGGATATGGCTTGCTTGGTGTAGCCACCATTTGAGTACCTCTTTGTTGGCAGTAGGGAGGAGGTTTAGTACTGAGGTGAAGGAGTTTGTTGCCAACCACGGCGTTGGAAAACCATGGTTCGAAAAGACGACTGGCTTTCTGCAAATAGCACCTCTTCGCCTACAACGGTCACAAACTGGGAATGTCTCGTCGCATTTTACCTTCCGAGCTTTGCATTCTTGACAGCCACTTCGACTCTTGCAGCGGCCTTGACTTTCTTGACGGGCAGCATTTGCCATGAAATCCGCCGAAACAGTCTTGCCGGTACGGGCGAATCTCACTCGATATGCTAAAGGCATGGTTAATGGGAGTAATCAATCGTTGGCGGAAGGTAAGCAGAGGTTGCTAAGAACATGACTGAGGAGGAGGTCAAACATTAGCATTACGTACGGCCTCGGGTGCTCCTCCAGCCCAAGCAGGGCTGGTGCGGGGTAGTCCCCTGTCCTTATCTGGCCTGCGATAAGAGTTTTTTCTACTTCGTACTCGGCTCTGCTATCTGCGTTGCATGGCATCCAATCAGCAAGGACTCCACGTGACTGTCGGTATGGCTGGAGAGATAGGTCACAGCTTCGAACCAAGGTTTACGTGGATTGCCTTGAGACTGGTGAACTCGATGATGCCCTGCTCTCCCCACTCCCTGCCCAGCCCAGATTGCTTCTTCCCACCGAAGGGGATCCGATAATCAGCATCGGTACTGCTGTTTAGCCACACCGCTAAAATGTTACTTTTAGTTTCATCGGTCTCAAGTACCCCAAGTTGTGTTGACTTACTGCCAGATTCAATCTCCCGTGCAACTGAGTGCCCTCGCTGCAGATTGGTTGTGAAAACGGACGCTCCAAGTCCAAAAATGGTATTGTTGGCCAACTCAATAGCTTCTTCCTCTGTGGAGAAAGGGATGATGACCACAAATGGCCCAAATATTTCTTCTTGGTAGATGCTCATCTCAGGAGAAACGTCGGTGAACACTGTGGGTGCAATGTATAAACCTTGGCCGTTGGCATCCTTGATAGCTTTACCACCCAGGACTAGAGTAGCGCCCTCCCTTTTTCCGGCGTCGATATAAGACAAGATCCGATCGAATTGTGCTTTCGTTACCTGTGGGCCCTGGAAGGTGCTGTCTGCAAATGGGTCACCTACTGTCGAAGTTGTGTTGACCACCTTGATGAACTCCCCCACAAATTTAGAGTAGACGCTCTTCTCCACTAGTATTCGACTAGTTGCGCAGCAAACTTGACCCTGATTGCTCATGATACCAACATGTGCCCATCGAGTTGCTTGTTCGAGGTCGGCGTCATTGAAAACTATCATAGGCGACTTCCCTCCGGCTTCCAGAACAACGTGCTTCATAGTCGAGGCGGCTTGTTTCATGATTAGCTTTCCCGTACCAGTCGAACCTGTGAAAGAGATTAGATTGATTTCCGGATGTTCGACGAGGGCGGACCCTGCCGCGGAACCCAGGCCGTTAATGATATTAACGACGCCTGGCGGGAATCCTGCTTCCTTGATTAAATTTGCGAAATACAGAGCAGATAGTGGTGTCTGTTCTGCAACCTTAATCACTACCGTGTTGCCAGCTGCTACAGCAGGCGCCAGTTTCCAGACCACGTTGACCAAAGGAAAGTTCCAGGGAATGACAAGAGCACAAACACCAAAGGGCTCACGCCGGGTGTAGGCAAACTTGCCCGGTCCCGGCTCAATGACTGTGGGCAGGTTTGAGTTAACTCGGACGGGCATTCTGGGGAGATAAGCACCAACCTTGGCCATGTAATTTATCTGAGTATCCGGCATAATATTGAAGTGCCCCAACGCAATCTGGGATATCCACATCCAAAGTTGAACGATAGGTCTTCCCTATTTCTCCTGAGTCAAAATTTATGCGAAGCTGCTGATCATCCTTCACGCACCACTGTCCCAGGCATCAATCGTCGCGAGAGTCTCGCCGTGTTTTTCGGTCAAGTCGCTCAATTTCCAAAGCAGTCTTCCTCTCGCAGTCGGTGTAACGTGCTTCCAGACTTTTCGGTACGCATGTCGAGCAGCAACCACGGCGTTGTTCACATCTGTGGCATTGGCAGCCTGGACAGCACAAATCTTTGATTCGTCACTATCAACCCGCTTAGTCAGTCCTCTGCTGACGTCTGCTGCTGAGAAAAACATACCCAGGGTATACCGTTGTGATTGTGTCACCGCCTGTTGCTGGCACCCATTCGTTGTTGATGAACAGGCCCAGAGGTTGCTTGTAAGACACGCCGTTTGGTGCTGTGAGTGTGGTCTCAAGTTGGTTACTCATTCTGATAGATGATAACTGATAATCTGAGGCCTCGCGGAGAAAACAAAGGTAGGGTCACGTTATTTGTTTCACTCAATTCCATCTTGGTACATGCTCGTTATATCTATGCATAACCAGAAAAAAGGGAGCAGAGTGAGGCGCTCTCTTGTCTTTCGGCAACACGCCCCATGCGGTAATTCATGGTGGGCCTCAAAACGTGAAGGGCGCTAGGCAGGTTGGAATAGATGTACATGATGCTCACCTACGTTGCAACTGGTTCGTAGATCATCCCTTGCAGCTTGGCACTGGGCGATCCATTCGGATGCGCTTCCAAGAGTCTGGAGTCGATCACAGAAGCCCGCCGCTTTTAGGGGTTGTACAAACTAAATGACAGAGACTTAGGTACATACCTAGGTAGTAACGGATAGTATCAAACAAGCTTACGTCGAATTTGTCTCTTCCGTTTATTGTGACAGAATAGCTATGGTTGCTCTGAGATTAATCGACAATATAAGCTGGTGATTATATCATGCTAACAAGGCCACCATTTTGGCTCGCCAAACTATATGATGGATACCTTGTCCTCGGAGATGAAGACAGCAATATTCGTAAAATCGTCACTCATTTGGAAATCGATGACCTGGCCTTGCTTCATGAACATAATATCTCCTTGCTTGAGCTCGAAATCCTCTCCATCCTGAATCTGAAACTTGATCCACCCCTTGGTAACGATGAGAAATTCGTCTTCCGGCCAGGTCAAATGCCCCTCGCCGATTTCGTGTATCGCCCCGACAGCAATCTTGTTATTCTCGGACCTATAGTAGATGGATTTCCAACCATTGTACATTTCAAATGGCTCTCTTGGGAAGGAATCCCATGTTCCGTACGGGATGGCCGATGGATCGGCGGAGCCGGTCGTGTTTGGTGTTGACGATGGCATATTTACTCAAAAGAAGTTGTCGGTCGTACCAGGAGTGTAAAATTTTAGAAGTATAGTTCGATGATAGGAAGTTTGAAAGCTTTGAAATCTGAGTGTGAGAGGGGAAACATCAAGACCGATCTCAAAGGAATGCAGATATAGACCTTCTTCCATCCAGGCCATGGATACGACATTCGTCTCTGTGAAAATCTTCAGAGTGAGAGCTTCCTCTGCACTTGGACATTTCATGGATGCCGAGCATAAGGGTGGCTTCAAACCTACCTCTATTTGGCCCGAATGCGAGCGAATCACCACACTGCCGTAAATTGTCACATGCTTATTCCACTGCAATTCTTGCCTCTCGGGGACGGGGAATTTTCTCTCCGTTCATCCATTCGTTCTGCCGGAAAATGAAACCTTTAGGATGGGTCACGTAAATTAATACGCAGGGTGAAAAAGGTGTTCCTCGCATCGCTTCCAAGTCAAGCAAGTCTTGCATCTTGACACTTGGAAGTGAGGGATTAGACTTGCCGTTGTGGCGAAATTAAAGCTGAAATGATTGGCGAACCTGGGGTGCCAAGTGTCTGCGTCGCGCGCTGGCAAGATGCCGATGGAATCTATTTGCCGATAGCTGCTTTCTTTACTCCCACACCCAGTCAGATCAGTGATTGTTTCCCCATTTTGTGTGTTCAAGGGCGAATTCAAACACAGAATGTTGCAAAAGAACTCCCCCTGACACAAGCCTAGATACCAGTAAATCGACATTCCGCTGCTTGGGTCTGCGACCTAGCTCTTTCCGGAATGTACAACACCTTGACGCTCACAAACATACACATTACAAGTTTACTACCATCTAAAGCAGGATACTGATAACCAGCTCTGATGAATGATGGGATGTTCTCGAGCACATTAAGCCGTATCGGCGTGCCTTGGATTTTTCGCATCCTCAGTCTACTGGTTTCAGTACAGCAATACTGGCAGCGATTCTTATACCGGAGCGTATACCTCTCTCCGGAAGCCCGTCTCGCGTGCCAGCACTTCAGCGTTACTTCGAAAATTACCATTTACTGCCTTATGCTTCTATGGGGTCATCCAACTCTTCACCGGCTTATTCCACAGTACTTTGTACCCCTGATTGCAAGATCAAAGGCTTTCTTCTCCATAGTCAGCTCGTCCCTGGCTGCGATCTTCAGTATATCCACGATTTTAGGTCGCCTGGTATCTGGAATTATCTGCGACCACATGAGCACGAGAAAAGCTGTACTTGGTTTTTCGTTGTTATACGTCGTAAGCCTTCTAGGTCTCAGACCATTTATAAAGGAACTAGCGAGCCTGATCCTCTTTGTTAAACTTCACGGCGCAGCAAACGAGGACCTTTTTCGTCAATTTCTGGACTGTGGTAGCAAGTAGGCAGAATTTCACTGCACAAGTGATGACCATAAGTCTGGCGACATCTGGACGGACCATTGTCTATCTTACAGGTGCACCGACTGCGGGATTTCTTGTGCCTGATGGCGTTGTGCAGGCCACAACAAAAAAGGTTGACTTTCATCTCTGGACCCGCTGATCTTCTACACCAGTGGTATCTCAGTTCTAGCGATGATTCTCGCTGTAGCTGACCGTCTCTCGACTAGAAGGCATCTAAGGGCGAAAGTATGAAAATTTGGGCAGTCAGAGTATATCACATCGTACACTGAGAAATATCCTTCTCATCTGAAGAACAGCACCTGCTGTGTCGGCTGAGATGCCTCTCTGCCACCACATGAGTACTAGTGGTATCGCGATCAAGGCCACTGGCCCAGGTTGAAAGTCTTAGAGATAGTCTATGCTCGGGACCAGTGCTATTCGACAATTTCCACTAGCAACACTGAAAAAGGTTGAGAGCATCTCAGCGTAGGCATCATAAGTAACGTAGTGGTATGGTGCCCTAGATGAGATAATGTCTCTTTTCGCGAGATACAAGAACTTTAGCTAGAGTTCAGGATCGATCTAGTATTTACTATACCTAATATACCCACATACTAGGTCCAGTTGAATTATTTTCTGTCGCTACAATTATCCCATCGAGGAAAATAGTCGGGGCGTCATAGAGCCTTCTTCCAGGCTACTTTTGACAATCATTGTGATTCTCATTGTGATTACTATCATCAAAAGCGGAAGCGTGCACCAATACTAGTTTCATTTTGCTAATAGAAAAGATTCTGGTATTTCATCAAGGCCAACCATGGACTCTTTGCTGTTTTGATTGAGTTGATAAGATGTAGGACTAGCAGTGGGAAACTTTTGACCTGGAGCATGCTGAAAACGATTTATCTTTGCAGCTGGATGCCTACTCAACGTACTATTCAATCTGTCTTGACGCAGCTTGCGGCACTTGACATAAGCATGGGTTTCGGGAGCATTGTTCCCCATCCCGATCGTGATCGCCGCACAGTCGCTACTATTACACTTCAAGCATAACGAATTGGAACAAAAGACATAAACGACAGAAAGCTTCGAGCTAACATCAAAGCAATAGGTATTGGCTCTTCCCACTTATTCCAATTGTGATTCTCATTGTTGGTGGTCACTCGCTGTTAAGTGCAAGGCTTTTTTCTCGCACGGTAAGCTTGGCGCATTGGAAGCGAGCCATAATCTATTCATTCTCTCCGCAATCTATCAGTTCAAGGCGAGGCCCGCCAATAATTCGTACTAGACCACCCGTCTATCAGCTGATCCATTCGACTGAGCTTACCCACTTAACAGTGCTTGCTACTTGGAGTTTGGCCTTATGTAGGTCTAGGGCTTTCAGCGACTCGAGGTCTAGCTTTTCGGGAAATCCTTGTTCGGACACCTGAATTAATCCGTCTCAAAAGTCCCTGGAGATCAAGGAAAGCTTTTCCCAAGTCCGGATGGGCCGACAAATGTGTGGGGTCGAGCGACCAACAGAGCACTGTGCTACACTTATGATCCACAGGAATCTTTTCTTTGGGGAATGGAAGTACGGTATCACGACTCTAACTCAAAATGCTTTCGAGACTGAACGTGGGTCGTCGGGTTGACAACCTTGTCGATCTTTCGTACGGCACAATCCTCGGCTCCAGTGTTCTCCGCCAGCTAAGCGTCGCTATCCGGCCCTTTTGGGTAATATGTGCTAGCGCCTCGCGTTGCCAACCACTCTAGTAATTCCTGCCTTTTATTGAACAAGCTCGGCGTCTTTGCTTTGCATTATATTTACCTGCAGTGAATTTGTAGCAGCACTACTCTCTTCTCTCAACTTTGATCTTTAGCCTCCACACTCAGACCAACCATCAATAATCATGTCCTCGACGATCGTTGAGTCTCTGCCATTGGGCAACACCAAATACGACTACATTATCGTTGGTGGTGGCACAGCTGGATGTGTTATCGCTGCCAGATTGGCAGAAAGCTTACCTGACAAGAGAATCCTCGTTATTGAGGGTGGTGGTAGCGAACACAAAAATGAGACTGTACTCAACCTCAAAAACTTAGTCGACCTTTGGGGCTCAGATATGGATTATTCTTACTATTCAGTGGTCCAGCCAAATGGTTAGTGTTCTCGATATCGTCAGACAGCTGATTCAAACCGAAAACTTACATTGTCAATGTAGGCAATAGCAATATTCTTCATTCACGTGCGAAGCTACTTGGGGGTTGCTCGAGTCACAATGGATCTATCGCCTTCCATCCCGTTGAGTACGACATGAGAAGATGGGAGGCTGCGGGTGTTAGAGGATGGAGCTTCGAACTCATGTGTCGACTGGTCCGAAAATTGCGCACAAACATCGTTCCGGTGGCTCCACAACATCGCAGCCAGGTAAATAAAGATTGGGTGGAAGCTTGCTCAAAGCTGTTCAATATACCCGTTGTTGAGGATTTCAACAAAGAGATCGTCAGAACAGGCAACCTAAGTTCCGGAGTTGGTTTCATCAACGTCGCCTACACGCCCTCAGACAATCACCGCAGCAGTGCCAGTGTTGCCTATATTCATCCAATTCTGGATGGAGACGTCAAAGCGCCTAATCTTACGATTCTGGTTCACAGCTGGGTGAGTAGGATTATCACGGAGGGCCATACTGCTGTAGGAGTCGAAGCCACAACAAAGAGTGGAGAGCGTTTGCAGATATTTGCGCGAGACGAGGTGGTTCTGAGTGCAGGCTCAATTGATTCTCCAAGACTCATGATGTTGTCTGGACTTGGCCCTCGCAAGCACCTCCAGGAGATTGGGATCCCAGTGGTCCGCGACATCCCCGGTGTAGGTCAAAATCTACAGGATCATTGCGAAACCATGTATATGTGGGAGATGAATGAGACTGTGCCTGAGGAGACAGTCATTTCAGGCTCTGAGGTTACCATGACACTGCGCAGGGAGCAGTTCGACGCTCGTGGAGATGATGGAAATACTATGGACTGCATGTTTCATATGTTTACATATCCATTCGATATGTACACAAAGTCCATGGGCTACGAAACTCCAAACGCAGCGTTCTGTGTTATTCCAAACACTCCTCGGCCACTATCCGTAGGTAGTATCACCCTGAAATCATCCAATCCCAAAGAAAAGCCGGTCCTTGATCAACGATATTTCTCGGATGAGGAAGGTTACGATAAGGCAACAAACCTGTTCTTGCTTGAACAATCACGGAGAATGGCTCAACAATCTCCATTCAAAGAGCATCTGAAACGTGAGATTGCCCCAGGGCCAAATATCAAGACAGCCGAACAGCTTTGCGAATACGGACGGAAAGTCTCAAACACTGTCTATCATCCTTGCGGTACTGCGAAAATGGGAGATCTTAACAACGACCCGATGGCTGTTGTGAGCTCTCAACTGAAGGTTCGCGGTGTTAAGAAGTTGAGGGTTGCTGACGCAAGTGTCTTTCCATTCGTGACAACAGTGAACCCCATGGTCACTGTCCTCGCCTTAGCAGAGCGTGCTGCAGAACTCATCATTGGCGACGCTCAAAGGGTGAAATCAGCATTATAGGCATTCAAATCTGAAGATCTGTAGGATTGATACATCAGGACTTGGTATGCTGTTCTTCCATATATGTTTCAGATACTGTGCTCGAGTTGTGCTTTGGATAATAGGCTTCAAGATTCACTGTGCTTTAAAGGTGCTTTTTTCTATCGCCAAAGTTTCAATGCACTAAGGTAGATTTCTCCTGTGACTAATTTGAGCAATATTACTTTGATCGCCCTTTCTGTATTGGCCCCGAATCTTTGACTGCCATGCCTTCTACACCTTTTCTAGGTTGTAGTTCAGTTTCGACACTCATTGGAGTGCTTCTTGTGAGCTTGATAAGTTGCCATAGGAGAGAACGTAGCATGTCCCAACATTTTAAGGATTACAAATTCGCAGTAGATTCGAGTGAGGATACATTTCGTGGTCTAACATCTTGCATAGCCACTTCGAAAGAGCATGGATGAAAAGAATGGCTAAGGATAAACCTAATAATCTAGCTGGAGTAAGACTGATTTATAGTTGGTGTAGGCCTTGATTCCAAGTTCACCACACTCTCGACCTATGCCAGACTGCTTAACACCTCCAAAGGGCACGCGATAATCGGACCCATTGCTGCTGTTAATCCAAACCACTGCTGCTGTTAACAAAGTACCTAGCGCGTATTATATGAGGAATATGACTTACTGCCTGCTTCCAACTTCCGCGAGACTCGATGTGCTCGGCTGATATTCTCAGTGAACAGAGAAGCTGCCAAACCATAAGTGGTGCCATTCGCCATACGGATTGCCTCCTCGTCTGTCTTGAATGACTTGATGACTGCAAAAGGACCAAATATCTCCTCTTTGTAAACCGTCATATCTTCGGTGACGTTTGAAAAGATGGTTGGCTTGATATAGTATCCCTTACCACCGAAATCTGCAGATCCGTCCTCACCACCTAGCTCTAACTTCGCTCCTTCGTCCTTGGCTGATTGGACGTAGGACAAGATACGCTCATGCTGGGCCTTGCTGACCTGCGGTCCTTGGAAAGTCTTCTCGTCAAATGGATCACCGAGAACTGATGTTTCAAGTGTTTTCTTCTTGAACAGCTCAATGAAGTTGTCATAGACCTCTTCGTGAACAAAAATACGGCTGTTCGCAGTGCAGATCTGACCAGAATTACCCATAATCCCATAGTGACCGTACTTCACAGCAGCGTCGAGTTTAGCATCCTCGAATATGATCAAAGGCGACTTCCCTCCAGTCTCGACCGTTATATTCTTTAGGTTTGTAGCTGCAGCCTTCATGATCTCCTTACCTGTAGCAGTAGAACCAGTAAAGGCAATTTTATCAACATCTAAGTGGGCGGCTAGAGCATTACCTGCCACTTTACCGTAGCCATTAATAATGTTGACAACACCAGGTGGGAATCCAGCCTCTTTCACAAGATTGGCTAAGTATAATATAGACAATGGCGTCTGTTCGGCGGCTTTCATAATGACAACATTCCCAGCCGCTAGCGCTGGTCCAAGTTTCCAGGATGCCATACCTAGGGGATAGTTCCATGGAATGATTTGTCCACAGACTCCGATAGGTTCAGCGATGGTATAAGTGAACTTGGCAGGAGTGGTTTCGATAACTGCACACCATCAGCTATAGGGTATACACAGCTAGAGGATAGCAGCCTTACCTTGACTTGAGTTCTTATCCGCCCAGCCAGCATAGTACTTGAGTACCGACATCAGTTCATCGAGATCACCAGAGTACGCAGCACTATATGGCTTGCCTTGATGTATCACGATTAGCTTCCAAGCCATTTAACATGCATACAAACCTCTCGGATAACATCATACCATTATCCCAGGCTTCAATGGTCGCCAGAACCTTGCGATCACGTTCAATAAGCTCCACTAGCTTATATAACAAAGCGCCTCTCGCTGTGCCACCAGTCTCTCTCCAAGGGCCATTGAACGCAGCTCGAGCTACCTTAACGGCTGCGTCCACATCCTCAACACCCGCGGCGTGGACTTCTGTGATCACACTCCCATCACTTCGTAACTAATGTCAGCATAGAACAGCGCAAACTTGATATGTGCAAGACCCAACGTACGCGGGGTATAGAGACTGAATCTTTTCACCGGATTTGGCGGCGACCCATTCATTGTTGATGAATAGGCCTTGCGGCTGTATGTACTCGACGCCGTTAGGCGCGGTAAGTTTGACAGAAAGATCTCCAGACATATTTTCGAAGTGAGCTGGTTGAGCATGTACAGATCTGAAAAGAAATGGAAAACTTCGCAACTGGGTTTGAAATTATTGTTGACACGACGGGTTGCATGTAGAGGTATTCCATGGCCAGGGAATACAATGGCGTGCCCTTAAACCACATAGACTCGGTTAGTAGTGTATCCACCGATTCAACCGCCTCTTTCCTATCCTAGCTGTAATGCGGGTTTGCAGTCGAAAACTTCCAAGTACCCACGTCATCCTTGTTAATTATCGGGATCAGACGGACGCTGTCTACCAACGCGCATCGAAGGTTTAACGTTGAAGCACTTACGTTCATCACTCGACTCGGTTTATACCGTGTCCCTTTTTCGAGATGATTGGACGCTGTTGGTACAAGCCCCAACCCAGAACTCCATGGAAACGGCGCAGGTTGGCTCATGCGAGGAATAAAACCAATACAGCAACCACCGACGGGTCTAATGCAGTCTTAGGATCAGGAATACCATTTGTCAAAATTTTTCAGATCTTTTGGTCTTATTTCCAGGTTGAAGATTATAAAAGTGCCTTCAGGTGTCTCTCCTCAGAGGCGACAACTTGACCTAGTTTATGATACAAGGAATGAAGTCTTGTCGTGGTGAGGCGATACTCATTCGGGAGCCAGTAGCTGTCATCTTTCCCCAGCATCATCATGGCGACTGCTTTGCCACAGAGAAAAGCGTTCACCATTCCATAACCTCCGTATCCCGCTGAAATCCACTCTCCAGAGTCTCTTGAGCCTGCGGGGCGATCCAGGGCTTCTTGAGGCAGCATTCCCACAAGCGGAACTTTATCGAGAGAGTTGCACAAGATGCCCGTCCACGATGCCTTCACCCGCGGCTTACCAGGGAGCTCAGTTCCCCATGTCTCATGGCCAAAGGCGGCTGGAAGTAACCCGCCGAGGTGGCTCAGAGCTGAAACCGCTTCCTCAGCGTCGGAAGGATTGCCCAATGCCGGGCCATAACCGACTACATCGCCGCCACCTAGGAACAACTCACCCGTACTTGGGTTTTGTGTGGCGTAATCCATGTTGTCCAGGTAAAAATTCCAAGAGCAATCACCACGCTGTGGGAAAGCGCTTCCTGGATTTTGCACAGTCATCTGGCCTCTTCGAGGCACCAGGATACCCCTAAGCATTGGTAGAAGATGCGCGGTATGCCCTTCCGTGCAATGAACCACGTGCTTCGTCTGGATGATTCCTCTTGCTGTTACCACAGAATACGCATATTCGGAGGTCGAGTTTCGGTAGATTCCTAGCGCCGGCGTATTGGCTTCCAATGCGTACCTATCTTGATATTGCTCCAGTAGGGCTTCGAAGATACCAGTGACCATTCGATAGGGCCAGACGGCGCCGGCCTTGCCTATCACCGCTCCTTTGGCATTCTTGATGTTATATTTCTTATTTCGAAGTTAGTTTGTATGTGCGGACAAGCTGGGGAGAATTACCTGCACAATCTCCTCCTCGTCCGCAATACGCCATACACCCTTGTATTCAGGAAGTGCTTGCTCAAAGTCTACCAACATCTGCCTCAATTCCTCAACCTTCTGCTGTGAGAAAGCGGTGGCGATTGCAGACACTTGCCGGATCTCTGACGTATGAACTAGAGCTGGCCCAATTTCATCCACAACGGACCGGAGTGCATCGAAATGAGCCAGTTCAAATTTGACAATGGCTACAGCGGTGTGATGTCCGAAAATCTGGCGATATTTGGCATAGTTCTGAATTGCTGGAGCGTTGATTCGACCACCATTCCGACCGGTAGCACCGGAGCAAATTTCTCGAGCATCCATCAGGGAAATGGTCAATGAATCCGAACCTTTCAGAAGCCAATGTGACACGCTGCATCCAGTAATTCCTGAGCCGAGTATCACTACATCTCGCTTCTCATGTAGATGTAGTGATTGTATGTTGAGTAAACGTTCGTTGCCAGGTGTTTGCCAGTAAGACTTTGTAGGATTTGGCACTGGCAGGCCGGGATCCTTGACAAGTTTGTGAATCATGCCTCTAGTTATCCTGTCGCGTGTTTGGAGAGACCATCCAGTGCAACATAGTAACCTGAGTGCAACGACTGTGCGGATGGACTTCGTTAAGGGACCTTCACACACAGTATTAAATTCGCGTTTAGTATCAGGTGATATGTGTGCCCGAGTTGAGTGTATAACGGTGAGCAATTACTATCGACGGGTGTAGTTCATAGGTGGGCGATGCTTTCGAAGTGCAGGGTGGGATGGTGTCGGAATGTGGACTAATGTAGAAAGTGGCCGGATCTTCTGGCCAGCCCGCCGCCCAGCGCCTAAAACGAAGTGGGAAGGGCGCGCCGTTTCCCCCATGATCTGACGTACGTCCAAGAGGAGAGCAGGTCGGTAGAATCCACGCTCAACTTCACTAGTTAGCCACTTTCGGGCTTGTCGCTTGCGTAAATGCAGGCTAACTAGTGTCGCCACTTAGATAACAGATTTGTTCCCTAGCTACCGCTCGATTAGCTTCCAAACCATGTGTCGTCCTGAATCTTCCAGATTTGCACTACGAGGTACAGTCTGTCTGATTGTCATGGGAAGTGAAATGATTTCCTTCCTGAGTGGAAACTCGAGAACCTTCGAGCAATATGGGAGAAATCAGGTATCGGGTGTTAGAGGCTTCCTTGAGAGTTACAGGGATGTCCAACAACTTTTCCCTCTGGAGATCTAGACTGAATGGGTGATAGTCGGGAGATTCCTGTTCTTGAGTCTTCTATACTTAGAATGTTAATACCATTAGTAAAAAAGTCAATTCTCAATAAAACCCTCGATAGGGTAAGACGAATGTCTTCAAGAGAGGTGTAGCTTCAATCAGCATGGAAATGCAAGCTACCAGGTCATTAGTTGCTAACTATGTCACGGCGGTAATAAGTACTTCAAAGATTGGCCATCCATCATTACTTATGTAAACCAGCTTCCTAAACTGCACAGAACGCGAGGGTTGCTTCTTTGGTGGGTCGTCGCTCACTCGTACTCATCCGATCGACCTGATACTCGGTCCCACTGTTATGCAACACCACCGTTCCTTTTCTGATATCTACGTTGGGAGTGAGCAGCACAGTTCCCAAATATTTCGTGTTCTTTACTTCCCTGTTTTCCGATTTCTTGTCAGCAATCGAAACAACCTGGACATGTCGGACAAACCAACTTTTCATTCTTACCCCGGCTACGGTGAGGATGCCACTAAGAGGATGGGTTATTCGCAAGCATTGAGAATAGGTTCTTCTTCACAGCCCGCCCCATGATGCGCCATTGCTAATACATTTAACATTAGGAAACTTCGTCAGAACTTCTGGTCAATCTGGCTGGCATCCGGACGGAGTCCTTCCGAAAGATGTTGAGACCCAGGTATTCCGTGCCTTTGAGAATGTTATGCAGGCATTGAAAAGTGCCAATCCTCAGTGCGAATGGAGGCATGTCATCAGCATAAAAAGTTATCATGTCGACGTCGACGCGCAGTTCCCGAAAATGTGTGAGGAAATTAAGCGGAGAATGCCCCATGGGCCTACCTGGATGTGTACTGGTATCCCCTATGTGGGACTGCCGGGACTGCATCTTGAAATTGAGGCAGAAGCGTACGTATACGATGTCTAGGTACCATCGTGACGCTTAAGATTGGAGCCGTCAATGTTCTCAGCACCACGTCGCACATAAAACGCGCCATACGCGTGTGATATTTATATGGTCGCGATCAATGGCGTACTGCAATCTGCCATCCTGGGCGGGCGTGGACTGCATCATGCAGCAAGTTGTGGGTACATAGCACGTGGCCTTTAAGGCGCGATGAGTCTAGTGGTTTCCTTGCCTTCAATAGTCGTCCTGGAGAGCAGTGAAGTCTGTACAATGATATCCCCACAGAGTCATTGGCCTACTGTAGCATTGTTAGGCAACCGAATAACGGTAATCAGCTGATTAGTAGTTGCCACAATGGTTAGTCACTGGTGAAACCTCGATCCTACAAATGGACGTAATCATTAAACTTGGAAAGCTTTTACATCATGCTCCGATGGATACTCGCTCTTAATTAGTAAAAGGCCCAAGGTGTGCGCATGAATATATTGACGGTCATCGTGAGCACACTTCGTGGAAATTCACACTTTCCCTGAGTGTCCCAATAAGGGGCATATATTAATTACCACGGTCCTGCCTTGAGCAAGAAATTTGTGCTTCGACAAGAGATACGCACAAGAATCATGAATCCGCACCTGCTGTAGATAGTTTATGTACCATGTATGGTCGTTGATGTCAGCGTTGCGACTAACCCAGTCTGTTCCAGACAACTTGCGAGAACGTAGAGAGTCCTAATAATTTGTATCGATCTATGACTTTGGCGCACACGGTTCTGAACACAACCTTCAGCTTGCCGATATGCTCAAAACCCTCTCTATCGCTTACCAATGTGAGTACCGTTCTGTAACGGACGGAGAACCTTCACCAACATTGCCTTTGTGGTATAGCCGCAGAGTGCGCACGCAATTTAAGCTAACTCTCCGCGAATATAATGGCATGAGTAAATTTCCATCAAATAGGTGTCGAAAGGCCGACCTCTATAGAAGTCATATCTAGAAAAGATGCACGTCTTTGCGTATTCAGAGCACAGATTGCTCTTGTGTATAGGAAGCTATACTTGCTTGAAAATGTTTCGAGTTGCTTAACGACCAATGAGAGCCTCTTTGAACAGACCACGATTGACCCAACTAGTGTCTCCATGATCAGAAGTTGATGTCCAAGTATCACAACACAGTCATTGACTTGGTGGAATTGACTCAACTCCACCGTGTCTGAATCTCAAGGTGTTTCTTCACGACATGGTGACATGCGGAGAGCGCAAGCCGAGACGCTTTCTGCGGTTGGTACTCATTACAAAAGCGCATTCAAGCACTGAAGATACCATCGTGTCCAAAGATGCGACGGCCACGGAACAACCAATCAAGCGCCATGAAAACCACCAGAACAGCCATCACGACCGAGAAATAATTCATATCTATTCAAGAGTTAGCAAGACAAAATCATTGCAGGAGCCATAATATCTCACTAGAACCGGTGACTGGCATAACAAAAGGAAGGCAGTAAATAACGGTTGAATACAAACAGAACAAGACGGTCAAAACCCTGGCAATCGTGCCAAAGACACCCAGGTTGAAGGGACCCTTGATATGCCTGTTTGATGGAAGAAGAGAGTAGGCCACCGGTGTCACGAAAGACAGATATGGGAAGACGATGACAGCCGTCACCATACTATGAATGAGATCAGTATGTTAGAAAGGTACATATAGGCTAGGGATGATACTCACCTATTGAACGCTGTTGACGATGCAATAGGAAGAATCGCGAGGATGGTGACCAACGAAATACACAGCAAATGTGCGTTCAGTGGGACGGAATATTTCGGGTGTACTTTCGACCAGATATGCCATAGAGGAAGCCCATGGTCGCGCGAAAATGCCCAGCAGATTCGAGCTTGATATGCCTGTAGCGCCACAGTGGCACAGGCATAGGAGGAGATGACAAGGGCCAAGAATCCCACAGCCATCGCTTTGCTATTGAAGGTGAGGTGGTAAAGCTCTAATAGTGGTACGTACGTTGCGGTAGTAGCAACAGACTCAAAGTCAACCAGGCAGTACATCAGGACAATGGTCAATGGCCACGCAGTGACGAAGCCCACGATAACGGTGGAGTAGAGAGCTTTCGGAACGTTTTTCTCGGGCTCAACGATTTCTTCGGCTAAATGTACGCCTGCGTCGATCAATCCGAAAGCGTAGTTGACATTGATTAATCCGAGTAGAAAAGCCAGACCCTTACTTGACCATCCGCTGAAATTCTCAGTGCTGGTGAAGATGAAACCAGTACTAGTATGCTCGGTGGCTTTGGCAGGTAGGGTTATCAAAGTAATCAATCCAGAAAGTGCTATGAAAATCGAGCCATAGGATATCGATGCTGCTACTGACTTCTCGGAGAAGTTGAAGACTGCGCAGGTATAGTAAATGGACAATCCCATTAACCAAACCTGCCAGGCGTGGTATGTGCTGAAGTTGCGCATCAGATCAAAGGGTTCTCTTTAAGCAAGGATTTCGTACTCACAATTCAGGGTTGAACAAAATCACACAGCCAAACACCATGTAACCAAGAACGATAACATTGGCTGCACCTGCACAAACACCACCAGCTAGATTGAACCATCCCGTTGCATATGCTGAAATCCGTGACAACTTCGCTGGAGCCAGGCGCATGGCCCAGTAGTATTGACCGCCTGCGTTGGGCATTGCACTGACCAGCTCAGACAAGCTGGTAGCGACCATGAGTTGGAAAAAAAGCATGATTACCATTCCCCATACGAGGCAAACTGGTCCACCAGTTATGACTCCTGTGGAGAAGCCACCAGCAATGCCAATCCAAGACGCAGTAACAGCGAAACCTGCTGCGATCAATTCGATTATACTGAATTCGCGAGGCATTTGGGCCGAATAACCCATCTCTGGACGTTCGTTAGCAAGAAGTTCCATCCTCCAGGCAGAGGATAATGTGCCCACCCGCAAGCTTTGCGGCGTCAATGTCGAAGGTGCCTGTACCAACTGACACATTTGTCGGTGTCTGCTCGACATCGCTCTCAATCCCCATCTTGTGCTTCGCTTCGCTGTCACCGGCCATGATTTATTATACTTTAGGGAAAATTGAATTGGAAGAAGTTGCTGATGAAGAAGAGGAATGAATGCTGGATGATTTGAGCATTCTTAAAGGTGTGGACGCTCCTCCGTGATGCTCGTATTGATATCTGTGGAGTCGGCACAAACCCTTCCCGAAGCCCCAGCTGGAGATTCATTTCTCCTCCAATTATCGTCGGCTAGTTGGGGACAGCCATAACTTTTGCCACCTCGATTGCTCCAAAGTTTGAGTTCCGCGCGATAAAGTCATGGCAAAATCAGGGTTTCAAGGTCTAGATCCCCTCAAGATTGTGATGCAGCCACATATTCAGACACACAGCGAGATTTTGATAAAGCCGTCAAAACAAAATATAGTTCGCAGTACCTATCGTCCACTGGAGTCTCGCAAGGATAGCTTCACGATTGCTGATTTCAAACTGGCAGCACAGTTTGCCAAGCGCTATTTTGCGAGAGATGTTTGAACACTAAACCCGATTGTACTTAGTACTGTGCAGTTTCGAGGGCTGGGGAAATGCTTGCTTTGTGATTGCGAGGCTTAAGCGAAGTCTAATTGGGCCCCTCATCAAGCCACATCATTGGGCAGGCTGTGCTTATTACTACATTCGTCTAGTTTCCGAGATTACTCGGGCGTGACCGGCGTAATCCGACTCAGTTTGTTTATCCGTAATCGGTACAATTTAGCGCAGTGGTTGTCTTGTGGATAAATACTTCATGCTTTTATGAGACTATTGGACAGCGATAGCATGCGTGCCCGTGCTCTTCGGCAGATCCATTCTATCTAGCTTTCGAGCAGAGTCGAGGTTTCTTGGATGGCTCACGCGTCACATATGACGAATTTAAGGGGTTAAATCAATGGTCTTCGTAGAACACATAGGACACGATCTCAAAGTATCTATTTGAGGCTAGCGTGCACTGTCGCTACTACACCATACCTAAAAAATAAATGGAAGCATATTATCAGCATTATGAATTATCACATCGACGATGTTCAGTGTTTCCATATCGAGGCAGGACTCAAGATGCGTAGAAACCTGTATAGGTGTGCCCTAGAATTCCTTACGTGGGACAACCTGAAGCCTAGATGAAGTGTATACACCTGAGGATGGGTTCGAGCTATAGCACACTATATCTGCAAGGTTTAATTTATGCGAGCTTGTGTAATACCCTATAGATTTTCTGATTTCTGTTGCGCTAGGCAAGACTCGAGGGATCGCTACATATGGCCGGAACGATATTAAAGGCGGTAAAATCGTGTAACACAGAATTTGCACTACCTGGTTCGTGTTCGGAGACAAATTCTGTAGAGCTTATTTCGCCATGCGACCGATATCCACTTGAACTTGTATATCAACCTAGCAACCGGTGCTCAAGTTTGCCTGTGTTCTTCGTTTTGAATCCAGTCAAGTAGCACTTTGTCCCATCTCTGTTGCGTTGTGATGCTGTCTCAAAATTCATACCCGAGAAATAATAAATGAGATTTGACTTACCCTCGAGAAAGGGCCTCCTTGGGAACTGATATGACGCGTTCTGAATCCATCCATTTTCAATTCAGGCTCCGAGCAAGATTGCGATATAGCGACGTCATTTATCAATCTATGGAGTGCCGTCGATCGGCGGGCGAGCATGTTCAATTCTTGTGATGACTTCTGCTTCATAGCTTAAGGGACCGTGATGACTCGCGGAAACCCGAAAGGACAATCATTCACGCGATGCGTAGGCGCACGACTGCGACCAAAAGCTAAACACAAATCCACCAACTTTCATGCCTGTAAGACGGGCTACATTCTGATTGCCAACGATTTATGTTTCCAGACGTAAACCACCGCCACCACCCGCTTAATGCATGAAGCTATCCCCCGGCTCAGCGAAGTTCATAAAATGGACGCACAATTGACATCAACCGCTGAATACCAAGTTTTGATTTACTGGTAACGACCTTTCTCTAGTCTTGCTTGATTGAGCTCATTTTCTTCCTGTGTTGGGTGAAAATGCGAGCTCGGGGGACTTATCCCGACGGAATCCGGCAAAGACCACGAACATAACCATCGGTGCATCGAGTCAGCTACCATTTCTATCTTGTGCGTAGTCCATACGGTAGCTGCGAAGGAGATACAGGGTTGTTGTGATCAGTGAATTAGTGAGGCCTAGAATTTGATACGTAAGAATGTCAGCTATCAAAAACCAGACTAGTAAATCAAGAGCATGGGTTACCTTATCCCAAAGCCCCAAGCGTCCGAATTCATATTGCCTGTTTCAGCCAGTTTGCGACGAATGGTGCTATGTTTGAGCCTTTTGGTGATTAAGATCTTCATATGACGGAAGTGTTCTGTGGTGGAATCGAAATGGCAGCGTCACTGGTCTTCAACCCTTCCAGGCAGTCTACTCGAAAGACTGATTCTGATAACGCTTTCCGAAAGGATCAGGGAGAATTAAGAAGCCGACTACATACACTCACTTGACAATCATCCATTCGACTATGTCCTCTTCAATTCAGGCCTTGTGGCAGGCGGCCAATGGCTATCTGCCAGCCATAATGTGGTTGACATTGCTTTTTGCAAAATGCTAAGCAGGCATTCAAACCAATGTGATCCTTTCAGTATCTATGAAAACGGCTACATTGGCGAAGTTTTCACCAAACTCAAAATCCACAGTCGTCCCTTTCGTGAGGTACACGAATTCACCTTTTTGAAGAGTGAACGTTTCGCCTCCTTGAACGGCGAGTTTGATCCATCCCGCGGTGACATAAAAGAACTCGTCGCATGGGTACGTCAGTGTGGCAGTCCCAGTCTCTTTTGCTGCCCCTGCAACAACTTTGCCATCTTCTGAACGGTAAAGAATTGATTTGCTTCCTGCGTATTCGGGAAAAGCCTCCCAAGGAAATGATTCCCACTTTCCGTATGGGACTTGTTTTGGATCTCCGGAGCCATTCGAGTTAGGAATCGATCGAGGCATTGTGATGGTACGAGTGTAACCTTGTTTGCGAGAACAGCTTCTAACCGTTGCGTGATACAGCTAAACCTGTAGCTTGGGAAAGTTCGTGGTGAGGGCGGCCAAGCAGTGTTGCTCAACGTACTTATTAGAAAAAATTGGTGTGGACCACTTGCAACGCCTAGCAAGGACCCTGGAATTGTATTGCTGTTTTTGGACACTTTGCGACTTACCTACAAATATGATAAACGGGAATATTGACGTCCAGGCTTCCAGTGCCATCTCACATGGTTCACCATAATCTGAATTCTGAGATGTTTGTTGTGCATAGCTCCTCTAAAAATTATTTCCCTGCATCCCCGTATCCAGTAAGTGCGGCTCTCATTCTGAACGTGTAATCTAATACTTAGTGTCGCAAAGACGAAATGAAGAGATTTGGCCAAGTTCCCCTTAGGTCGACAGCACGCGAAAATTGAAAACCGAAGAGAACTAACCAATCTAGCTACCTCTCGGTACATAGGCTATCTCACCGCTGCCACTTTCAAGCTTCTTTATTTGATACTTTCAAGGTAGACGATGATGTAAGCCTACACCACTCAGCAGCAAAAAGTGTGGTGCGCAATCCGCTAATTGTCACTTACCTAATGTAGGAATATCGCGAGGCTAGTGGGTAGATGCCCGCCCGATACGCTATCGATGCATTAGCGAACTCGGCCGTCACGGTCTAGCTTCGAGCACGATTGAACTGTACGAAGTTTTTCTCATTGCTTGGGATCCCGCGGTCAGATCGTGATGATGTTTTCGCTATTCAACATTGATCACCAACGCGGACAGGTAGTCCTCCTCAACATAGGTCGGTCAGGGTTCGGTCAGAGCCGATTGTGGCCAGCCATCTCCTAGTTCCAAGATGTTAACATGAGTAATTTGACTAAGATATTCAAAATTAAGCCACCAGTCGGTTGTGTATGGTCATTGACAATAGCTAATTACTATCTGTTAAGAAGTAGAAAGAAAGGCAGTCAGTGGTAACCGAGTGATACGCAAACCAAGTATCCATTCGATACCGCCGTAAAGCGATAATATGACAGTTTTATTGTTAAGAGACGGCTCACGCAGAGTATTATGATCAGTTGTTTGTTCATGTAGTCGCGTAGTGTATAGTTAACAGAAAAGATTCGTATAGCTACTGGTGACCTTATGATCTTAGCACTCGAGTTAAATGCAGTATGCTACTACTGAAGTGCGCAAGAAAAACATCATCTTATCAATCGACAGCATATAAAGTCAAATATCTGATGCCTCACGCTATGGGAGAGCTGGACTCTTGGTTCGAGCTCATGACACAGGCTGTGGCAAAAGTCGAATGGCCCCTGACTAGCTATAGCTAAAGTTGTTCATCATGAGATGGTAAGGGCATGCATGTAGTAGCTTTTGTGCAAAGCCCTTTTTCCCACAAATAAACCCTCATCAGTCTACAATCCACGCTCTTGGCGAAACACTCGTCAACATCAGTATCTTATAGCATCCTCATGTGTGTTGCTATGGAATTTGACTTCCAGCCGATGGCCATTTGGTCCGGCTAGGTACGAATCCTGTAGCTCCATATCACCATGGTCGTGAATGGTTGTGGTGTAGTTTGTGTACACGCCGGCAGCGAGAAATTTCATAGCTAGACCCTGTCAGTGGTAGTACGGGGACATTCGTAGACCATATTGGACGTACAGTAATATGCGAAATTGCTGCCAATACACATTCTACCACCACTACTAAACGGCCAGAACCATTTCTTCATCACAGTCAGCTGTTCCGGAGAAGCGTCCAACCATCTCTCCGGCTTCCATTGATGCGGATCTGGAAAGATTTCTGGCGTCCTGTGAAGTGCGTAGGCATATGACTGTACGATCGTCCCTTTGGGAATGTTCTCGAAACTACCTAGCGTACAAGGTCTGGGCACTACTCGAGGCTGGCCACCCGGAACAGATGGGTAAAGTCGCATGGTTTCCACGATAACGGCATGTAGAATTGGCAGTGCGTCGACCACCTTTGATGAAGGGAGGTCTTCGATCTCGTACTTTTTCCCCTGTTCGAATTTCAGTTGTGGTTCCAACGTCAGTAGCTCTTCTCGTAAACGTTTCTGCCAGATAGGATTTCGGCACATTTCATAAAAAAAGTAAGTCTCGGTGTTACCGCTTGTTTCAAACGCGGCAGAATTATGAGCGAACATATCACTCGCGACCTCCATACGTTGCGGATATGCACCAGGTTTCGAGTCAACCTCACTCATGGACTTGAGGGCTTGCTCGAAGACCACTGGCTGATCCGCTTCGGCCAGCGTCTCATGCCTGGCCAGAAGTTGCTGAGCTCTATCGCACTTGTCCAGATTCCAATCTTCAATAGCCTTGAAGTGGGTATCCACCCATCTTGGGATTAGATAGATACCAACCGTGCGTAATACTCGGGCAAGATCTGGAAAGTAATATTGCCAGAATGTATAAGGCCCGGGGCTAAAGAAACCGTCGAAGTACATTTTCCTTTCAGCCAGATCCTCAATAAGGTTGCTGCCTAGACTTCGACCGAATTGCCACTGGACGAAAGTATCCATGGAATATGCATAGTTCAAACCCAGCACTTCGATAGCCTTGTTCGCTGCAGAAGCTCGATGCAGTTGCGGGAGGTACCGTCCCAGTAAGACATCCCGCGTCGCTGCTCTGGGATTTTGCGAACCAAGAATAAATGATTTAGAGAAGGTGTTGGAAATGATTTTCTTCCGTGCTGAGTGTGCCTCATTAGTCTCAAATGTGAAAATGTTTTCCGTTCTAAAATCGTTTGTCGTTTAGTGTCTCGAACTTCTCGACTAGAAAGGGTCACCGTAGACCTACCCGTAAATTGCGAACCCTCTGAAGTAAAATACTGGTTTTGGAAAACCTCCTTGGTAGATTGTTTTCAGCCCCTTCTCGAAACAATTGATACTGAGGACATTGGGAGCAAGCCTGACGACTGGCCCTTTCTTCATGTGCAGCTTGTACACCGTCCTATTCTCTTGATGCGACCATCTCATCCACAACAACCACGCGGAGGAGAAACTGCTTGACCAATGTGCGGTGGGAATTCGTGCCAATGGTGAAAGAACCACAGGTAAGAGGAAAAACTTGTAAACAGCGAATAATAGAGCAACAAAGAATCCTAGGGTAGTAACTTGAGAAGTCATTGTGCACTTGGGCTCACACCTCGCGAATCGGATGAGAAAGTTGAGGAGGGTGAGAAGTTGTGGGACGATTTGTATGATCTGATGCACAATCTTGACGAGCTCTACCCAATCTGATCACCGACTGACACTGATCAATATGAAGAAAAGATGGTCGTTCAGGTGCCGAAAGGTCATAAACTTTTTCCGTTGTCTTTGAAGGTTGCAAGGCGACTGCTATCGCGATTCGTACTTTCTGGGTAAGTGGGTATATGGAGTACGGATCTTCTTCCTACACGAATAAACCTGACTAAAAAATTTAAACAATACGTGGACGTATTCGCACAGCTGATGCCAATTTTACGCTATGGAAGGGGTGCAATCCCGGGGAAGATTCGGGCTCGGATAACTGACGGGCGATAGCACTCACGTATCCGAGAAGCGTGGGCGAATCATGCAATTCACGCGACCGAAAGCCCGCACTTTTAGCTTCGCGCCGCACGGTTAGCTGCGAACCTCGATGCTCGCATTCTTGGCCAAGATAGGCAACTTACTCACTCCAAGGCCTGCTTCGATACACTTTCTGCTAATCTGCTCCGGTTTCCGAGAGACGGAATTACACGGACCTCCGTTGATAAGCGGTGATGGTGGGTATCTGTATAGTTGGCAGGGATTGCTGACGAATTCATTGGATAATTAGTCTGAGACAGTATAGTGTTGTAGGATTTCATACTGGCAGCCCAGGATCTCGCACGAGTCGATATTACATTGTGCCATGTGTCTTAGTAAGCTGTGACAATATGCTCAGTAAATGATCTTGGGATGGCCGTGAGTACACAGGTTTATTGAGTAACTCAAATCGCATGTGTGAGTAGGCCAAGCCGGCGCCATAGATTAGGAGGCGTGGGCAAGCGGATGTGGAAGACAGTGGCAAGGACGTTTCCAAATCTCATAAGTGGTGTTTGAAGAAATATTCCATAATTTGCTCTGTCTGGTGCGGACACTCATGCTGCGAGCAGAGCACAAGATATGCGGAATAGGTCTCGCATTCTGAACGGATGTAGAAGGTCGCTTTATTTAGAGTCATGGTCTCGTCAAACACCCCCAGTCTCCTACACGCGAGATTCATTTTCAAGCTATTTGTCATTCTTGATTCTCTTTCCAAGAGAGAACACCTGCAACCACACTGTGGAGCTGTCGCAGTACACACCAAGCCCTTACAGATGGCAGCAAGCTACCTGCCAGAACTGTTGTTCTCATTTCGAGCTCTGCAGGTCTCGAGGACCTTGATCATACTGGCGCCGATACTTGACTTCCTTCCCTCCGATGCATCACCTGTAGCAGTTACGCGTTCGTGACATCTACGTCACAGCAAAGTGTTGTGCACTCTTTAACGTGCGAGGTCGGGATTTGTACCCTTATGATGACTGCTGAGTTGAAAGCACTTCTCGAGGCACCATCAGGGCCATCGTCCCTGCACCCCTGGGGATATTTTTTCAATGATCAATTGGTAATATGCAATCCAGGAGAGACAATAGTCTAATCCTGTGTAAGTTCCATGGTAGGTAGTGAAAGCGCATATTTGCTCTCGGATAGGGACCCTTTTGAAATGGAGCTGTTATATCGGCAAAGCTTGGAGACTGTGATACCCCATGAATCACACATCCATCCAACTTCTGCGGCTTGAGAAGAACATTATGAACTAGATCACAGTAATCATCAGCAGCAGCGAGTCACGGGACCAGTTCTGGGTTATTGTCCAATCGTGGACGTTTCCATATGTAGAACCCTCACTGTCCCGATATGAGAAACCACCAAAGACTGACTGAAATTATCACAGAGTTTCCCAGCGTGCCTGATGAATCAGTTGCATTAGCATGTGCTTGTTGCTGGGCTACTTGTCACCAACCTGTACCTCCAACAATGTAGTCCTCCGCACCGCATTCTGGTCATTCCAAGAAGTGTAAGATTGACCGTCTGGTACGCAACAGATTTCGTGAGAACCTAGCGACGTCGTCCAAATGATACCTGGGGCACATTGGAAGCAGAGTGATAGAGTAGAGAATCAGCTTTGGTAGACAGAGTTTTACATTGTGGCTTTCTCGGCGTAGGTTCTACTAGTGCCGTGTGTTTCGTGAGATCCAGCAGGGCTTGCGAGTCCTGTTGTGTCAACTGAGGGGAACAGGCACCAGGAATAGTCAGATTGATCTTGGATATCCCTTATTCATATTGTCTCTTATCGGCAGGAAATTGGCAAACCTAGCTTACAGACCAGTCGACATTCATCACGAATGGTACATTGACGCGGTCCTCAGCAGAACCCGAGGAGAAGGCAGTCAACTTACTAGTAGCGTCATGGCTCAATATATTGGTAGTGATCTTGGTCTAAAGAGTCAGTGTCTCTTATCGCTGGTTCATCGCAACGTAAGGTCCAGTGTCCTCCTACGGTCGTCAAAGCACGGTCCACCCACTGGTGCACCAAATCATGCAGTAGGTGAAATGCGTGTGGAGTCGTTGTCCGGCTACCGTACACTTTGCACACTATCGGCGGCTTACATGCAGGAGACGATCCGACAGTCACTATAATGGGAGAACTGTCTAGGCAGCAGCTCGTGTGTTTCAGTGTTTCGAGTCTGGCGCATTTTTGCCAGTCTGGGAAGACTGTGTCACCCTATAGAATCACGAAAACTGAACGTGACCACCATCTAGAGTATTTACGTGAGCTTCGCTGATGCACAGCTTGTACGTTCTCTAGGCTGTCCACCACAAGCGAATTGGTCGTTAGTAAAAGTCGTATTGTTGATTCAGTGACGTAAGTGGCAAAAGATACAACGACGGAATGCCTCGCGAGCTCGGGTGATCACTAGATCTGGAACTTTTGCAGGCTTCCACCGCAAACACGAACTCCACAGCACCATAATATATTGGCTTGCAGACTGCTGTTGCCCCTCTCATAAATTCATACTGCCATCCCATTGAAGATTCAGACGAATCTGCCGCTACATATACTTTCATCATCGCACGAGCCGTGTATCTCTTGCGAATACAGAACAGGGCGATTGTATCGTCGACGAGGAAGACCACCAAAAGTTTTGGTCTGCGTCATCAGTAATGGAGCACAATGGTCATGGAAAGATGCAAGTTGCACAGGTCAGTTGTCTCGGCGGAAGAAATCGAGTATCAGCTGATGGAAGGGTACTCAGATATATACTTATCCCATCAAGTCCTTGCAAGGTGTATCAGCACAATCTCTCTGGGCAAGTCCTACGGGATTCCAGTACGATCGGCATTTCATGCTATGGGATGTTGAAAAGGCTACTACAATGCACATCGGCAATGTCTCATCAATGTGTCTGTTCACCACCGCTTTGGTGCCTTCCACAAGCCCCAACACGATTCAGGTCACTTATCGTCTAGATCATACCTTCAACTCTCCTACTACAAAGGTAGCTAGCAGCATACTAGATGTGCCCCTATGTCCAGATACTACGAAACTCAACGAATTCCATGTTAAGATGCATCTCAGCCCCTGCCAAGCTTACGATATGGGAGAAAATTCCAACGAGTGGTTCAGCAGGAGGTTTGGTCTCAAGGTAAAGTTGCTATACATTGGTAACAATAGGCGTAAGGTCCTAGGTAACGTAGGGCCGGTTCTAACTAGGGAGGAGCACAATGGGAAGACTCTCATTGTTGGCGTGTCAAGCTTTATTCTGTGCTTGACGTTGTTTGCAGTTACCGCCGGTTCACCCTGGGCCCTAATTTACTCATGTGGGCTTGCGCCTCCTTGCTACTGGATAATTCAAAAATTATCGAGAAAGGCAAGCACCAGCAGGGATTCAGAAATCAATATCAACCAAGGACTCACATTTGCAGATCTCGCTCCATACCTCGTCATCAGTAAACTTAGCTGGGATAACGTGCAAAAGAGACTCTCGGATGGGGAGGTCATGGACATTACAAAGTTCCGATCCAATATTATCATCGAAGGGGCTGACGAGGCGTTCGAGGAGGATTTTTGGGCTGAGCTGAGTGTTGGTCGTAAAATCAGATGTCTGCTTACGCAGAACTGTGCACGGTGTGCAAGTCTCAACGTCGATTATACTACCGGCAAACCAGGGACAGGTGACGGAGGCAGAGTATTGAAGTTGCTCAGCCGTGATCGACGGGTTGATCCGGGCACCAAATGGAGCCCTATCTTCGGTCGATATGGGTTTGTCGCGCCTCTGGATATGGATGCCTGGTGCGGTCACAATGGTGCTCTCATAACAGTTGGTGACGAGGTCAAAATTGTGCGTCGTAACGATACACGAACTACTATGAGTAAGTGTCACCTTCGTGGATTTGCGAGCAAAACTCTATCGTTTTCCGACACAACGATGTCTCTCAGACTCTCATTCTAACAGAGGGACAGATTATCCAAAAGGTTAGCAAACAAGGTTCGTTGGAGAGGTTGAGTGGCACGTTTGCTCGGGTAGGATTGGCTTGGTAACTGAGGATTTTCTAGGATCTCAATGCCGTTTCTGGTGATTAACGGGGGCTATCCTTGACGACATTGGGTCTTCTTTCCCCTGATGTGATCATTAGACGCATCTGATTTCTGCCATTAGCAGCTTAAGGCATAACTCGACCAAAGTCGAGTTCTGTTCGAAGCTCCAACTGGCCGCACCACCCGGCTATGTACACTGAAGTAGCGGAAAGAAACTACGCAGTCTCAAAAGTCTAGAGTTCGACCACTGCCCTCATCTGCATGTGGACGAGATCCTGGTTGTCACTGGAATAACTTGAGGACTGGTCATTATGGTATGGAATTCTGTAGGATCGTCTGCCGCACAGCTTCACCGATGCTGACATCGTGACGGTACTATGCAAGACTCGCAAACACCGCCACCAAGTCTTCAATCGGCAAGCAGACTCAAGCGTCAAAAAGTGCAAGTTCCACCTCATAGATAGCTACAGCCGCATTCTAACACATTGGTATGGACTAAAATCATGAAACATGCTCCCACACTCCTTGACGCCCTGTTATTTGAAAAGTCGCTTCCTCACCCCATAGTCAGCCGCCAGCCTTTTCGGAGCATGAGCGATACATATGACTCGTATCTTCCTTTCTTACGAATGTTCCAGTGCTCTCGAAGCTACTGTATTAGTACATTGGTTGACCAATGTACTAATGATGGAGTTTAAGGCTTTGAATCGGGTTAGAACTTCCTCTCATTCCTCTATGTCATCTTCAGTGACCTCAGATTCAATCGTAAGAAGCGTTATCGGCTGCATATTAAAGTTACCTGACTCGAATAAGGTGTATATCAGTGCTTTCAACCCGCCTAGGTCAACCCGGTGGATCATATATTCTTTACCGTTGTATTCACCAAGTTCTAGGCCGTCGTATGCTAGCACGTCGAAGATACAATGAAGCAGTATCAGGCCATGAGTCCGAAGAGCCTCTTAGACCATGGTCAAATCGAAGCCAGCTGTGGGCGGCTGCCAACCCAGCAAGTCTTCTTCCAAGCTCTCTTTCAGCTCAATATGACATAACGAAGATGCATACTGAATGTTACAACGTAGCGAATGACACACGCCAATCTGCCCACCTATTTCCTCTACCAAACACAATATTCCTCCACAACCCAACATGCATCAGAAAAACGACAAAAGACAGATTATCCTATCGTCCAAGCCATCGCAAACAGTCCAGATCTAAGCGCTCGAGCCGCTGGTACTATCTATTCCATCGATCACCAGAAGCTCAGTCGCCCTAAGCGCGGTATCAAATCACGATGTGATATTTCTGATATAGAGGAATCAGTTATCTTCTAACATATTCTCAACTTAACCGCCAAAGGATTCCCTCCTCGAGCGTCTATGGTGGGAGATATGGCGAACCGACATCTCGCGGAACGCGACGCGCCACGTGTCGGGCCCTGTTGGGCCATTAACTTTGTCAAACGCCGCGCAAAGCTCGATACACATTTCCAACGGAAATACGACCATCAGCGGGCCCAGTGTGAAGAAGCTTCTCGTAGGCGGTGCTGATGATCTATAGGATTGACGCGATCCAAGGCGATGATTCAAAAAAGTGTAAAATAGGATAGCTGAGCGGGTTATTGTCCGGAGTGAGGAACATCATCTGACAAGTCTTCTCCACCCAATGTTGGAGAAGCCCTCTATCAATATGGCTCCCAAAAGTGCCTAAGTCGTCATGTACTCGTGGGATAAGGATTCCTGGCATTTCAAAATGCCACTTCTGTAACCGAGATTCGGAGCTGCATGTTACGCTACTACGTTGCAGTGCAAACAAATGGGAAATCTTTCATCACATTTGACGTGGCGCCGTCGGCACTCTCGGCAGCCCGTTGTACTTTTGGTGTGGTGATTATTGCTTGTGGTTTCCATCAAAGCGTGTGCCTTGTGGCCCGGGACGGTGAGGCTCCTCGAGGGGCAAGATCGCTCTGTAGCTAGCTTGCATGGTTGCACGTAAAAGGCCAAAGTGAGGTGGGTTCATTCGATAAGTCAGCTGAGAAGATCACCGTGGCACCTGGTATGGTGCAGACAAGGGACTTCGAGGTTGTGCGGGTAAACAGTCTGTTGCTGGAACGAATCTTACCTACGCTCTCGCTCGTACATGCCAAACCGGCTTGATGTGTGGTGAGAAGGACAAGCCTAACTGACAAGAATATCTGGCACAGGTTGGCATAAGGCTAGGATGTTGCAATGTGCCAAGACTACGCACAAAGTCGTGGTATTGGGACGGAGATGGTCGACAACGCATCAAGTTGAACTGCGGGTTAGCAGGCGCATTGCATGTATTTTCAAAGACAAGATAAGCAGCGGGGCCAGAGAAATAGGCTTTGAAGTGCCGAGGCTGTTGGCCTTGACCTCGATAAGAAATATTGGGGATGTGACGTTCTATCCGGAGTTGAGTGGCGAATGCTTGGTGAGTCCACCCCAAAAATTGCCCTGTTCGGACAGCAAGCGAAGGTTTATATTAGCAGGTTGTGGTTTGGTGTAGACTAAGAATGCAGGGCAGGTGTTGATCCATCCATCAACCACTCACTTTCGCTTGGATCCAGGTAGCTCAGAAAAGACCACGAGCAACACATGTGGGCAGGGTATGACTGCTGACCTACTGCAAAGCCACAGTCTTCTGGCCGTGTGGTCTAGGGGCAGCTAATTACCATTTGTCAGACTTCTTGGCATTATGAAACTTCAGAAGAAAACGAATGCCAATCACGAGCTATGCTATCGCTAGGAGGAAGTGCGTTTGCTCCAATCCCCGCCTACGCGGCAGAAAGGCTCGATCGTGGCTTCCGCTGCGACAGTAGACAGTAGCGCTATGTGTGGCATTGACGCCTTAGTTTCCAGGTGCCCAGAATCTTTAAATTTTATCTCCGTGACAGCAGAGAAGATACCGTCATTGGTCCACTGCCGCTGCGGCGGAATTCGTAGCTGAACAGTGTTTACACCATTTCCGGTGTGTCCACATATCTCCACTCAATTCCCCGTTCTGAGAGTATAGCGAAAATTCTGAGTTGCCATTTTCGACATGAGTGCGAGCTTATGCGTAGCCCAAGGTTTTGTCGCCAATGAATTGCTGGAGATCTTAACCTTCGAATGTTTTCCGTAGACAGTCTCGCGTGCTTGACTCACACCATGCGTGTTAATCCACGTTGCAATCCCTGGCTTTAAAGATGAATTCATCCTGCTTCTCTCGGTGTTCTGCTCCGATCGATATCCTGAGGTCAAGTTTTCGTCCTTATCTTGGTGTCACACTGTCGCCAGGCACGGATTGGTAAAATCAATACCAGAACCGTGCGCGCATTTCACTATGGTCTCGTCACCGCTCCGCTATGAAGGGTCATCTGTCAGTGCTGCACCTCTGTTGCAAGAAATGACTTTCCCTTTTTCCAACCGAACTGTGAAAAATAGGTTCCTTAAAGCTGCGATGACTGAGCGTCTTGCATCTTGGGATCCTGTCGAACTCGAGACACGAGGGGTGCCTTCGGAAGATCTGGTCAACCTGTATAGAAGATGGGGTCAAGGTGGATTTGGAACGATCTTAACAGGAAACATCATGATTGACCCTATCAACCTGGAATCAGCGGGGAACATGATCACACCCATACAGCCAAGCGATCTATCAGCACGCGCTAATGCCTACAAAAAGTTGGCCTTAGCGGCCAAATCCGATGGCAGCTTAGTCATTGGGCAAATTTCTCATCCTGGTCGGCAGGTTGAAGACCGTCTACAAAAAGACCCTGTCTCTGCGTCAGACATACACCTAGACAAGGAAATATGGGGAATGAAATTTGCCAGACCACATGCAGCTTCCAAGGACGAGATAAAGGGACTTGTTGATGCCTTTAGCAATGCCGCATACTTCCTCTGGAAGAGTGGCTTTGACGGCGTTGAGCTCCATGGTGCTCACGGGTACTTACTGTCCCAGTTCCTGTCACAGAAAACAAACAATAGGGCGGATGAATATGGCGGATCACTAGAAAACAGGTCTCGTATCATCAAGGAGATCTCGCTGGCTATTCGTGAGAGGATACCGGTTTCTGAAGGTTTCGTCCTAGGTATCAAGCTAAACTCCGTGGAATTCCAGGATGGAGGCTTCACTGTAGATGAATGTGCGGAACTTTGCCGTATCTTGGAAACTGAACTGCTCTTCGATTTTGTTGAACTGTCTGGAGGTACATATGAGGATTCAGCATTCGAACACAAGCGAGAATCGACCAAAAAGCGGGAGGCTTTCTTCCTTGAGTTTGCAGACTCAATCTCTCCCAGCCTCACAAAAACTAAAATTTTCGTCACTGGTGGGTTCAAGACGATCGCCGCAATGGTGAAAGCTCTAGACACAGTCGACGGTGTCGGCCTAGGCCGGCCTGCTTGCGCAGAACCTGATTTTCCCAAGAATGTATCTATCGGCGCCATCAAAACAGGAGTCGTTCGCCAGGCTTTGGACGATTACGACTACGGTTTAACAGAAACGGTTGCAGGAACGCAGATGAGACAAATTGCCAAGGGACAAATCCCGATGGACATGACCGACGCTTCCAATGTTCGTGCTTTCAAGCAAAGCATGGAGAAGTGGGAGAAGTCGCTTGCCGATGATGTTCATTCAATGCTTGTCTATGGATATGTTGATGTGGAAGGCATTGAGCTACGCCCATATAATCCTTCCTCACCACGATTGTAGAAACCCGCTTTCGAGGCAACGGCTCTTGGCCGCAAGAGGCAGACCTATATTGTATGAGTTCGATCAGACTGTTTGGAGAGTCGAGTCTGAATCACAGTCCGATGATACTCACTTGCAAGTATAGGCCATATATTTCATTCACGACACAGTCGCCCTGCACGAGTATCGACCAAAAGCCACCCCGATATTATCGCCATGATTGTAGGAATGCGAAATGACTATTTTGCTGCTTTGCTGTGGATCGACCCGAACAGGGTCGAGGTCCAGCCAGGCAATTGAAGTCCATACAAGTATTAGCAGGTCACGAACGTAGATAATCCGTCGGAACCTACGCTTTCTTGTTAACCGAAGGATCTGCCAAGACGTCAGACTGGCCGGTTGGTGACTAGTACCTAAGTCACGCACCCATGTAATGACCCACCCGTGTAATGACCCACGCGTCGAGACGCGCACGTTTTGACCACTCCCCCTCTTCTACACCTAACTACACTCTCAAACGATCTGCTCGTACGATAAAATGGCATCAAGTCGAGAGGCTAGGATCCAACAAGCCATTTTAGACTATGAGACTCGTCGATATCCAACTATTCGCTCTACCGCCGCGGCAAATGACGTGGATCGAAAGACCCTAGGCCGTCGACTATAGGGTAGTAATTTACGAGCTATTGCTCGTGAACTACAGCAACTCTTATCAAATCAACAAGAGCAAATGCTCGTACGATGGATACTCGACCTTGAGGCGTAAGGACATCCTCCTAGCTTTACCTAAATACGAGATCTCGTCGTAATTATCTAGGGCAATTCTACAGGGCCCTCAAGCATCGGCCATAACTGGATATCACGATTTATACAACGTCATCTAGAGATTCACTCTAAAGTAGGTAAAAAGATCTATAGTTTACGTCTCCATAGTACTACTCCTAAGTCCCTAAATCGCTAGTTTGAGCATTTAAATACTGTACGAGAGCGATATTAAGTTTCCTAAAAGAATGTCTACAATATGGACGAGATAGGTATCGCCCTAGGCGTCTATACCAATTAACGAGTAATCGATAGGACCGATACTACTTAATCATATAAAGCAATACTAGAAAATCGTAAATAGGTCTTAATTATCGAGACTATTTCCGTAAATAGTCGTCGACTATAATATCTCGTTATATTTAAAGGAAATACACTCTAATCGACTTGGTTTATCGATCCTGAGATCCTAGACTACTTATATACGATCTCACTAAACGATTGGACCTTAAACGATATTGGATTAGCCTAGCTACGTTAGATATTCCTTCCTTAGATAGCGACAAATGACTATCGACTACTCCTTCTCGACGGGTATAAAAGTTACACTATATACGAATTTATATGGGAATGTTATATTAATCGAGTAGCGTTAGTCTACTTAATACCTCATTCAAGTTATATCCTTTAGCCACTTAATCTTACTTACTTTTCACTCCTAAAATGCCGTTATAGGGATGAAATCGCTAATTTGGCAAGGTACGACGACGCCTTAGCCGTCAAGAAGAGTAAGTTCCTCAAAACCTATGAGAAAGTAAGTAATGAGGGCTTATCCTCATATCGTATTCGTACGGGATGGAATGCGGCTAGCATTTATCCTTGGGATCCTCATAAAGTTATTCGATCTCATCAAGTCCTCCAAAGCAGCTAGAATGAGCGAATTCTACCATCTACGCCGCCATCACGTAGGCAAAACTAATATCTAGTAATAGATATTCGTACGCCATTCAATCAACGCCAAATACAACAGGAAACGGAGTTGATTTCACGACACGAGACTCTTTCTCGCTCAGTCCGTTTACTACTTAAAAAGACGGGTAAGGTATTTGACTAGCTATAGTGGGATATCACTATAAAATCACAAGAACTCGCAAACTAGCGTGTATAGCTAGATGAACTAGTCGCTAGGAGATAACCGCGAGTCGCAATCGACTGCAATGAGGTATTTGCGAGTATCGAAACGATTAGGCAAGCTAGGCAGGGTATAGAGGCATTGGAGGCGACAGCGAGGTCTTCTGTACGAACGAATACTAGAAATACTACGCGGAATAGGCAGGTGAATGACGTCCTGGCACCATTCGTACATCAATTCAGTGCCAATGAGTCTGTAGGGTAGATAATTATAAATTTATCACCTTGGTGGCAATGCCTAATGCGTGGGTCATTACACGGGTGGGTCATTACATGGGTGCGTGACTTAGCGGTGGTTTAATAACCGTGGACGAGCCGAGCCAGGGCTTTTGGTCGGTAGCTTGAGCTTGTATTCCCCTCCAGTACGGAGTAGTCTGAAAGAGATGTGTGCCAAAAGGACAGGGTGTGGAGATCATGATAACGATCACGGGGCTGCTTCTTCACTTCCAGATAGACACGGCGAAGCCTGCTCGTCGCACCTTTTGACTGAGCCTCCACAAACTACATTTTATCACATTTGCCCCGAATTTCGCGCATGGTGCTAAATTACGGTCTTCGAACAGCACATCATCAGGAATTCCCAATTGCGTAGGGAACTTGCTGTTAAGGACCATGGGGTTTGTCGGCATACATAATCGCGCATTATAAGTGGTTTCAATGTTGATTTCGGTGTCGAAGAGCTCACGGTTTGGACCGGACCTTCCGCACGACGTTGCCACTCTTCCATCAATGCACAGAAACCATATCGTCTTGGTGTTACACAAACCTTGAATCGTCCTCGTTTCAATTTGCCATTTGTGGCACTCGGAAGCGTACGAACGAACACATTAGTGGACATCTAGTCTGTTTTCAAATACCAAACATTGTATAAGCTCTACAAAACTGGCCTCGTTTCAAGCTATCTTGAGTGTGCAGGCAACCGGGCAGATTATGACCACAGAGAGTGAGACCAAAACTCGGCTAACGGCTTATTTGCGGAAGTTGAGATTCGGTACCGTGCCCACGGTCGCTATGTCTGCCTACCAAAAAAGATCATGGCCATGAATGACTAGGCCATCGAGCCGCTTTGGGAATTTCTTTCGAATAGAGTGAAACGCTTCCCTGGTTACTTTTCTCATAAACGATGGCTTCATGTGTAATCTCTGCCAGAGATAAGATATCCATGATCAGACTATCTACACGAACTGATTCGCTTCTGTTTGTCGCATCATCCCGACCATCAATTCTGGGATGTGCAGCCTTAACCGGTGGAGAGTTGCCCATCTCGGGCAGGATGCGAGCATCAAGGTTTACGAGGAGGTTAGCCACGACCCCTACTCCAGCCACGTGATACTAATATCCGAGCCACCTGATATGACCAAGACAGCGTTGTCGATACTGCTGCCATGAGTGTCGTCAACCAGAGACTGCATAACTTGGAAGCCGGCTAACTCCTCTGCTGCCCTGCAAAGGGGTATCTTATTCCGCCAGTCTCGGTGCAAACAGACCATGTGATTCGAAGAGGGGACTCAAGAGTTTTCTGAGACTTGACGGGATAAAAATTGATCATCAACTCACACATCCATGATATCCGTGCAGTCAAAACCCTTGTTGAGCATTGTCCTTACACCAGTCCTGCACAGCGCAAACGCTTCGTTTTATCAAAGCTACTGATTACCACATTGTGACGTTCAAACACTTTTAGATGGGACCTATGCACCAATGTTGGCGAATTGTAAATGCAAATGCTGTAACCTACGTATCAGTGGACACCTATATCTCCTGTCGTTGAGTCTCGAGTGCAAGAATCTCTATCCTAAAATAACTGTCTACTGTACTGACAGGTAGTTGAGGAGCTGAGCAGAGCCAACCCATTAACGCTGCAACTTCGAAGCTTTTTTCTCCCAGATAGACTGGAAGAATTCGATTGCGTCCTGTCCCAGCTCGTTCGGTCTTTCATAAGCTGCAAAGTGCCCACCGATAGGATGCTCCCTCCAGAACTGCACGTTGAATATGGTCTCGGCCCATGATCTCGGCCCCATTCCAATTTCCTTTGGGAATGCGCTGAAGCCAGTCGGCACCTCCAGATATGTCTTACGCAACCAAGCGTCCTTATCTAGCATTTCGAAATTGGGATGGTCGGCATACCATTGCATTCCTGTCGTTGGTCCTGGGAAATAATGTAATAATGTCCATGTAATAATTTCTGTGTATGTCCAATCGTAGTCTTCGGCCCATAGGAAGAGCTTGTCGGCCATCCAAGCCAACATCCCAACAGGCGAATCGTGTAGCGCGTATCCGAAAGTGCGGGGTTTTGTGGCCTGGACTGAATAATAAGCCCACTCGCTTTCCTCGAACCATGTCATACGATCAAGCAATGCTTGCTCAAACTTTGAATAAGCTGGCTCCTTTCCACCGAAATCTGGTTTACTCATTGGAAGCTATTGTATTGGATTAAAAATCAATAGAGACGCGTTGCAGGAAGTAAATGAGTACTCACGGTGTTCGCATGATATGCAACAATGTTTTTGGGATATGTGAGCGACATCGTTCGTCCAACATCTGAGCCCCAATCGCCTCCTTGGATGACATAGCTTTCATAGCCCAGAATGCCCATGAGCTTTGAGAATACGGCCGCGCAATGTTCGAATGAAAAACCGGCTATATCAGGGTAGGAAGAGAACCCATAGCCAGGCAACGATGGCGCAACGACATCGAACCCAGCTTCGAGGAAAAGAGGGAGAACCCCGCTGACTTCATTAAACGACCCTGGCCAGCCATGAATGAACAAGAGAGGAATCGCGTTGGATTGTTTGCTCTTCGCATGCAGGAAGTGTAGGTTTATTGTTCCTAATCCGTCGATATCGATATCTGTTTGGAACTGTGGGCCCAAGGCGTTCAATCGTGCCTCTTCTGCACGCCAGTCATACTCATCTCTCCAGAACGCTACTATCTTCTGCATGAAGGCGTTGGTCACGCCGTTCTGCTCTCCCCATTTTGCATGATTCAGATTCTGAGGAATTCTCGCGGATTTCAACTTCTCGCTCAATTGGTTCAATTCCACGTCAGGGATGTTTATCTACCCAATGACTTAGTGAGACACCTAGGCACGTCGACTCGTGTTTACCTGAAAGGATTTCATGATGCAGTGTATAGCAGCCTTTTGGCAAAGGAGGTGTGTAGGAGATCGACTGTTTATTGCGATGCTTGGCTGACAGCAAGCTGTTTGTTCTCAGGAGACCTGAATTCTAGTTGCAGGAGTTATCGCTGTCATATATGTCGAAATCGCGTTCCTTGGCTGTGAACATTGCTTGAACACTCCAACTTCGTTACCCCACATCGCCAGCTACTGCCCGTCGCCCTGGCAGTCAATTGGGTGTACAGCTTACTCATCGACCCGAAGCTCGTTGAACCGAAAATTCCGAATTGCCCCTCTCAGAAAGGTTAGCTACACAGGGTTGATTTCAAGTGCCTTGCCCAGACTCCCTCTCTATCCGGCTTTCCTAATATAGCATCAAAGCGAACCTGTCTGCTGTTATCGAGGTAAGTGTGTCATTCTTCCACATAGAGTTTCTTGCTAAGAACTTTGTATTATTCTAGACCACCCGCGAGGGGGGTTCCTAGGTTGCCTGCCCTATTGGTTCTCGTGCTCAGTTCCGAGTCAGCCATCGTAGACTGGCTCCGGCGGGGATATATCTAAGTCACGTGAACGACCCAAACCTAAATGTGTGCACGACTTCAAATTATGTCAATGCTACAGCTTATCAAACCAATCTACAGCACGGGTGGATAGGCCAGAGAATCACATACAGTCATCACCCGGAGCCTACGTCAGTGCCTCCTTATAAGGGCACCTGGCCTAGTATTCAGAAAATGACAAGTTTTAATGGTGATTCGAGCCACTTGGAGTCTGGCATTAAAAAACTCGATCCTTAGTGGAGCAGCATAGAGGATTCAAAACTGTCCGATCCGTACTACCGATGTCGAAGTGATCACTTCGCTCATGTGTGCAGTATGAAGCCTCTGAACGATAATATCTTGGAGATAGGTGAAGATGGCTTTCTAGTAAGCTCAAATAGCAAAGTAAGCACCAACTAGTGGGTAGCATGTTCAAATAAGGCATGCTAGTGAAGAGTTCGCCAGAATTGAGTACTTTGTACCTGCCATAACCTAGTCCTAATGTCGATATCCTTTATGATTTCTTAGGACATCGGAAGAAGGATAAATGCGTAGTCCTGTTTCATAATTCCAGTGACACAACCTGTAACTTGAACGGTTTATCACAACAAATCGAGCATCACAGGAAGTCCAGCATCTCTTTGGCCGTGTCCTCAGGATTCTCCTCGGGCAAAAAATGTCCACTATTCAACGGTTTTCCCCGAACGTTTACGGCATAATTTCTCCACACCTGTATAGGACCATCATTTCGCTCGGTTTCGGCCTCATTGTAGAGTGCAGTATTACCCCAAAGGACAAGAACAGGTACAGTAATTTTGTGACCACGGGCGAGATCCTCTTCGTCGTGTAAATTATCTATGAATGCTCCTGCACGATAATCTTCGCAAGTGGCATGAATAGTTTCTGGGCGGCAATATGCCTCCCTGTAGTCCTGGATCGCCAGGGGATGAAACGCTGACAGGGAATTACTGGCAGTCCATGTCGACAGCGTGGCATCGAGGAAGGTCTGCCCACCATCTGCACTACCGATTAGTGCTTCTGGGAAAGGTTCTTTCTGTGCCAAAAACGTCCAATGATACGCTCTGACCCCGGCGTTAGACGTTCCGAACGACTTCCACATGGCGCTGGTTGGAGTGATATCAAGAATCACAAGCTTATTGATCTTGTCGGGTGCATCCAGAGCCAGACGGTACGCTACACGTCCCCCACGGTCGTGCCCAACCAGGTCAAATTTGAGATTAGGTCCAGAGAAGCCGAGCTGTTCCATGACCGAGATGCAGTCCTGGGCCATAATACGTTTACTATAGCCAGAGCCATTGTGACTTTCAAGATCCGCGGACGAGGCGCCATACCCACGCAGATCCATCAGAACCAGCCGGAAGCGCGTTTGTAACAAAGGGGCCAGCTTGTGATATAAGGAGTGGGTTTGTGGCCAACCGTGCAGAAGGAGAAGAGGCCGTTGACTTTGCTCTGGAGACGTGACGGGACTAGTACGCACGAAGATCCGTATGCCACCTGACGTGGTGACATGCTGAGAGGTGTAGCCAGGAAAAAGATCTGGAGACATGACTTGAGAAATGTGAATTGAATTCAAATGGTTCAAGATACAACAACGACGAGGATCTCACAACGCTCTGGAACAGCCTCATATGAAGGGTATGGTGCCCACTTTGATAATGATGATCGACATAGTTTTGCCTCGGAGCGAGCAATGCAAAAGTTTCAACTAATGGCAAAATTGCCGACGGTCACGGTCCAGGTTTGAATGTTCCGAGAGAATAGTACTCGCATGACATATGAATTAGCGCCAAAATTCAGTATTATCTTATCCGTAATGTCTTACACCTTTAATTCCCCGCATCTCTTCTTGCTTCTTCCGGACAAGATGCGAGTCGTGCAATGGTCAGTCCAACTCGAAGTGTTGCTTTCTGGAGGTCCAGATTGCTTTGGCTCTGCCCTTTTTCCCGACCAGAAGCGAGGCTTATGTTAGCATTGTCTACGTCACTGGGGGAAATTATTGGCAGCAAAACTTTGTAGCTAACTTCCCCTGCGATCCTTTCGTTAGCCCTGGAACTCGCGGAAAACCGTATTAGCGTCAAGCAACCTGGTACTACGTACCGAGGGTTTACTTAGCGTCCGGACAATATAAATACATCGTCGTAGATGCTATGAAATACAATCTTGGTCTTTTCATTTGGTCGTTCTCCAATATCTTCTCCAGATCCAAGATTGCATCCCACCATACCAAGACGCCTATCATAACCTCGAATAGAACTCAAGTATCTCAATCATGGTCACCGTAGCAGTCGCAGGAGGAACAGGTGGGGTAGGCAGAACGGTTGTTGAGGAGTTGGTCCGACAAGGCAAGCACAAGGTTGTCATTTTGAGTCGACAGGTATAACCATCAGCCTGACCTTAGTGGACACTGCGAGTCGCTGACTAGAAATTAGTCTAAGCCACTCCCACGTCTAGAGTCTGTTCCGGTATTCGCAACTGACTATGATGACATCGCATCCACCGCGGCTCTTCTCAAGAAGCACGACATCGCAGTTATCATATCAGCTTTATCGCTTTTCACCGAAGAAGTAGGGGAGGCACAAATAAAACTTATACAAGCAGCGATCAATTCCAACACGACCAAACGCTTCATGCCTAGCGAATTCGCGTTTAACTATCTGCGTCCTGGACTTCTCGACTTTCATGCTGCAGCCCAGATGCGGATCGATGCTTGCAATCTTTTGCGCAATTCGCACGTCGAATTCACGCGTTTCATCTTTGGCTGGTTGTTGGATACCTGGAATCCGAAGCGCGCCAAGACTCACATGCCACAGATGACATGGGTCCTCGATTTTGAAAGTCGGCAAGCAAGACTCCCAGGAGACGGAAAGGCGCCACTTACATTATTACATTCATTGGATATTGCGAAGTATGTTGCTGCATTGATAGATGAAGAAAAACCGTGGCCAGAGATAAGTGCTTTCGCTGGTAGCACAATGTCATTCAGCGAAATGGTCGAAATAGCAGAAAGAATCCAGGGTAAAACTCTTCCGCATGCCAGGCTGTTGACAATGCTAATATATATTCTTACAGGTCGGAAGTGGGAAGTATCATACGAGCCCGTTGAGAACCTAGAGAAGAAAGACATTTTCGTTTTTAAGCAGCCAGAAGACTCTTATGATTTCGGAGATGGGCTTCGAGAGATAACGGCTGAGTTTGGTCTTATGGTCGTCAAAGGAATTATGGACGCAAACGTTGAAGGTCTACGGAACGAGGACTTCCCAGATATCAAGCCAATCACAGTTGAGACTTGGATACAAGACATCTGGGGCAAGTAGGCGTGGGAGGACACGATGGTCATGATATCTTTCGGTGATGAAGCGCGTGATATGGCACGCAAGTCGTGGACGTACTGCATACTCTTGGGCCAGATGGTTATGAAGGACGTCTTGTGCGGAGTGGCGTCTTTCTGTCCTTTTCAAGATCTGTCTTGGAATCTGTACCGTTACCAGGAGTGCGAGCATAGAGTAGAGAATACACTTGATTTTTCATCCTTCCTTTGTTTTATGTTCCCATCGAGTGCTGCGATATTGTGTAGTTGAGCCGAATGAGGCGAGCATTCTAGCAACCTCAGATACTGCCTAATTTCCTCTCGTTATTCACATCACATCTTTTGTCAATAGTAAAACTTTTGTCGATCTACGTAGTATGACAGAATCTAATCCAGCACGTCCTTCAGGCGGTCTTTCCTTGCCCTGCTCCCGTAATCGATCGCCTCATATATCTATCTACCTTGTCCTTGAGGATTTACACCTTATCGGCTTGGGAGAAGCTGGCCAGGGCCTCCAATTTTGCCTTCGCAGCTTCAGGTGTTGGACTACATCTTCAAAGGAGATGTTGCTTTGAGGAGCTATGCAAATAAAGTACAAATTGGTACTCATAGGTCGATCAACAAGCCATCCATTGAGATCTGGGCAAGGCACCAAGCTCTAAGAACTGACGCTGTGATATCAGTCTTGTTTACACCGGATGACACATGCATTGTGACGCATCCTGCCCTTGTGAAAGACTTCAGGTACTAAACAATGCAAGCGTGCAAACCAATCATTCCTTCCAAAGACACTATCAACGTCCAAGAAATTCCAGACTAACCCTTGAATTACCCTGAAATCGTGATACTGATATCGCTAGGCATTGCGTGCGCATGACAATTTCGAATGGAGTATTTAATACAATGGATGGTTTGTGGACTACTTTCCATCAGGGGACTAGCGATACCTGAAGGATTCCGAGATGAATGGCCAACAAATAATGAGACTAAAACGTTCCCTATCTTGTAGATGGTCATGAACAATGGATTTGAGTTCCATTCGCGATATGCTGATGTACGGAATAGTTATAATCCTTCTCGAGCTCCACTCGGTAGATGAAAGCAGTTCCCTAATTTTCTCCTTTCAGAATATCATGAGTTGTTTCGCGTTGCATCAGAACCGAGATCCGTCATGGACTATTAAGCAAGTTATCTTTCATGGATGCCTTTCTTGGCCTCTGGTACACATTCATTTGAACCCGGGCAGTTTACGAACCCATGTATCATCGAATGCTAACCCGGATTCAGAGGTAGGCGGTTTGCAGTGGGCTGCAGATATACCTGTTGGATCTGAAATTGACGTCGGCAAAAATGTTAGCTAACAAAAGCGGGAAACCGACAAGTTTGACCTTGGTCGACAAACAGACCATCTGCAAAGTACGCCAGGATTTACCGTAGGTATGCATCGCGAAAGCCATTGAAATCTCATTATATTAACAGAACTAGGAGCGTTCTTTCTTTACTAGACCCCTGAAAGCGTCTCTATGTGGTATGGGTTTTACCCCTCACAATGCGTTAGCCTGATTCATCGAGTTTGCTCCTCAAGGTCTGCGATTCCTGCGTTCCGCATATCCTCAATGTCCAACATTTGATATGCAGCATGTAGTAGACTTCCCCGCTACGAGAAGATCGACTATGTCATGTCCGATGAACTATGTCGTGTACGGGGTGTCCGTATCCTCCGCGAACTAGAAATACCAAGAATGGTTAATGGATATCATGTTCATGGTGATCGCTTCCGGGGTGATGTCAGTATACATCTAGACCTATGGACTGCTTGAAGTGCTCATGATCGATATGGGCTGTTGTTAGTAAATCGTGAGTTCCAAATCGATGAAGGAAAATCTGCCCGCCAATGTCCGGTCGCTTGAGCACCCGTTAGCATATTAGGTTTGAACATCGCTACCTTGAACATTGAAATTCTACCAGAGACCCGATAAGCTCTGAAGTTGAATTGACATTCATGCGAGACTCCTTTTTTCGAACCAGTGTGTTTCGGGCCACCCTTACGACAGAACATTACTTATTTGGGCAGCGATGCGAGCTTGAGGACTAGAGTCTGATAGGGTATAATCCGCTTGGGGAACAGGTAGACTAGGTCTTGGGGTTCAGGTGCTGACCAACCTCGGAGCAATCAAGACAAGGTTTTCTGCCGAGGCGTTACACTGAAGCAGGCCCACATCGCAATCTCTGTTGAGCAGGTCGCTAAAGTGTCGAAAGAGGAAAAACCCTGACTACAGAGTACACTTTGCCGTTGTTGTGGAAAGCGTGTCTTTGTTTACGAACGTGGTGAGGGGCAATAGTAATATCCATGTCAAATTGTCCATTCTGTAACATTTTTAACCAAGGTGGTGTCCCTTTCAGATGCTAAGTCTCTCCCTCTTTGCAGACAACAATACAACCTGACTAAGTGAAAAAGAACTTGATGACGACCTCAGACATCAGTGCTGCACACAAACACTCTTCAAGTTAAAAATGGTCAATATCAACGTCGATGCTCTAGTGGTCGGTGCAGGATTCGCAGGAATTTATCAAACATATCGATTGAGGGAGCTGGGCTTCAACGTGCGATGTATCGACAAAGCTGGCGGAGTCGGGGGTACCTGGTACTGGAACCGTTATCCTGGTGCCATGAGTGATACTGAGACATATTTATACCGATACTCCTGGGATAAAGAAGATCTGTGCTCATATCCCTGGACGCACACTTACGTCTACCAACCTCAAATTCTTGAATACCTCAACCATGTCGTCGATAAACATAACTTGCGAAAGAATATGCAATTCCATACCGAGATGACTTCGGCTGACTGGGATGAAGAGTCTCGTCTTTGGACAATCACTTGTGCCACGGGCGACAAGTTCGTCGCACGATATCTGATTAATGCCCTTGGCTTATTATCTACGCCCAACTATCCCAACATCAAGGGCATTGATTCGTTTCAAGGGACTTTAGTTCACACGGCGTCCTGGCCAGAAGATCTGGACCTCAATAATAAAACTGTTGGAGTCATCGGTAACGGCTCGACAGGAGTACAAGTGTATGTCTTTGGATCTAATCAACTCCCTTCTACATTGCTAATTCTCTACCAGCTTGACAGCGTTAGCTCCTAAGGTCAAACGCCTTGTCTCCTTCCAGCGACATCCCCAATATTCAGTACCGAGTGGCCAGGGCCCGGTGCAAAAGGGTTATCGACAATGGGTGAACGAAAACTATGATCAGATTTATCAAGGAGTATGGAATTCCAGTACCGGCTTTGGGGTGCCAGAAGTCTCGACTCCAACCATGTCTGTCTCAGCAGAGGAAAGAGAGCGCACTTTTCAAGCTCTCTGGGACCAAGGCAACGGCTTCCGATTCATGTTCTCCGGATTCGGCGATATCACTACTAATGAAACGGCAAATATTGAAGCCTGCAAATTTATTCGTTCGAAAATTGACGAGATTGTAAAGGATCCTAAGAAAGCAGCGGTCCTAAAGCCTAAAGATCTCTACGCACGGCGACCACTCTGCGACACAGGATACTACCAGATCTTTAACCAAGAAAATGTTGATATAGTGGGCCTCCAGGACACTCCTATTACATCTATCGTTCCAGAAGGCATTGAGACTGCAGATGGCAAGGTTCACAAACTGGACGTGCTAATATTCGCAACTGGTTTCGATGCTATCGAAGGCAGCTATTTGAGAGTTGCTATCAAAGGTCGGAATCATCGGACGTTGAAGGAGGAATGGAAGGACGGTGCGTCAGCGTTTGCGGCAGTTGCAGTTCCAGGATTTCCAAATATGTTCCTCATTTCTGGTCCACAAGGTCCTTTCGCTAACTTTCCTTGCTCTATCGAGAGTGAGGTCAACTTCATTACTGCGTGCATTCAGCACGCCGAGAATCAAGGCACAAACGGGATCAACGGGACAGTGCGCAAATCACCTATAATGGTAGCAAAGCCTGAAGCCAACAAAGCCTACCAAGATTTGTGCTTCAAGCTGACTGAGGGCTCTCTGTTCACAAAGAGCGCAAGCTGGATCTTTGGCACTAACTTGGAAGGCAGAAAACCAGTGGTGAAGTTTTACTTTGGTGGGCTGAAGGCGTATCGAGACCTCACGGGTGAAGAGGAAAAGCAAGGGTTTCCATCATTTAGTTGTCAGCATTAAAACACAGCTTTTCTGGGCGGTTACAGCTGGAAGAGGGATTCTTACACACTCCTTTCTCTGAAGTTATTTGTGGTTTGAAAATCGCCCCTGAGCGCAAACGTGGAGTCAGTTTCGAATATTTTGTCGATCTACTAAGCGAGAAGCATAAAAAGCATTTGTTGATCACTACAAGAATGTGACCACCTATACAACAATACATGGTTACTCTGTATTCTTCTCAATGTCTTCTAGTTTGCTTGTTGTCCCAGAGCATCTTCCTCTTTGACAGCTGATCCGTGAAGTTCGTGGTCGCACACCAGTGACAGCTTAGGTTGGCTATCCCTGGTGTTGGCGGTGTACTCATCACTCTCCGCGTACATTAGTCGGAACCTTGTTATTTGTAATGTTTTGAATCAGCGTATGGATCTTGCTTAGGAATCTTGATCATTACCAGCGACTTTGAGGTCCAACCATCATGATGTTTGTTGACAAATTTCTCAGTCCCAGAGCAGCATCCTGGATTCGCTCTTCTCAACCGGATATCATGCAGCGTTCACGCTAAGTTTACGATTTGCTGTACGAAGATGTTCCTACAACAAACAGTCTTCGAAATCCTTGTGAAAAGAGATCTTGACCTTGCGTATAGATATCCTTGCAGGACAGTTGGGCCATCGACACTCTTGCACAAAAATTAAGCTTCTTGCGAAATCCATCCCCTCAGGTCACGCTCATAAGCTTGGGATGACATGACACAAGTGAAAATCCATGAGAAGATCCTGTCCCGAGCTTACTCTGATCCGAATCATAGGATCTCATCCCCCTCAGCTCCTGGAATCGGAAGCCTATGAGTATTCTATGCCGTTGATATCATGGGCCCCGAGACAGGAGTCGATTTACCATGCCAATAGCGGCTTGATTGCCTATCTTTGCCTCGAGAAAAGTGAATCTACCACATGTACGGAGGCCTCTAGTGATAATGGCTATCCCATGACTGAAAGAGATGGAAACGGGTATTATCAAGTAATGAGCATGTTATGGCAGCGAGGATATTGCAGAAGGGTGATCTAGGCCATCTGCCAATTGTTTCTCGGAGTCCTGTTGTGCATCAAACGGCCGTCTACAGCAATCAGTCTTACCACATGGCCGGCATCCTTATGCTCGAGCTTCGAAGGACGAACGACAAGGATGTGCCACTACCCAAATCCTTGTGGGATTCCGCTATCTGGCATGCAAGCAGGGTATGTGGTGTCTCACTAACGAATCCTTATCGCCGTAACCTGGTTGCCACGGTGCAGCAGCTTTGTCTAGCGGCAAAGTACCTTATTTACCTCGAAGACCATCTCGCTGTGACGTCCTCCAACACCCGAAAGTCACAACATGATTGCCCTGCTACAATCGCAGCTCGTGTAAAGAAGGTGCCATCTTGATCAATGCGGCACGTGGAGGCATGGTCAATGAACTGGATCTCATGACGGCTTTGACCGAGGATATGGGGTGCAAAGCCGGACGGTCACGATGAAGAGCCCCCAACGTTTGTGAGATAAGGTAGACTATGGGATACTGGACGGGTGTCTTTTCGACTCCACATGTTGGGAGTGCCATGGTTGAAACCCAAGACGGCGCATAGTGTAGTCGGCGGTTTTAGACTATTCGACGTAAGGCACGTAGTAAGGCGATCTGCCACAGATCGAGGATCAAAGAAATGTTGCACCATATCAATTGAAGTCAGGATCTTATCCAGCAGCATTTCAGAATGCCTTCGTCGGGATAGTCTTGGATATATGACCGGCTCACGGTGTGATATCCTAAAACACACCCTCAACATCGGATCTTAGTACAACTTATCGGTCGGGCGAACATCGCGAACATCAGTAGGGGCTAATACTAGTAGACTATCAGGAATATGACGTTAACGCAAGTGCCCAATGGGCCGAAGCAGTGATACGAAATCATGACAGGTAGAAATTCGTCTTGGTTGGAAAGGCAAACTGGTAGATTGAATCTGGAGGATCAGTTGGTGACATGTAGCATGGATTTGGCTCGAATGTGGATATGGGAGAGGATAGGTGAACTGAATATGGCATCAGACTTTTCTTTGGAGAGCATCCTATGGCTCGAGTCAAGTAAGACCGTCCATTTTGTGTACCGATTGTCCCTGGCATCAAATCAAATCGCCACAAGACGCAGAGGGAGATCTTTTAGCAAGCATATGATGACTCTGAGTCGAACACAGTTGAAGTGAGTCTCCCAAACGAAATTGAAGGACAGCCAGGACTAGATTAAGGAGGATTTAACGATCATAACAAGACGATAAGCTCCTGCACTATCCACGTAGTACAAGAGTTATCGAATGGCGCGAGGTGCTAAATCAAAGGCCAAGGAGCATTGCGTAGATGTAGAGAGATTGTTTAACAGCGTTTCCAGTACCAGGCTTCACTATTTTGAAGCGGAAGCTTCATCACCTGAGAGGCAAATCATCTGTATTAGGGAGCCAAACATTTCATTAATCTCAGTCGTGAGCTCATGAGAATCAGTTTCTTTCGACAAAACTCCCCCGCGAAACCGTGCTGCGGGTGTGACATTTTCCAAACCTGGGCAAAACGAGAATGCTTGATCTGTTGATGAGGACACAGTGCGCAATATATGCACAGCATTATAACTCTTGTGAGACACGGCGTGGAGTGTCTATCTTTGAGAAAACAACTTAACAAGCGAATGATCGTGGCGCTAAAGTCACCAGGCTATTTGAGTGCGGATTTGAGCGAATCTATCAACAAGCTGGGATAAAAGTTCCAAAATGAACACTTATGTGACTTTTGAAGCTGCCAACAAACGATGGCAAGAGGCGCAAAGAAACCCAAAGGACGGCGTCGGATCAGCCGTCATAGTAACAAGAGCCGAAATGAGTCTTCACCAAGCAAAACTCGAGTAACAGTTCCATTGTGAGCATCCGAGAGAAAAGCGTTGCTAGATGATGTTGATTGCCCTCTGCTGCATAGAAAAGTAACTTTGATGTGGCACCGTGTTGGCCCACTATCCGCCTCGACTGTATTGTACCGATTTGCTCATCTAAGATGAGTTTGGACCTGGCAAAATGAGTCCAGGTGATTTTACTGCCTGGATCCCGATTCGCAGGAGCACACAGCCATTGAGGCTGGTTCTCTCCTCGGCATGTGGCTTGGATGGATCGGCTTTCATTGCAAATCTACATGGCAGGAAGAAACGGACGAAATCCTTGACTCCTTGCCTCCCAGGAGGTTATTGAAGTCGGAAAATCGTTCTCGGAATGTGTTATCATTGAATAATGTTCTCCAGTGACGTTTGTTGCGCGACACGTCGAAGTTCTGTTGCTGTACAGTGTTGTCAAGAAAGACAGATCAACCAGGAGGAAATTTCGGCGACGAGACAGGGCCAGGTCGAGTCTATGCGATGGCAGGAGCCATTATTGACCGAAAAATCTGGAGCCTGGCGAGTCGATGAAAGCTGCACAGTAGAAGTGGACAACCTAGGCATGATATTACTGTTGGTTGGTGTCTGTTGATGGGCTGTTCTTTACCTGTGCAGCAGAGGATGCGGTGACCGATGCGACTGACACTGAGTCGCAAGAGAACGACAGTGGACTATAAGCTTGAGTCATAAGAGAACAGCAACTGGTTATTAAATCGGACTGGTGGATGATTGATTCGAACAGCATGATGAAGGTTTGTTGTCAATTTTTGACCAGCTGCCACAGGGATGAATCTTTTGTGGTTGTAGACATAGCATATCTACATGTGAAAACAGAGGTCAAAGTGGTTGGGGACGACAAGGTTTTGAATCGGGGAATCAATTTCATTGCTAACTATGCATTGTTAACTCATGCTGTTGTCGGCCTCCATTGAAGGACTGTTGGTGACAATGGCATCGAACTTCTGGATTCCTGGCGGACCATACTGTTGTATCATCACAGGACTTTCAAAGTCTCTGGATTTTAACTGTGCCCCCGACAAGGGTCGGCAGGGTGATGAGACCGATAAGGGCCCCCGGAGAGACAGGCAAGGGCCGGAAGGGCGACATCTTGATGACCATCGGCAAGGGCCGGGAGGTTGACTTCGCGAGTATCGTCGGAAGGTCCCTCAGGGGAAGTGCTCGGTCCGGGATAAGGACCAAGTTCATGTGGTCGTCAATGATGGCTTGTCGGGAGCCGTATTGAACAGATGGAGGGCGTGAGGTCTGGGAATGGACGATGGCAAGGTCCGTCAAAGGGTCCAAGGCTGCTGGAGGAGGTAAGCTCCGGAGCTTGTTGCCGGTAAGGACCGGCAGGATGGTGAAATCCTAGTCGTCGTTGATGATTGTGTCGGAAGAGGCACGTTGTTCAGGGGTGGGGACTACAACAAGATCAGGATGACCTTGAAAATTCCAGGAACATGAAATAAGGTACCGACGACCTTGCGAGGTTCGAGGTTTCCACACACCATGTAGATGGTCTTATTCTTGACTGCGGACCTGCTGCCAATCTCCCTCACCACGGGCAAACGGAGTAGCTTTTGTTCACCCCCGTCCATATGATGGACAAGAGCCCTGACGGCATTGTTCAGGTCAATGCGAGTCGGATAGGAATCCTCCAAGACATCATAGATCTGGAAGTTCTACAAATCAGTCAGCATTGAGGAACGACACAGAACCACGCAATGATGCAACCACGGACAGACTCACTTTTGGCCGCTTCCTTGTCCCACGTTGATGCAGCAGGGGGCTTTTGCTTCTTGTTCTTCTGCTTGGATGGTCCTCCTTACACTGTGACCAGCAAGGGCTGGTGGTGCTCTGGATGCTGATAGAGGATCCCCGGCAAGGACCGGCAATGGCTGTGACGGAGGCATGGACCCATAGAAATGGGCGTTTTGAATGTGGTAATGGACGGCTTGGTTGGGGACCAACGAGATTGAACCGGTTCTTGAGGAGTTGAACAAGCACAGGGCCATAGTCCATATAGATCAATCCTCTCTCCAATGAGATGTCAAAAAGGATGGCTACACTAATGA